TCGCTATTGCTATCAGCCATGGTCAGTCCTCTAGTCTTCGCTTTTCTGTTCAGTTGGGCCGCCGTTGGCCTGGTCGCCGCCGAGAAGTCTGATTTTTGTTTGAGTGAAATCGTTAAATCGGACGAACGCATCCGCTCCCATGGCTATCCTGCCGAGTCTCACGAAGTCATCACTGAGGATGGTTATGAGCTGACACTCTTCCGCATTCCGTACTCCCACAAGCTGAAGAATCAGAACGAGAGGCGTCCTCCTGTGCTCCTCCAGCACGGTCTGTTCAGCAATTCGGACTGTTTCCTGACCTCTGGCCCGGACAACTCCCTGGCCTACCTGCTGGCCGATGCTGGCTATGATGTGTGGCTGGGCAATGCCCGTGGCAACATTTACTCGCGGGCCAATGGTCAGATCTCGCTCAACAGCCACAAGTTCTGGCACTTTGACTGGCACGAGATTGGCACCATTGACGTTGCCGCCATGATTGACTACATCCTCGAGGAGACCGATTTCCCCAAGGTGCACTACGCCGGACACTCCCAGGGCACCACCGTGTACTTGGTGCTGCTCTCCGAGCGTCCCGAATACAACGACAAGATCGCCACGGGCCATCTGTTGGCACCTTGTGCCTTCTTCGAGCACGGCACTTCGTTCGTGTTCAATGCACTGGGACCCTTGGTGGGCACACCTGGCGGCATTTGGAACCAACTGTTGGTGGACACTGAGCTCATACCGCACAACAATCTGGTTAATCGTTTGGTGGACAATGGCTGTCATTTGTCCGAGTCAATCTGCAAGAATGCCTTCGTTATGTTCGCCAACGGTGGCTACGAGAATGCCAATGCTGTAAGTCGGACAGAAGACCACTCAAAAATAGAATTTGCTAACTGCAAATTGTTCCTTTCAGAGCTCCATGCTAGTGCTGATTGAAACCCACCCGGCTGGCTCCTCCAGCAATCAGGGCATCCATTACTTGCAGTTGTGGGAATCGCACGAGTTCCGTCAGTACGATTGGGGCACGAAGAAGAATATCGAAATCTATGGCCAGGAGCTGCCCCCAGAATACGATCTGAGCAAGATCACTGCCCAAACACATTCATATTCCAGCCACAACGATGCGCTCTGCGGGCCTGAGGATGTGGACACGCTGGTCTCCAGGTTCACCCACCTGACGGAGGATCATCGCGTGCCCGTGCAGAGCTTCAACCACTTGGACTTTATCATTGCCAAGAACATGAAGGAGCTGATCAACGATCCGATCATTGAGCGCATCAACAAGTACGAGGGTCGCTAGTCCTAAGCGCCCAAAAAGAATACAAAATAAAGTGCAAGTGGCATTAAAAGTGGCATTATTTAAATTTACTGGCGGATTTACTAGTTAATCAAACGATTAGATAATGCCTTTAAACATACTACAATCCCTCCCTGGAATTATTATTGCGTTTCGCAGTGTTTAATTCATGTTTGGTTGTTTAAATTTGTAGGAAATCGCTGATCAAAACTCAAGTAACAGATTTCAGTGACAGCTAGCGATAAGATACGCTCGACAAAGAGTAATTTTTACAAGAAAATGTACTTCCCATGGCTATAAAAAGACACATTTTATATTTAAAGAATTTTTCCATCAGCTGAAATCATCATAAAATGTGAATTTAATCCAGTGACTGTTGGATTTTTGCATGCCAGGTGTGGAAGTTGATCATTCAATTGATAACTAGAATTTATTGTAGATCAAACCATCCATCTATAAATTCATATTTAAACATAGAACTTTCGGTTCTCCTTCCTATACACAACATTTTCACTCATAACTCTCACTCCAATTGCGCTCTTTTACATAACAATTACAGCTTTATTGCTACTTCCTACAGCTGCAAGAAAATCCAAGCTTTTGTCTACATCCATTCATCTTTAGATGCACTTCTAACGCCTCATAAAGTTTGCTCATTTTGTGGTCAGGTCGTACGACAGGAAGTTGTGCGAACGAACGAACATCTCTCTTGTGCAATAGACCCCCAAAAGACACGTCTCGTCTCCACTCGTCTCTGTCTCTATAACGTATAGACATTATATCCATCCATGGCAGAGCTACAGCCACATCCTCCCCTCCCCACATTGCAACTGCGCAACTCTAAACCGAACAAAAAAAGAAACTTTTTTGCGCCAAGAAGCGTAACATGGCTTTTCAACGAAAATTTTGTAATCATTTAACAAACAAAAAAAAAACAATAACAAAAGTGAAGAAGTAAAAGAAGCAGCTGCAGAAAAACGATGGAATACGAGTGAAACGAAAACCGCTGCTGCGTCAGCTTCTACGCATGCGCAGCGGAGTTTACATCAAACGAACCTTGAAATTATTGTCGTTTTCATCATTGTTGTTCGGGTCTGTGTATCTGCAGCAGTGCCTCTCTAGCTGTAGCTGTAGCTTGTATCTGTCTCTGTGTTTGTGTGTAATTTCTATGGCAGACTTTGCATTGCACGCCTTGGAGTCACACTAAGTGAAGCACCCAGTACCCATGGAGATCTCTGGCGACAATTTCACCAGCATATGTCTTGGCTGCAACCTGCTCTGATTTCTCCCGGGACTATCGCTGCTAATTAAGTAACTGTTTGGTTCTACAAACGGTTCTTTCATCAACTGTATTTAGATTTAGGTGGTTTAGATAGATAGCTGTGCAGAGGTTCAAGGTTTATGCATGGTTTAAGCTGATGAAACTTATGAATTTGGGTGAGGAAAGTCAAAGAAGTTGCTTTAGTCAAGTGTAAAAGTAAAGGAAAAATGAGTTTTTAGAACTTATTGATGCCTTAAAAATGCATTTACTCCTTTTAAAACATAGGTTTCTGAATCCATTGAAGGATAATCCTCCTTTTGCTTTACAACTTACTTAACATAAACAGTATCCAATGAATTTGCTTTTTATATTTGTATTTGTTATATTTATATTTGCTTTAATAATTTTAGTAATATTTTCACATTTCCTTGAGCACTTTGCTTCACTTATTTCCTTCACAAACTTTTGGAAAACTCCAGGAGAAACTCCAAAACTTCACTTCAAGCCGGCTGGCCTCATTCGACTTTAAATCACTTTCCAGAGCACTTTTGCTCTTCTTTAATGAATTGCCTTTTAAGTTAAATCACAAAACTTCACTTGGAATTTATTGGGGGGAGTGGACGTTAGCAATCTTTCTTGCAAAGTGTTTCTTAAGCCGAACCGTCTCGTCTGGAATGCACGCGAAAACTGTTTATGCTGGCAAACAAAAAAATGTTACAGCCCAACAGATTACTCAAGATTTCTACAAAAAATATTGGCTTGAGCGTGCCACAGTGCCAAGTGGGGGAGTAAGTGCCTTAGACACAGAGCGGGCTTCCTGCCTCTGCAATATCGTGGAGTTGGATTCCACTTTTGGCGCCACACTTGGCTGATTCTCACTCACTGCTCTGAGGAGCAGAGACTGTATAGTACGAGTATGGTTAGTGGATGGGATTGTGGATCGTATGGCGGAGGTGAACTGTGACCACAGCTCAGAGGTCGCTCGGGCTAGGCCCTGGTCATGTGTCTCTGCCTCTCTGGGTGAGGCTTGGGCAGAGTCTCTCAGGTGTTTATATATAATGAAATTGCAAGTGAAATGACTGCCATTAAATGAGGAAATTGTTTGTGCCAACGAAGGCCAAGAGAATTGAGTTTTAAAATGGTTTAAGCGAGCTTAGAGGGTTGTTCAGAAAGGACGTTTATTTAATTTGTAGGCAGGGTTTGCTGTCAATATTTTGATCTCTGATCAAAACACATCTGTTACATCTCTTTCCGATTTATCACTTTCATCTGACAACAGTTTCAGTCACTTCCTTTTTCTAAATCAAATTAAAGGCCTCATAAAGCGCCTAAATAATCAGCTCTCTTTTTTAATGGGATTACATAAAGAGTCGCCAGTTTTTGTGGGTGCCACATACTGCTCTCTGTTTCTTTTCTTCGGAGACGCTTCGCTGGACAAGGCACGATCGCGGTACACAATAGCATAACGCTTCCCTAATATATTTAATTTGTTTCGTGATTTATTTCTTTCACTTTTTGTCGCCTGTCGGCAGCAGGGGGAAGAGCAAAAAGTGAAATTCTCAGCTGTTCTCTCTTTTTTTAGTTCTGCTTCGTTATGCCATAATATTTACTCGATTCAGATTATGCAAAAAGCATTCTACTCGCACGTCATGCAGTGGAATAATTACGAGTCTCAAGGCATCTCTGGACACGAGATGATAAGCGGAAAACTGTTTCCCCAATTAATGCCAATCCATTGCATTCCACTATCTGATTGAACACAACACGTGTCTGAGTCTTACACTAATTTGAAGACAGGAGCTAACATTGAGAGGGTCTCGACCCCCCCAAATGAAACTCAATTTCTGCCTCGAGGTTATTTTGATCTTGGGGTGTGCATAAAGGAATTAATTGAGAGCTACAGTGAACGATCTGTTGGAGGGAATATTTCATACAAATATGCCATTTATGCCTGAGTAAAATGTTATAAAAAATATAAACATTTTAATGGAGAGAGAATACATTTTTACCCCCAAAAACAAAAGAGGGGCCTGTCCTGATGGCGCTCACCCAGCAGGCACCCCATAAGTGGGCGACAGTGCTTACATAACATATGTACAGATTTAGACATGCCGAGACGAACCGAAAAGGAAACCAGCCCAGCATTTTGTTGTCAATTGCCAGGCCTCCTCACTGTCTCTCTGTCCGTGGGCAGCTTTCGGTTTTTATTGAGTTACTCGCCATGGCGACAGCTCCCCCCAAAAGCACCATGCCACATACAAGTCATAATGAATTTGACTGGCTGCCAAATGCTGCTCGTGCTACGAGTAATACTCACCATCGCAGAGCTAACTATGCCAGAGTGTGCTCCCGCGATTTATACATATACAGGCGGAAGTGAGACAGAGTACGGGTACGGTTCGAGGGCTTGCTGAAAATTATTTTGCAAATTTCGAAATCAGTTTGAAATTGTCAGTCGCACGTCGCTGTGCTGTGCGCGTCCCAGGAATAGAATCGGAAAATGCTACGCAAATGTCTAGCCAGCGTGGCCCTGGCACCGCTGCCCAGGATTACGCCTGCCGCACAGCTGGCCGGACTCAGTCAGAATCGTGGGATGCATCAGGCGCCGGACAAGTCAAGACCCCCCAAAGTACTCATCACAGGTCAGTGGACTGGGCCACGTGCGAGAGACTCTGCCAAGGCCAAGTGAATAATAAACCGCTGTTGAATATCCATTTCCATGTATTTCTGTCCAAAGGTGGCCTTGGGCAGCTGGGCATCGAGTGTGCCAAGCTCCTGCGCTCGCAGTATGGCAACGAGAATGTGATCCTCTCGGACATAATCAAGCCCAGCCAGGCGGTGCTGGATAATGGGCCCTACATCTTTGCGGACATCCTCGACTTTAAGGGTCTGCAGAAGATCGTTGTCAATCATCGCATCGATTGGCTGATACACTTCTCCGCGCTGCTCAGTGCTGTGGGTGAGCAGAATGTGCCACTGGCTGTGAGGTGAGTTCGGATCACTTCTGATTCAAAAGACTTTTTAATGCCGCATTTTGTAGGGTCAACATTGAGGGTGTTCACAATGTCATTGAGCTGGCAAAGCAATACAAGCTGCGAATCTTTGTGCCCAGCACCATTGGAGCCTTCGGGCCCGACAGTCCACGCAATCCCACGCCCAATATTACGGTAGGCATTCTCCTTGCCCAAATGTTTGTTCGATATTTATGTTGCCCTCTTGTCCTTGCAGATACAGCGTCCCCGCACTATTTATGGCGTTTCCAAGGTGCATGCCGAACTAATTGGCGAATATTATTATCATAAATTTGGCCTGGACTTTAGATGTCTGCGCTTCCCCGGCGTCATCTCTAGCGATCCACCAGGCGGCGGTACCACAGGTATGGCATTCATTCATTCATCTCAATCTAGTTACTTTCCCCTTTGCGAAATTGTGTCGTCTGGGGCGCATTTCAAGCTTTATTTAATGCAATTTAACAACATAATATGCCGCAATTGCTGATCGTTTAGGGCAATCAAATGGCTTGACAATGCATCATTTATTATGCTACAGAGAAAGAGGGAAATACCTGTTGACCTGACCCATTAAGCTATTGACTCACTTAGTTTGGGTATAAATTATCTTTGATTGATGATACCAAAGCATAGTTGAGGTAAATGCAAAATGCGTAGAAGGGAGCTGAAGATTCGGTAGATATTATCTACTTATATTATAGTTCCGATCTTTAGCAGTGAAAGTACAAAAATTAAATTTATTTGAATGCTTTTGCATACTTTTGAGGATTTTCCATTGGATTATCGCAGTTTGCTCTTTCCTTTGCAGACTATGCCGTGGCCGTGTTCCATGAGGCCCTGCGCTATGGCAAATACACTTGCTATCTGCGTCCCGACACACGTCTGCCCATGATGTACATCGAAGACTGTTTGCGGTAAGCTGGTGGCTGGTGAATCCCCAACCTCGAAATCGTATCTAAGTTTCCTTTTTATAGCGCTCTGCTGGAGTTTATGCGTGCACCCAATGAGCAGCTAAGGCGTCGCGTTTACAACGTCACCGCCATGTCGTTTACGCCCGAGGAACTGGTGGACAGACTGAGCAAGCACGTGCCGAATCTGCATGTGACCTACAAGCCGGACAGTCGACAGTCGATAGCCGACTCCTGGCCGGAGGTGTTTGATGATTCCGAGGCCCGACGCGACTGGCAGTGGCAGCACAAGTACGATCTGGGCAACCTGGTGGACTTTATGGTCAAGGATGTGCAGGAGAACTACATCAAGGTGGAGAATCGCCAGCAGCAGCAGCAGCAAATGCTCAAGATCTGAGTAGTGGAGGTCAAGGCCGCATCTAGTATTCAACTCTGCATTTATCTAGAAATTACAAAACCCAACTAAAATGTACAATTCTCTTTTTGTGTTCATTTATTAGAATTCAATGCCTAAACACTAAGCACCTTCAGGTAGCGATATGCGAGAGCTTACTTGACTACTTCGGTTTGGGGTTAACAATGCCCGGATCGGTGCTAGTTTGTTAGTTAGGGTACTAAGTATAGATAACCCTATGGGTTAGTGGTACATTTTGTATTGTTCAGATAGTAAACTCCTCCTGCTCTGAGCCGCCCAGCATTTGGAAGTGATGCAGGCAACCGCCATGCGTGGCTATATACAGATCCGCCGCCTCAGCTTCACTGGAATTTGTGTGGACTTTCGTGAGAGGCTTTGCAATCACTTTTCTGGTTCTATGCTGCTCGAGCTGCCGGTACAGCCGCTGCTGTTTCACTTTGGGGTCTGTAAACGAGCAAAGAGTGGAGAGAGTTTGTCCATCAGTTTTTCGCATTTTTCACTTCGATTTGCATTGCTCTGCTTTGCTACGTTTGCTCCTTAGATCTTTCACAAAGTGTTTCAAGCATTTTCATTACTGGATATTCATTGTGGGATAATTATTGATGGGTTTAAGGCATCAATCCTCGTGGAATTGATATGCCCAACAATATTTCTCGTGTTTGTATGTAAATTTGAATTTATAATATGTAAAATATTATTTTTAATTAACAATATTCCATTATTTCCAACTATTCGCATGTACGATCCGTTCCATTCCATGCGAAATATCCATTATAGTTCTCGTTCAGAAAATATGGTAGAGAAAAATGGGTATATTGAATACATTTTGAACATATGGTGGTAGCAGCTTACACTAAATGCTTAAACTATATTTATGGAACAGCAAAATCAATTCACAAATTTGAAATCATTAAGTGCTAAATACGCCCAACACTTTGTAAAGGGTCCGAGCAATCGCTTCAAGCAGATTACAACACGATCTTAAGTATCTACATATGTATATATTGCTTCTGTGTCAGCTGATTGCATAGCTTCTCTTAGTTAAGTGTCAAATTGTTCAAGTTAATTAAGTATTGCTTGATATTTGCATATTAAGTACAGGTACACTCCAACGATCTTTCAATACTGTTTTCGTTCGGCTTGTTCTTCTTCTTAAGTTTGTACAGTTATTCGCTTGGAATTTTTATTGATTGATCAATTGATTCGTTTGCTATTTTTACAATTTCCCTTTTTTGGTCTGGTTTTGCATTTCATTTTTGTATGTGTATTTTTTTGCGATTTTTCCTTACAGGTTATATATTGGAAATTTTGTGAATTCAGCAAAGAGAAACGCGTCGTTTGGTGAATTGTTGCATGTGTTTCTGTGCGTTGCTTTTAAGAGAGGATTTTGTGAGTGGGTGTATATACATTTATCATTACTCATATTGTGTGAAAGATCTCTAAATCATGTGCGACATCATGCAACGACTCACATCACGGTTAGTGCGATGCAAATGACCTTGAAAATGCTGCTGAAGGCGTTGCTGTTGTTGCTGCTGCTGGTGTTGTTGTTGTTGGTGCTGTGGCTGTGGCTCTGCTTCCATCATGTCCCCAGAGCCAAGATCGCTGGCCTGCATCTCGTAATCCATTAAGCAGGCCTGTGTTCCAATTACTTGTGTGGCAGGCAGGGAAAAAAAATCTGTAAGGCGAGAGGCAAACACGGTTTAGTAATCAGTGTTAACTGCAGACACAACACGTTGCCGCTATTGATATGTATGTCACCTGCTGCTGTGTCACAGGGTGTATTTTATAGAGCGAGGCATTTCCAGAAAGAGAGAGGGCTCTCACAATAGTCGCCTATTTTAGTGTCGCTGTAGACGTGAGAGTGCTGGGAACTCCGCACCTCACCTTGTCTAATGACACCTTGCGCTGCTGCCGCTGCTGCCTCAGTCGACGATAGCTGACGGTTGCCCCAATTGCCGTTCGTTTATTTATAGCCGATGCAAGCAACGTTGACAGCGACGCTGGCAGAGACGATGTCATTTCTTATCGCCCTGTCGTCCGTCGTCTTTGTATTTGTTTTGTGCTTATGATAACGGTTAAGTACAGGGAACTGTACTTTCTTTGCTTTCTAACACTGAGATGTATCCTTGGGAAATATGTTTTTGTGGCAGATCAACTTAACATTTCAATTAATTTATCCATTCAATCGTTAATTGAACAATAAATGCGATATGGACATAAGCCATTAACGCTTGAAAGGTAATCTATAAAATACACAACATTTATATTGATTTTCACTTTTTGGATACACACTTTTATCTCGGCTCTTGTTCTTGTTGTTGTGTATAAACCCAAAGATTGATTCGGGACACACCAAGTTGCAACACTTGGCTACCACCTGCTGCCCTGCCCCGCCGCTCACTCCCACTCCACTGGCCACCATCTCACCGCCGCTAGAGCGTTTAAATGCTGATTTACCGTCTCTATAATGCTTATCGGCTCTTTGAACGGAAAGCTGCGGACACGGAAAACGCTCTAAATAATGACTGATAAGCCAGGTCAGAGTAACAAAGTAAACATCAGTCGGTAAGGTCAGCCCCCCAGCTAATTTTGTAACGAAATTCACGAAAAATTCCACGCAACGACAATTAAATGTCAAGGTTAAGCCAAAATTGCTCATTAAATATACAATTTTTGTTTGTAATATGAAATCAACTTACCATTACAATACTGGGCCGCCAGATCCACATCGTCGAAGCGGCAGCGCTTGGTGTGCATCGGGTTATCCCCGTCCTCGGATGGCTCATTCCCGTTACAACGCTTTTTGCAGCGACCTGCAGACGCGGCGGCAGCATCCACTGGCTGCTCATTGTTGTTGGCATCGTTCATGAATGGCCATGAATGACCGCCACTGGGAGCATCGACAGGGGGAACAGCAGCGTAAGAGACTGCACGTGGATTGAATGGATCCAAGGTTTGTCGCATCTGCGTGGTTTCGAAATTGGCGGCAGTCGCGCCCGCCGAATCTGCATGTGCCCAGCACTCGAAATTTGTTAACACCATGCTGATGATGCGCGCCACCAGTGGAATTTTACCAAGAATAAACACACAGCAAAAAACAAAGCACTATTGAACGCCGTCCTAACTGTACTCGGTCGCACGGCAAACTGCAGTCGAAGATGGATTTTTCGGTATACAGTTAAATGCCGCAAAAGCAAATACGCAGCAATTGCAAAATGCTGAAATAAATTTAATTAACACACGCAAGCGGACGAGCACACAACCAACTACGAGGCGAACGGGCCAACGAAACGAGCGCACGATGACGGCAATTGTTAAAAATAAACCCGCAATAAGCAAGTTTTACATTTTGCCGCTTTGATTCTTCTGTCACGCTTTTGGTTTTCCTTTCGAACTTCGTTCCGATGAGTATCGCGCACGCAGGGGTGCTTCGAAACATCGATGGGTAACAAAGCAACTGTAGAAACTATCGCGATATCATGTGATTGTCAAAATGGATGATAAAAACGAATGGCAGCCAAAAGAAAAAACAAAATAGTCAAAAATAATCAGAGTTTTCAATTGGAATAAGTTCAAAAATATTTAGAAAAATGACGAACAAAAATAAGAAAACCATCGCCGGCATTGGAGGCCCTGCTGCCCCCTCGAAACAGTCCAAACAGAAGTCTGAGGTAAGGTGCACAATGGTGGGCAGGGCGGAATTGCCGGTAGTTAAGCCCTCTTCTTGTTTATGTTTCTAGGACTCCCAGGACTACAGCTCTTTCAAGACAGTGCTCTTCTACTGCATGCTGATTGTGTTCCTGCCTGTGATCACATTCTTTCTGATGAAGGCCGTCGTTTTGGATGGCTTCTTCGAGATGAGCGAGGTCAAAGTTAACATTTTCTCGGCGGTCGGTGCCGTGGTGTCCTTACACATTGCTCTAGGACTGTATATCTACCGTGCCTACTTTGGAGCCGCCAGCTCCAAGGCACCGAAGGAAGACTAAGCTTCTGGAGACTGTTTACCATTTCCATTTATTCGCGTTCTGTTATAGAAAGTATTAGCTAAGTCAAACGAAACGATACACTTTTGTACATACACCCAATGTTTATATGCCCGAGAGGGGGAGGGAAAGCTGTCTGTAAATGTGTGTAATCGTTTTCTATTGCATAACTCTCGATAGCAGCGGGAAAAACGTGCAACCCACTTTGTTGTCTAGTGTTTTGTGTGAATAATTCTGCATTAAAAAAGACATTAATAAGTGAAATGCGTGTTTTATTGAATCATGGCAGGTCGTGGGTGCGCCAATATTCGTGGATGCAGGCAGTCAGAACGTTGCTGCCAAAGCCGCGCAAGAAAATCTACAATCTTGGAGCTTGCTTTGAGCTGGTCGACATTTCACAGGTTAGATTTATGTACATTATTAATATTTCGATTTAATTTAAAGATATTCGTTGAATGTACAACACTGAGAAATAGCTGCACATGAGCGCCACCTGTTGTTAAAGTCAAACAGCTGTTCTGGCCAGAATATATTTGTTTGTGCTTGTTTATTGCCCCCCAACAAGTGCAAAAACGATAAATTGATAGTGATAGATGCCACGCAACAATTTCGTTAACACATGCTGCAGTCTACACACCTGTGCCCATGCAGCACCACGCCCAGCGGCCAACAACCAGCACGCACAATTGATTTGAACCACCTGTTAGAACGCTGCGAGGCGAGAATCCCATTCACCAGCAAAACGGAATTACTCCGCCACGTATTCGGGAATCAGTGTTCAACATGCTGCGACGCCAGCTGCCTCGATTGCCTCCGAACATGTGGACATTGTGCGTGCAGGCGGCTCTGATAGCCACCTTGGTCAAGGGCTCGGTGTCACTGTCGGACAATGCGGTTGGCCGAGCACAGGTGCCACTACCCCCCCAAAGCAACCATCTGGCTGTGTGTTAACTGTCTACTTTTTCCCGTTGCAGACCTCGTACAATCCTAGCATGCTCTCTGAGTCTAAATTCCTGGAATACAGCAATCTGTCGAACAAACTGCACTTGCGGGAAGCCATCAGCAGCATTTTGATTCCACGCGTGGTGGGCACCGGCAATCACAGCCTCGTGAGGCAGTACATCGTAGAGAGCCTGAGAGATCTAGACTGGCATGTGGAGCTGGACAGCTTCCATGATACGGCCCCCATTATGGGTCCGCTGCATTTCCACAATATTATTGCCACCCTGAACCCAAACGCAGAGCGTTATTTGGTCCTAGCCTGCCACTACGACAGCAAGTACATGCCGAATAAGGAATTTCTGGGAGCCACGGACTCCGCAGTGCCCTGTGCCATGCTATTAAACCTGGCCCAAGTGCTGCAGGAGCAGCTAAAACCGCTGACGAAGTCCAAACTCAGTCTAATGCTTTTGTTCTTCGACGGCGAGGAGGCCTTCGAGGAGTGGGGACCCAAAGACTCAATTTACGGTGCCCGGCACTTGGCGAAACGCTGGCACCACGAGGGAAAACTGGATAGCATTGATATGCTTGTTCTGCTGGACCTGCTGGGTGCACCCGATCCGGCATTCTACAGTTTCTTCGCCAACACAGAATCGTGGTACATGCGCCTCCAGTCCGTGGAGACGCGTCTCGCGCAGGTTGACTTGCTGGAGCGTTATGCCAGCAGTGGGGTATCTCAGCGGGATCCCACGCGCTACTTCCAGTCACAGGCCATGCGCTCCTCCTTAATCGAGGACGATCACATACCGTTCCTCAGGCGCAATGTACCCGTTCTCCATTTAATACCCGTGCCCTTCCCCAGCGTCTGGCATACGCTCGACGATAACGAAAGTGTGATTGATTATGCGACTACGGACAACCTGGCGCTGATTATACGGCTCTTTGCTTTGGAATATCTCTTGGGCGGAGACCAGGCAAAGTAGTAGGGTGGAGTAACCCCCAAAAAAACAGAGAAACATGTATGATATTTATAGATGTAGTACTTATGTGTATGTATGTACATGACGGCCTTATCTATCTGACCTGTCCGATATCAAACATTGTTGTTAACTATTGTTACTCGCTGTGGAAATCATGTGGATCGTATAGTTAACTAACTGTCCTGGCCAATGTGTAATCCAAATATTTTTATAGCTATTTATACGTAAGCAGAGTTCCCAACTGAACAATTTGCTCATTCAATTGATTGTATGTATTTTTAATTAATTATTTTTCGTTTGTATAATTGCTAGGAATAATGCAATAACAATACACAATACAATACATGTACCTTAAAAACAATGGATTCGTTAAGCTAAAATGTACAAGCACGTGTCCTAACTAGTTAAGCGTCGCGCGAGGAAACATTAGCTGCAACAAATTATATGGCAAAATCGTAAACTAACTTAAGAATTAGCTAAAATCGTCCATCAAGCTTGACCTAAAACCTAAAACTATTGTGTGGAAGGCTCTTGGCACTTTTCGTCGCTACTCGCAGCTGCAGGCGGAAGCGGACTGTCTTCTGTGGCCACTTTTGGATTTGTTGTTGCCGCTTCCACCTGTGACTTGGCTTCGTCTATCGCTTGTCCCTTTATCAGTTGTGCTGCATTCAGTTCTTTGGGCTTCTCCACCAAGACCGCACTCAAGTCGGACTTGCTTTTGTCATGCCCATGACCATGACAAGGCGAAGACTTGGACTTGCCGACATCCGGACTGTCGCTAATCTCTCGCAGATCCGTGCGTGAATCCCGACAGCACACCTTTTCGATGCACTCTGCCGCCTGGCACTGCATCAGGCACTCCAGCGAGGCGGAGGCATTCTTATTGGTGGACGGATAGAACTCTGGCTGGATGGTAACGGCGCCGATGCCCTGATCATGGAAGTACGAGCGCACCTGCTCGATTATCTTCAGGTAGAGCTTGGGATTCTGGAACTGGATGTGTATGGTGGCCACGTAGCGATGGGCCGCCAGCTGCCAAATGTGCAGATCATGATAGCTGACAATCTCCGGGAACTTCGTGACCAGCGTGCGCTCAAAAATCTCCAGATCGATGGAGCCAGGAATGGTCTGCAGCAAGATAAGGCACGATTCTTTCACTGTTAGGGGAAAAGGGAGACAAATAAGTTCCTATTCTCCTTTGTATAAACTTTTATACTCACTGTAGGGATAACTGAGCGAAATCAGAAGGATGCACGAGAAAATGGACAGCACCGGATCAATAAACTTGGCCGTATGCTGCTCATCCTCAGCCACATAGACAATGGCCGCACAGACAATCACAAAAATGGTGCTGGACACATCACGCAACATCTCGACGGCACCCTGCCGCCTGGTGGCAAAGTAGACACTGCCCACCTCCGTCTCCAGTTCTTCGCGCAGCTGGCGATCGTTACGCGACTTGCTCAACTGCCGCTGCATCGGCTTGAGCGATAAATCCATGTTGCTGGACATGGAACGCTCGAGAACAACATTACCGCCAGGCGTCAAGTGGAGGAAGCTGCCCTGATGCAGCGTGTAGCCACCGATAAGCAGATAGGTCAGACCGTTTAGTATGAGACCCACAAAGCCCAGCATCATCACGGGTATGGGCAGGTGCATCGTGTCCTGGTGATCGATGTGCACCAGCGTCTGCAGTGCCTCCACCACCAGCGAGAAGGAGAGCGAGGCCAGAATGATGAACACTATCAGCATGGTGAGTATATCGATGCGGGCCCAGCCGAAGGTATTGCGTAGCTTCTGCTCCCTGCACTCCCGCCTGGCCTCCTTCTGATCCTCCGTCTCGCCTAGCTGCACAACCACGCCACCGTTGGTGCCATTGAGCTTGGCCGGACACGCTGGCTCCTCCTGATTCTTTTTGCTGTGCTGCAGGTTCGAAAAGAGAATGAAGAATTAATTTTCAAATAGAATCATCGCATTGTCATTTGCTTTCTAAGCTTTCCAAGTCATAACAATTGGCAATGGCTCCCAAATTGTGGTTAGCGAGTATTTAAACGCTTCGCTGGTCTTCTCTGCCATTATATAAGCTCGGCCCCGGCGGCCCACACACCTACAAGCTGTCTCTCTGTCCGTTTGGACGCTTTCGATTTCTGGTATCTCTGAGGTTTCAGGCCAAGTTTTTTGTGGTTTTTGGATGTGTTTGTATATTTCTTTGCGAAACGTGCTTGGCACGCTTTGCTTTCCCACAACCCGAACAATATTTGCATTCATTCAATAATATGTAAAAAATATTTAACCATGACAAAGATCAAACACATTGGCGTGAATAGCGATGTGACTTCACCTTGGGATAGCCAAACTGGAGTTGGGTAAGAGTATTATTTTATTGTATAATAATAGACCACTGAGAGACCTGGTTTTTCTGAATGGAAAACAAAGAACACTTTCAAACACATTTATGCAAAAGTTTATTTAATTTCTGCCTGAATAGTTCCCAAACATTTGCAGCACCATTTGTACATTTGTTCATATCTCCACTGAAACTCCCTGAAATTCAGGCTGATATCTGTGTAGACAGAGGCATTAAAGTCGGTCTAGGCAATTACACAGCAATCTACTGATAAGCTTGAAATCAAAATGAAAACACACAAACGAAATGTGAAATGTGCAGATAACACAAACTAAAAGAACCGGCGCACCCCTCCAGAGAGAGAGCAAAAATATTTCAAATATTCGCTAATAAATAATAATTTGAAATGGAACCAGTTTCAAGACAAGGAGGAGCTCGGAATGCGTCTTGTGTGTGTGTGTGTGTGTGTGTGTTGCTGGCCACAATCAAAGTTCAATGCACCAGCAGCAGCCGGCACGCGACAAAGATCGTAAGCAAAAATAAAGCCAAAACCAAAAACGAGTTGCTGTTCCACTTACCTTAATTGTTATGATGCAGCCGCCCAGTGCGAATATGTTGCACAACATGTGATACGATGCCATGAGCAGTGTCAGAGCGTGCGTTATGTGGCTGAGAGCCAGCTGGACCACAAAGTAGCAGATCGATAGCACCAGCACCACATACAGGGGTATGGGCCTGCAACGCTGCAGTATATCTTTGATAGGCATTATGGGGTTCTATGGAATGAAACGTAGAGCGTTATTTGTTTAAATATTTGCTAAATGCGGATGTGACGCTAAGAGGTCACCACTTGACTTGTCAACGAACCATAGGTGTGATCTACACAAAATTAACTTAATTTGCTGGCCAAACAAAGTTACACCTTTATCAGCAGGCTGCCAATACAGATCGATGGGTAGAGAATGTAGAGGGATTTTTGACTTAAGAAAGTACTCTAGATCTTTGGGGTAATATATAGATGGGTTTGGGACATGTTCTTATGCTCTTTATCATTGGAAAATCTTCTTTCAGGCATTACGCTTTCAAAAAAGAAAACCCAACCCAACCACAATCTGTGTCAAGTTCAAGTTCCCATACTGCAAACTGCACTGAACTGTGCTGAACCTACCCACCATACATACTCGTATTTAGGGTAGTTCAGTTCATGCCACGCCATTTCATGCCAAACGCATATGCAAATCATCTAAATCAGCATTATGGGTATGGGCTATGGATAGGGCTTCTGGCTGTCGTCCGGCATGCAAATGAAGATGCTAAATGGGCTCGTTTTACCTGTGGCTTACCTGTACCGCCACCATAGTATCTCATTGAATCGATAGCGATCGCCATCGGAACGGATCGGAGCGACATTGACGTAACATTACGTGATCGTGGATATGGCTACTGCCGATTGTTTCTTGGCCTGTTCGCCTGTAACCCCAAGGTTAGACCTTTTTATCGGTCAGTCATTTGTAATTTTACAATGCCCTGGACTATTTTTGGTAATGAATAAATCAAGAATGTGGGAAAACCCCTTTAAAACCTTTAAAACTTAGACAACAAAGTAACTATAATTGTGCTCACTAGTTTCTAGTTTATAATCTCCAGCCATAAAATGAAGCTTAGTTAAAAAGACCTACCATAAAAAGATAAAAGTTCGATGGAATATCGATTGGTTTGGCTTAGTTCTTATCATTGCGTGGAGCGTGTTATAGGCCTATTTTCCATATGGCCTGAATATCTATCTACCTTATCTTCAAAGTAGAGAGATCAAGAATTTGGGCATATTTATGCCCGAAACTAATCCATAACTTAAACAGACCAGAACCAATAACATAATGATGTGGTTGCCATGGGCATAAAACAAGATAATGGAGCATTGATATATATGTATGACCTCATTTCTCCTTAGCACACGAAACCTCTGCCATGTGGGAGCCCTGATTGATATCTCCACCATCCATCTGGAATGCTCAATAAGTACTTATACAGCATTCGATGTAAATCAAATGGAATGATGCAACCTCCTCCACATGGTGTCAGCGATCAAACGATTTAATTGCATTCCAAATTGTCACACGTGCAATGGTAAATCATTTAGTTTCGATTCAAGTGATATAATCCATTGTTCTCCCAGTACTCCCAGAAGGTAATTAGACAAAATTCTGATACAAAAGCGTGAAATGGCGCCTCCGGCTCCAAATTGTTCACCAAAACACAAAACACACAGCGACAATTCCCAACGTTTTGGGAATAGAAAGCGAAAGCTGCAGCAACACATTAAACAGATAATGTTAGACAGGTAGCAACAAACAATTTAGATACAAGTGCTGGACCTAAATACATGTGTACAAATGTATGTATAGCAGTGGTTCCACTTGCCACAGACACTAAATGTTCATTTCCTCAATTTGTGTTCATTCTCAATGGGAGACGGAGGCCTGTACAGCGAGAGAGATAACGAAGATAGTGGAGATATGTATCTCCATAGAGCCAGACACAAAGAGCACACTGGCTACGCTTATTGTTGTTGCTAGGGGGATCTGAGTTCGATGTGCTCTACAGATTACAGTAAGTAAGGCCAAAGAAATGTCCCCATAAATTTATACCCGGTTTTTCCTTCCCCCAGTTTTCGAATGGCTTTCCAAAATATTTGATGACTCCTCCGGTATCCGGCTATTGTGTGTTTTACGATAACGTAAAATCCGCTTAATAAATCTGTCCCAAGCGCTGACAGCTCAATTGTCAATTAGATCAATGCAACAAGTGACTCCATCAACAAATACACACAGACAACAACAAATAAAAGGTAAACTCTGCTAAATGAATTCGGGGTCCAATAACATTTTGTTTTTTTTTGTTTTGTTTTGATTTGTCATCAGATACGATGTGTTCGCGAGGAGGGAGACGTGACATTGCCTGCATACAAATTTAAATTTGGCAAAGAAAAGAGAGATAACAATTTGATTTTGATTTTTCTGCGTAGATTTGAATTGGGTCTGGCCTCAAATATTCGTTCGCCTGTTTCTAACGTTTTTGACCATTTTAGACAAGGTCGCCGATGCCTGTGGAATTTGTAATTTACAAGGCAACCGAAAACTGTTTTATTTTACAAATTCTATTCATATTGTTGTTGTCAGTGACAGCGTTGGCTGCCAATATTGGTGTTGCCAATTATCAATGGCATATGAGGCATGTTTGAATAGTTTTTCGAGCGCGCCAAAGCAGACGCCTGATAAACAGTGCAGATATCTATCTCTATCATCGGCTCTATACCTATCTTTCTCATAAATCAAAGCAAACACTATCCTGCTGTTTCGTTTGCATTGCAAATCTGACAGTTTTTGCTGATAACGTACATTTGCTGCGATTATCGAAAACAAGCCATCCCTACAGAGGTCCAAAGTACATCTCTAATTAACGGCAACGAAGGGCTTTCTATCTATTTCAATCTCTCATTATCATTAGCTCTCGCTTGCTCACAGGCTTACTGATTAATCCAGCCCTCTCTTAGTCTTTTTCTGTCTCATTTTTATAGGAAAATCTGAAAGTGCAATCAATAATCGAACACAGCCCATCTCTACGTGGGTTCAAAGTCCGTCTCTAGTTGGGGAATTCTGCAAAAGCAAACAAAGGAAATGTTGGCAAGACTGGAAGCTAATTTTGAGAATGCTATATCTGAAAAAAAAACTAACAGCTACCGTAAAGTGTGAGTCAATAGCCTCCCTTTGAGCGTACCACCTGCACATACCTCACAGCACAATTCAATTTAATTTCCCAATAAACGAAAAGGAAATGAGGCAAGAGTATTTATTGTAAGTGCACTTTTATGAAGCCCCATTTACGTGAGATCTGCGCCTATATTCCATGACTTCTCCCCAGACTGAGGAACTACCTAAGACTCGAAGAAACACTTTCACTCGTCCTCCCGCTGGAGCGTGATCAACGCAGCGCATTCTTTCAGCATTCAACTGATGAAAACAAATTAAAATAATACACAAATTGATATTAGCTTCAATTACGCTTGATGAGGCTCATCAAATATTTCTAGCGGTAAAGTAATTGTTAAGTTAATAATTCATTGAGAACTTTTGGTATGCTTGCTTCGGCTCTTGGGCCAATTTTTGAGCCAAGGTCTTTGTTAGCTGATTTGCATTGAATTAGTCAGAAATCTCTGGGATGAGAATTTGTTTTCGGCTCAGACATGGGGCTTACGAATAGCAGTAGTAGACAGATATAACCATTAATTAGCATTCATTTTGATCAAATTTATTTTTACACCAGGTACCGCTTGATGCGTTTTTATTTCGATTATTATTTTGCGTCGGTGCCAAGAGGTGCGAGAGGCGTCTTAATAATCACTTGCTAAGTGGACACACAGTCCAGTCCGACTGCTAACGAATCAGTCATCTATATACATATGAACGTATCTATATCTAGCCATACTGTATGCGAAAGGTGTGTGTTTTTACTGGATACTAGCGGTTGTGTGGTACGCAGCTAGCCAGATGTTTTTACACAAGGCTAAGAAGTTAGGGAGTCTTATCACTGTTGAATAGAGTGCAGAATTAAAGCTTAGATAAAGGAAAATTACCTTTAGTTTAGGGGCAACTTTTCACTGTATGTCGGACACCGTTTAGTTTTTTGTTTGGATTTAAATTTGATTTGTTCTATTTATAGCAGCACCACACAATGAATATTTTGGTAGGCTTTTTTTTTTCTAATTTATTATTATTATTTCTTTGTATATATCACAATTTACACACGCGTGCCACCTGGGGTAGCGGGAGAGTGGCAGATCGGACGATGCGGACGGCAGCGCGGCTCTGATGCGAATGAAAAGCAGAGCCACGAGGAGCGGCGATCAAGCCCAGTAAATACAAACAAATATATAGCTCACAAATCTGATGTACGAAAATAAACGGGGTGGGTAGGCGGGTGTTTAGTGGCTGGCAGACGCAGAGATATGGAAACAGCAACAATGACCACAGCCACAGCCGGCAAAAATAAAGGCCAATATATTGAAAGTGAGCGTGCAAGTGCCTGTCTGTGTGTTTGTCAGCGAAAGAAAGAGAGAGAAAGCAAGCCATAGACCAAAAGAGAGAGAGAAGCAACACGTGTGTGGGTGTAAAAGTGTGATAGAAGAGAGAGAGAGTGAGAGAGAGTGAGATTAGGTAGGGCATTTCGATGCGTGTGGCAGGCAAAGAGCGACAATCAATAGGTAAGCGTTATGAGGGGTAATCTTTGTGGGGTAAAATATGTTTTGAGCTATGTAAAGCGACGACAACGATAAACATTTTTACGATCCACCCACATATGGTAATCGCTAGATAATTACAGCACACGCACTGTGGAAGAAACCCTTACCAGTTTTACCTGAAACACACACACACACACACACACACTATACTTCTTATCAACAGCGATAAGGACACGGTAGAGAAAGCCTACTTTGAAAACTCCAAGATTAAAATATTTTCAACCGAATTCGTTTGCTGTTTGCATAAATATAATTCAAAGTCAACTGTCCGCTGGTCTGCAGGAGAAGTTTGTAAAAGGCGAAGTGTACTATGAATTTAATTTAGAACCCTCGCCGAGACGAACCAATGTTGGCATTGTAATTGCATTTTCAGCACGTAATGGAGATAAAAAGTCAACGGGGTTGACTTTTGGCCTTACTTGCTAAAGTGGGACATGTCTGGCACCACCATGGATAATGCAAGAAAAATATTCATAAATTAAGCCATAAGCTGCAGAGTTATTTACGAATTGCTGACACTAAGCCGTAGAAGAGTAATTAAGAGTTGATGATAAGGCCATTCAAAGAGGTTCACATTTCAAAAATGTGCGCCATTTTTTGAGGCTGTGTGGCAGCGCCATTTCGAATTCACAGCGACACGTGAATGTCTCTAACATTTAATTAATGTAACCATCAACAGATGGGCCAGAGCTTGGCGCCAAAACTGGGGTCTTTGGCGCCAAAACTGCGCTCTCTGGCGCCATAACTGCGGTCTTTGGCTCCAACGACCACTATACAATGGAACGACTTTCTGTAGAGACTTGGATTAATATAACCTGACATTAACACTAAGCTGAAGCTTTGTTTTGGCTACGCACCAGCCCTGTACCTGCCACCCTTAGTTTCTTGCAATTGAGTCCTTGCACTTTCTTAAACCGCAGGCGTACGCCTAATTTTCAAACAAGTTAAAACAAACCACACTAGTCGAATATTAATAAGCTAGAAGATATGTACAACTAACCATGTTTAAATTAGAACACTTTTGCACGCAGCTTCTTTTCGCGGTACAACACAACAATACAGTTGCAGACGGCTCCCAGCAGTTTCAAGGCCAACTAGACTCCAACCGCCCGGCACAGCAAATCAATTGTAATGTAATATCCTTCTTGTATAACAACTTTCGTGATATAGAAGACCGTTCTTCATTTAGCAATGGTTTACTTTTAGTTTTAAACCAGTTTTATCCGTATTAAAAACGCGACTTGTCACAAACAAAAAATCACAGCTTAGGAAGAACCTGACTTTATCCTTTATCCAGTTAATTACACACATGCACTCACACTTGCAAGAAACAGAGTGGCCAGATCGATGGATTTAGCTCGCCGTTTTCAATAAGCAATACAGTAGATAATTGTATATAAGAACAGAGTTTTTCTGACTTTTCTCCTGCCTACACAGTTATTGTCGCATTTGGAAGAGGAATAAAAGTTAATAAGCTAATACAATGCCATTGGGGGAATTAAAACAGTTTCACATTTGAAAAATGTTCGCCAACTTTGAGGCTGTGTGGCAGCGGCAGTTGGAATTCACAGCGGCACTAAAATGCTTCGAAAATGTAGTTCATGTAACTATCAATAGATTGGCAGAGCTTGGCGCCAAATCTGCGGAATTTGGCGCCAATCTGTGGCCTTCGTTTTCAATAAATACAAACGGACTGTCCGACTTCAACAAGTGGAACCTGTCCTTAACATTATGGTCTTTGCTGTACCCCCCTTTCCACTAAGCCTAGATCGGTGGTAAGAGTCTGTCAGAGTTCAGATTTCTAAGGGCGAATATTAAAAATTGTTGAAAATAAATAGAATTTCTTAATCGCTTTTGTTGTTTATCATCAGTTTATTATGTACATGGCTCTGTTAATAATTTACATACATTTACAAACTGAAGAAAAGCTCCTGTGCTTCCAGAGGGGGTGATTTGAATGAAAAATTCAAATACAAATTTGTAAAATATAAGGTCATAAGGTATACAGTCCAATAAAAAAGAGTATTTATAATAAGCAAAATTGATTCTTCAATCGGATTAAATTATTGTTTTAGGGTTGAAATTCTTAGCAAGCTATTAATACCAATTAGAACATCAAAATCGGCGAATATGATTTTAGACTACCGTATAGTTGTAGAATACCGTATCCCGTTGAAGATGCAATGCTATATTTTGGCATATTTACGAGGCCCTGATGGTATATTTTTTCGATAAATCTGCGGTCACACTGAACGCATAAATCTGAAAACGAGAGTTTTTTTTCTAGTTTTATTTGACTTTTTGAAACTTAAAATAAGCTAAAAATGTCTCGACAGGCCACCAGACTTGATGCCAAGAAAGTGGTAAGTTGAGAGAAGACTGTGCACGCTGTGGGTAAATCGGTACGCTGCTTTCTAGTTGTAAGGTTAGTTTTGATTAGACTGTAAGTACACAAATATTGAAGTGCCACCCACCCTCAAAATCGGCTTCATTCGCTTTTCCAGTAAGTGTGTTGAGGGCTTGAGGGACACCAGTGATTGACCAGGTAGCGCGTCCTGCGTGATATGGAAAACCATTTTAGCAGTACCCGCACCACAGCAACAATGAGCTCCGCTTCCGCCACCACCACCACCTCCAGCAACAACAACAACAACAACAACAACAGCAGCCAAAGCGCAGCCAGCAACAATGTGAATGTAAACACAGGCACTGCCACGGCCAACGCCGCAGGCGCCGCCGCCCAGCCGATTCAAGTGATTCCAATGCCAATGCTACCCACGGGAGCGGCACAGATTATTATCGGACAGCAGCAGGGACAGGCGACGGCCGGTCTCCAGCCGCAATTGATTCCGCTGCAGGCGAATCAAATCATGCTGCAGGCGCAGCAGCAGCCACAGATGCAGTTGATGCAGCTGCCCGATGGCCAGACCATATTCTATCAGACTCCCACCATAACTACACTCGATGCAAACGCGGCAGCTGCCGCAGTGGCCGCCCAGCCGACTCCTCACTACCTCAACATCAATGGCCAATTGGTGCAAATTACTCCAGCGGCGACGGGCAACCAGGGAGCAACCGCGGGTGGTCAGCAGATCATCATGCTGCCGCAAGCGGCAATGGCCACAGTCAATGCAGCAGCCGCGAATGCTACCCAAGCTGGCAACAGCGTTGGCAGTGTCGTCACCACGCAGCAGCAGCAGCAACCCCAACAACAGCAGCAGCAGCAACAACAACAACAGCAGGCGAATAATCAGGCAGCCGCAGCGGCGGCGAACAACGTGAGCGCGGATGCCAGTACCAGCACCACGGGAACAAATACAAACAGCGAGGACGAGAGCTCCAAGGGCGAGGCGGACGAGGAGCCGCTCTACGTGAATGCCAAGCAGTACAAACGGATACTTATAAGGCGACAGGCCAGGGCCAAGCTGGAGTCGCGCATACCCAAGGAGCGGTGTAAATATTTGCATGAATCTCGCCATCGGCACGCCATGAATCGGGCACGCGGCGAGGGCGGACGCTTCCATTCGGCGCAGGAGAAGGGCGAGTCCAGCTCGGATGGCGGCAGCCTGCCCATGGCACCCAGCAGTGTAACCCTCAGTCGAGGCACGGCGCGGGCACCGCCCAAGCTGATAGCGCCCCATCAAACGCCGAGCATAACGATAACGGCCATCAAGTCGGAATGACCCTTTGAAATTGTAGATATTCGTAGAAACCAGACTAGATCATAGCACATAGAATTAAGCAATCACTCTGTGTCCTCATCCCCCGCCACGCCACAACCCGCTCAACACGTCATATCTTCTGGATTGTACACAAGTCGAAATAAATTTGTATTTATTCTATAATCTCGCAAATTGCCGAATGCCAAATCGAATGTGTAAATCAGGGGAGAATATTAGTCCCAACTTTAACGCCTTTTTGCTGGTTCTGGATTGAATTTTATTTGCTGTCTGCTTTTTTTTCTTTTCTCTCTTTTTGTACAAAAAAAAATAATAAACACACAGAACTCAGAGTTCCTGACACTCACCTATGGGGCGCTGGTCACCCAAATGCTGCGCGACTTTGAGAACGTCGAGGATGTGAACAAGCAGCTGGAGCGCATTGGCTACAACATGGGCATGCGACTGATCGAGGACTTTCTCGCCCGCACCTCGGCGCCACGTTGCCTGGAGATGCGCGAGACGGCCGATCGCATACAGCAGGGATTTCGCATTTACTTGAACATTCAGCCCACCATCTCGAATTGGTCGGCGGCCTCCGATGAGTTCTCGCTGCTCTTTGACTCCAATCCGCTGACAGAGTTTGTGGAGCTGCCCGCGGATCTGACCAATCTGCGCTACAGCGCCATACTCAGTGGCTGTGTGCGCGGTGCCCTGGAGATGGTCCAGTTGGAGGTGCAGTGCTGGTTTGTGCAGGTAAGTTTTGTGTGGGAATACTTTGGTGTGGTGCTGGCTTTGGGTTATGCATTGTACGTGTGTGTGGGTGTGTGTGTGTGTGTTGTTGTTGTGGCATGTGCTGTGGCGTCTCACTCTCTCTCTCTCTCTCTCTCTCTCACTCTGCTCTCTTGCAGGATCAACTCAAAGGCGACAATGTGACGGAGCTGCGCGTTAAGTTCGTGCGGCGTCTAGAGGAGGTCATACCAGCTGGCGAGGATTAGAAAACGAAGTGTGGATCAGAGCGTATATTAAGAGTTTTAAGAGGGTTCAATAAAAGCACATTCTTTACGGATTAAAGCAGCAAACTATGTACTACATTCCGGAGCAGCAACAGCGGCAGGAGCAGCAGCAGCAGCAGGAACAGCATCAGCAATAATAATTCTATTAAATTTGGTTTAGCTTTTATGTTTTATTCGACTGTATACAAATGTTTTCTTCTCGGATATATATATATATAGATAGAGTACAGTGGAAAATATGTGTCGGGTTTATTATAAAGCGTTATAAACCGGCCAAAAAATATATCAGTATCAAAATATTTTATACAAATCGTCGATTGTTTATGATAATTATTGTATTGTGTGTTAGTTAAAGAGAGAGTTGTTATATTTCACATGATTCGTGTTTAAAAACTAGAAACAACAAGAACAAATTTAGTTTTTAGGCGGCGGCAGAAGCATTTCAAATATTACAGGAAGTTTGGGCTCTTTATATGTCTGCCTGATAAGGTTACTGTCTGCCTCTGTGTTTATTAATATATTTTATATTTATGGCAACAAGGTCTTATCTAGCTATTGTTCCGATGAGTAAGCCCCACAATCACGCTTTCTTTCCACATTGTGATCCGACAGATCTTTCGCTTAAATGCACTCAAAACAGCTTGGACAAATTTTTAGATGTATTTTTCGTGGTTCTTTATGTTCAACAAATGGGAAATACTTTTCACAGGCACAATACTTGATTACATATGATTTAGGTTTTAGGTTTTGGTTTTGGTTTTGGTTCTTTGGAGTAGTGCTGCTGCTGCTTTCGGGTATTAGTGGTATTTTTTCTTAGTTTAGTTGTGCTGTGGACAAAGCATTAGGTTTAGATTCCGGCGCGTCAGAACTTTGCGCAGAGCTTGCAGCGTTTTAATGCAGATCACCACGCAGCAGCCATTGGCCACACCCTCTGCGGGACTCTTGCATGTGCACGAGTTGCCCTTGAGCGCCGTTGCTGGTGCGCTGCTGATGACGGGCGGAGCTTGGACTGCAGCCTTGGCAGCGCAACAACTCGAAGCTGCAGGAGGCGGCGGCGCCGCTGCCTGTGGTTTCTGCACCGAACAGCAGCCGCCAGTAGGCGTTGGTGGTGGAGGAGTGGCAGCCGCTGCACCACCACTGCCACAGCAACCGCCAGACGGGGTTGGCTCGGGCGCTGCAGCTGGCTTGGCTGCACAGCCGCAGATGCAACCGCTCTTGGCTGCTGGTGGATCTGGAGCAGGCGACTTGTTTGCTGCGCCACCGCCGCAGCAGCCACCACCACCGCCAGAGGAGGAGCTGCCAGTGCCCATGGAAGCCAAGTTTTGCAATAGCAAAGCAACATCCTCGATGTTCTGGTTCATTTCCGCTTCGCGTTTACTCACTTTTTTGGTGGCCACGCTGCCGCATATACGCTTCCCCCCGTTCGCTGCGACAGTCGTTGTCGTTGTCGTCTGGGTCTTGGGCGCCGTCGCTGCACCGCAGTCGTCGCCGTGGCAGCTCTTGGTCTGATCACACTTGCAGTTGGTGCAATTGCAGATGCCAGCATCTGCAGTAATCTGCTTGAGCGTTGGCTTGTTGTCCCTGATGTCCAGCTCCACGAGGCCGGAAGCATCGCTGGGCACCTGCGCGGCCTGATGGAGCGTGGCCTGCAGCAGGGCGCTGTTATTGTCAATGGTCATGAGAATATCGTTCAGCAGGGACTCCGTTTCCATATCTTCATCGTTCTCATAGCTGTCATGCTTGAGCAGATCGTCGATGTTCTGCTGATTCAGCTCCAGAGTGGGCGTCGGGGGCGTCACACTCGAGCCGCTGGCCTTCATGTCCACGTCCATGAGCGGCGGTGGCATTGACAGCTCGCCCATGTTGCCACTCACAGCGTTGCCAAAGGCTGGCTTTAGGTCCACAAAACTGGGCATTTCAGTGGCCAGAGCCACACAGGCATCGGTGAGGGGAGCCATTGGAATGATGGGCTTGGAGACCAGAACGCCGGCATCAATCCACGGGCTGGGTATCTCCTCCTCGGCAGCGTAGGACAACTGATAGGCCTGCGATTGTTCGGGCAGGACAAACACATTCTGCAGCTGCTCGTGTGCTGTAAAGGTTTGTACTACCACGCCGCTGTCCGTGCTGGTCGTCTCCGAGCAGTGACTGCCCGGATTTATGATCAACATTTCTGTGTGCTGTGCCTCCGTTTCCGTGTCCACTTCGGCCTCCGCTTCCGCTTCCGATGGGGATGGTATAAGCTCTGCCTGCTCCTGCTGATTGTGTTCGGTGTGCGGCTGCTTCTGTGATCGCCTCGACTTCTTCTTGCCCTTGTTAATTAGCTGCCGCTGATGTGTCCTCTTGTGCGACTTGAGGCTGTGCGAGGTGCTGAACGACTTCTGGCAACTGTCCTCCTGGCAGGGATACGGCTTCTCGCCAGTGTGCGTCCGCTTGTGCGTCTTCAGATGATGGGAGGCGGTAAAGGCCTTGCCGCAGGCGTCTTCGGGGCACTTGTAGGGTCGCTCCTGGGTGTGCGTACGCATATGCTTCTTCAGATCACTCAGCGTGGTGAAGCATTTCTGGCACATTTCACAATTGAATGTCTCGCCATTGTGTAGACGCAGATGGGCGTGCAATCTGATAAATGGTCAGATCGTAGTATGTTGATTAACACAGTGAATAAATACGACAGACTATGGGGCTAACAGCACGGAAGAGTGGATGGGATTGCTCACCTGTAGCGCGTGTTGAATGCCTTATCGCAGCCGTTGACTTCGCACTCGTAGGGCTTCACCTTGGTGTGGACGCGTACGTGGATTTTCAGGCTGTACGATGTGAGGAATGCCTTGTGACATCCATCCTCTGGGCATTTGAAGCTGTAGTCGCCTAGAATACACATAAAACATTTAATTCAATGAAGAAATTCTTAAAATTATGAACCGTTACAGTTGTATCGTTCATTGTGCAGCACTGATACAACCATAAGTGTTGTCAAATAGCAAATAGCAGCTGTTCAACGAGATAGTATCGTATCGCATGCAATACAAATTCACGTGCTTTTCCCACCTCTAAACTACGATAAATTGAAAATAATTTTTTTTCGTCGCAGGTTTGTTGATTTTCAAATTGATTGGAAATAATGATGCTACAGCTCAGCAAGTGCCTCCTCTTTTACCGCCGCCGCCCGCTAAAGCCTCCCCGCCACCTGGTGTGAAGGATCCCAGCTCTCACCCTCCTGTTCATTTGATGCATTCATTTTGCCGCAGCGTGTAATTTCGGAAAACATTTAAAACATACCAATCATGTCCCACGATCTCGAGATTAAAATTATCAAAGCTGTTAAGCAGAACCCCTGCTTGTACAACAGCATGGACATTGGCTTTCGGAGTGCCCGCAAACGAGGCAGGGCTTGGAGTCAGGTGTCCGACGCCTGCGGACTGACAGGCAAGTAGACACTTGTGTGCTTGCCGGAAAACTTTGTTTTCTAATTATTTGACATTACCAATTGTAGTTCGCGAATGCGAGCATAGGTGGAAGAACATGCGGGACCGTTTTGTGAAGCTTTGTCACCGGCATGGTGCTGAGGAACTTGAGAACACAAAACACCCCACCCGAAGGAACTTCTACAATGAAATTAAATTTCTCAAGCGGCACATTAGGACGCGAGTGTACGTACTATGACCAACACCAAATAATATATTTAACCACATGCTCAAGCTCTCATTTGCAGGGAAAAAATAAAGAATGACATCGACGAGGGCAATTCGGACGAAGCAACAGAATTTAAAGTGCGCCGGCAGCAAATCGTAAATAACGATAAGGGACATCTGAGCGATACTGCAGATATTATAAATACCATCCACAGTGACAGCGAGGACGAGGAGCCATCTTCGCTTTTGATCGGCGAGAACGCCGCTCCTTCCAACTCAAATTGCGCTGCTGCCCAGACAAAATTCATCAAAGTGATGAACCTGGTTGAGAATGTTCTGGAGAAACTCAACGAAAAACAGAGTGAACCAGAGAAAATGACATCGAATGATACGGATATGCCTGCTAGTCCCTTCTATTCGTATCTGGATAGCATATTGAACCAAGTGGACCTGCCAACCCGCAACGACATACAATTGAAGCTGCTCACTTTGGCGAACGAGCAAGTGCGAAAGGCGGGTGCCCACTCGAACGCAGAAACCATACAATAAGCCTAAACAATAACTAATCTAGTAGTAAGGAGTAGTATAAAGAGGTGGTACCCCTTTTTTAAGTACCTTAAACGTACATACCTGTATGTGTCTTTAAATGCGTTCGCAGATTTCCGATTGTGCTGTAGCTGCGATAACAGTTCTCGTAGTTGCATCTATAGCGACTCAGAGCCTCGTCCGAACTCTGTTTATGGGAAATAAGAACACATTAGATAAGATCAAGCCACATCCGTATGAAAAAGTTAAGAAATTCGAACTATTAATGTGTATGTACAATGTCGTGATCTGTCATTGGATGAATGTTTCATGCAGGATGAGTGTTTAGTGGATAAGAAACGAGAGTCTAGCAGAATGTGTACAAAGCAAACACTACGCACCGCGTACTGGTTAACAACACTTTGTTACACACGCCTACAACAACAAGAACGGAATGTGCAGCGTTGGAGGAGTAGGCTTCAGGCAGCGGGCTTCACGCTACGATTAGGATGACGGCGAATCGCTACAAAAAGCGTTAGGCACAGCAACACGTTAGACATTTGGCAACAAAAATAAGGCTGCTGATGCTGTTATAAGGGGATTGGTGTACCTCGTATCCCAGGGCCATAAGCTGATCGTCATCGTCCCTGCCGCCCTCCTTGTGCAGGGCCTCTGGGTGTATGCAGTGAGCTAAATCATTGTCCTCGTCCGGCTCATTCTGATCATAATCTTCGACATAGCTGGAGAGGAGCAGGTTGAGAGAAACATTTAATGGATACGCTCGGGCGGCAGTTGGAAACAAATAGAAAATCGCATCGGGCGGAGCAATTCAATTTGGTGTCAGTGGGCCGTTAAGATCTTGTATGTATACACAATATGAAAACGCAACTAGTATATAAAAATGTACGTGTAAATATACATATGTGTATATACATATATACAGCAGAGTTTGCGATTAGTAGTAGGGGGTTAGATCGGCAGCAAACAACAGCAAATGGAAAAACAATGGCAATTAGTGGAAAATAGCTGACGAATACAAAAAAGAACAAGGGGGAAAAAATACATTCATCTGCAAAAAAACATGTCTCTTTGTGGGCATTAAAAATCAGATTAATTAATATTTAATGTTGTCATGGTCAAAACACAACAAATACCAAGGAAAACAGACGACGACGACAGAGCGGCCACATAAACTATAGAGGAAAAAAATAACACAAGGGGTTTTTGAGTGCGTGGGCACTACGACGGCGGGCCGGGCTGGGTCCGGCTGGCATTCTGGCGTTCCGCTGACGGGCAGCGTGCGCTCCCAGCCCTCCCTCGCCCAATCCTCACGAGATGCCCACACAGCCCCGCGGGTGCCACGGGGACTGTTGAAAAATGAGAAATATGATTGAGGGAACACTACTCATAGGGATAAAAATAGTAGAGTCGTCGTCGCCAAACAGCCAGCAACAAAGGGAAGGCGAAAGGAAGGCACAGACCAAACACACACAAAACAATATGGATGAAAAATTGAAAAATGATTGTAGTCAAGAATTGTGTTTTAAAGAAAAACAAGAAATACGACAATGTAGGGGGATCTATTCTAACACTATAATTGAATATCATTAAGAACTGAACAGAATTAGTCTCTAAAATGCCACAATTAATTCTTACTGGATGCATGGAAATGTATCCACAATTCTAATGGAATTTTCCATCCAATTATTAAATGCAAAAGTATTGGAAATCGATGAAAACATGGTGTAATCGATTCAATCTAATAATTTTTGCTATCAGACAGATGCTATGAATTTACCAGAGATGTGCCACGTTGTTTTATTTCGCTTTTGACTAATTTGAATTATAATTGTGCTAGACAACAATTGACGAGGCTTTTCCGAACTTTACCCTTTGCCCAAATTTATAAATAGAATTCCCTCCGCCCGTAAGTAGTGCCAAAGTGCTCGTCACTTTCCCTGTCTCTCAGTAAATCGAACTTTTACAGGGAAGAATGTTCTAGGGCAGGGTGTGTATTAGTATTATTTCACAATGATTTCGTTTCGAATTGACTTTAATTTGTAAACCGGCTCGGTTCCTCTTTTTACACCAAGTGTGAATGAATTTTTGGGGAAAAATTCAAGCGGCTAACACATTGTATACATAAATATACGAAACATACAAAGAAAAAAATATATATGCATAGATATATAGTACGATTAGGTGGAGTGGGTGGTTTGGGGGGCGTAGAAATAATCTAAATGCGTTCATCGGCGCAACTATTTTTAGACCAAACAAATGATTTCGATACAATCATCAGAGTCCATTGCTAGCAGCAGAAATAGCACCGTTAGAATAATTCGAGTATCCAAAAGGGATCAGAGGAGAAAGAGAACGAAGAAGAGCCACAGCAACAGCATGCACCGTTAGAATAATTCGACTACCGAAAAGGAATCAGAGGAGGAGGCGGTGTACACAAAACTCACGAAATCAGGCAATTAGCAACAACATGCAAACACTTTGGACACTTTGTCGGACAACGGACGGTGCGCCGCCGGTTGTAATAGGCAGAGCGGCAGCGGACACATTGGAATGGTTGATATTTGCCAAATTTTCGACAGGCAAAGAGAAAAATATGAAAATTTTGTTTTCAGTTTTTCTGTTATTCTTTTTAGACTTTAAGGTGGCAGCCAAACAAAAAAAGACCAGACACGTCACGGCAGACGCTATTTGTGTGTGGGCAGTGGAAAAATTAAGCAGCGGCAGCCGCGCCATCGAAGGCATGGCCCTGGGCGGGGGTCAGAGCACACACACCTGACGACGGCACATTATAATTGGAAAACTGCACAAACAATTCTAAAAATAATCTATAATACTAGGGCGTGCAGCGGGAGCGGGGGAGACATGCAGAAGCTCTTTTTGTGAGGGACTACCTCGTCTCAATAGTGAAATATGCCGTTGAAGTGGGCTCCGACGATCCCGAGTTGTGGTGGCTGCTGCTGCTGTTGTTGGTGTTCCCATTATCACAGTGCGTATTGGTTGCTTCTGGGAGTGCCTCGGATGTGGTTAGCATACTCAGGGACACCACAGTGGGCGGCTGGACCTGGACGAGCTTTTGGTTCTGGAACTGATATTCCAGCGTAAAGCAAATGTCGTCCAGGTTGTAGACCTGGCTGCTGCTCTCCTCGGTGCTCATGGTGGCTATCAGAGGGACTTCGGTGAGGCTTGTGGCAATTGTTTCTGTGTGCTGGTGTTGATGGTATGTGATGGGTATGACCGTAATGGGCAGGGGCGTGAGTGTGAGCTGGGATGGATCGGCGCCCATTGAGGATGAACTTGTGAGAGGGCGAAGTGTGAAGACATCGTCGTCGTAGCTATCGCCCTCCCGGTCGTCCATTCTGAGAATGGTCTGTGTCTGTGTCTGCGCCTGCGGGACGTCTGTGAACAGGGCGTATGTGGTCGCCGTAGACATCTCATGGTCGTCCGTCTCGAGAGTCAAACCTAATTCTAATGGATTTAGCACCTGTTGCTCGCCGTTGGTGGAGCTAGTTGTGGATTCAACCGATGCCGATGTCGGAAGGCCATAAATGCTCAATATGTCGCTGTGTATGATGCCCGCCGATCGGTCGTCCGATTCCAGTTTGGGCATCAGCAGCGACGCCAGCGGCTTCCCCTCGAAGCTGGCGAAATCGAGCTGCAGTTCCGACGATGACGCAGTGGCGGGCGGCGAGCCCGACAGCGACGTGCGCGACGAATTCGTATCGTAATCCCGGCTGTCTGATAACGAATTTCCATGGCTATTGGCCGACTTCCAGGTGTTGTGCTGGTAGTAGCGCTGTTGTTGTTCTTGCTTCTCCTCAATGCTGCTTATATTTGTATCCATTTTGTAGTGTATTCACACACCCACGCACTCGGACACACCCGGACACGACGTAAACGAATGCAGTATGCAGTTCGGCGCACATAAAATTGACACTGGGCAATGAGATATGTACATATGTATATGTACGATTGCAAAAGAAATCAGAGATTTTCCATTAGTGAATGTGAATCCAATCAGAGCAACAACAATCCAACGTTTGATTCTACGTATCGATGCACAGAGCTGGTTGCACAAAAGTATCGGTATTTTCGTGCGATAGACTGTATTTTACTTCGGACAACACCATATAAATAAATATACCCTATCTCCAATTACAAAAATATTACACAGAACTAGTTAATGTTTATCATTGTGGTCTCAAAAGATCGCAGGAAAGGTTTTAAAGCTATCTCAAGGATAACTCAGCTTCGCTGTAAATTCTCTGAGAGCTGTCGCATAAAATCCAATTGGGACGTTCCACTTTGACACTTTCGTTTGGTATTTTTTTGCGGTATATTCAACCATACTTCCGCGGCCACACTGCTGTATATACAAAATTCATTGATTTTGTCAACGTAAAAAACAGAGCCAGCGCATAGCAGCACACAGAAGCGAAATATTAAAGTGAAGTTAACTGAATTAGAAACGCTGGTGGAAATGGTAGCAGCAATGAAATCGATGTGAACAAATTGGGCCGCGAGTAGCTGCACTGCCAATCAGAACTCTGCTCCCAATCAGAAGAAGAGAGGAAGAAGCGCGAGAGAAAAAGGCATACGGGTGCAAAAGGAAAAGCAAAAGGCAGAAAAAACGTACAGAGCAATAGCAAAAGCGGGGAAAAATGCAATAGGGAGCGAATCCAATAAAATGACAATCGTTTTTCCACACTAACGTAGACGCAAAAGGCGCCGCGGCCGGCCGTAAAATGCCAAGGAACACTTGCGGGACAAGTGGATGCGTAGCTAACGGTAACGGCAACGACAACGACAACGATGACAACGGTAACGGTAACCAGGACGACAACCAAGAAGCCAGCAACGAGAGCGGGGGTGTCGGCATCGTCAAGCAGGAGTTCGAGGCAGCGCCACCCGTCTGCCACAGGAAGTCGGAGCGCCGAAGAGTAGCCCGCGACATCTTTCTGGTCTTCGAGGAGCAGCCGACCCGACGTCGTGGCAAGGGTGCACGCGGCAAGAACTCGCGAGCCAAGCGAAAGTTTGGCCACCTCAAGGTAGCCAATCCCCCGCGCATCAACAAGAACATATTGCGTGAGATCAAAACAGAACCAAAGTGCAGCAGCTCCGTGGTGGCAGAGCCAGTGACAGTGGTGCCACCTGCAGTGCCGCCACTGCCGCTAGCTCCAGCGCCGACTTTGGCCGCCCTGCTGCCTGTAGCTGAGGGGATCAAGCAGCCAGCCAAGCCGCTACCACTCCCCCATCCTCGAGTGGCAACAGTGAAACTTGAAACCAAAACAGCAGCAGGAGCAGCATCAAATGCATCACCATCCAGAGCCCGAACAGAGCCGGCTCCGCCCACGGAGCGGAAGGAGGAGGAGCCGCCGTTGCCTCCAGCTTCTGCCCATCGTCCTGTTTATGCTCGCAACCCTGCTCCAGCTCCCACTCCTGCTACCGTTCCTCCCATTCTTCCCACTCCCCCCACGACGCCCAGCGTAAATCCAATTTTCCTGTGGGTCAAGCAGGACGACACCAGAATCGTCGAGGTGCGCTGCGAGGACTACGACAAGAGGAATCGCATTCGCCTCACCAAGACCACAAATGGCTGGCGATCCATGCCGCGCACAGATGCCTCCTCCACGAGGATAGTCAAATTCTTCCACGGCTCTGCCGCTCCCTTGATGAAGGTCAAACGTGAGCAGCAAAACGAGCAGCAACCCGAAACCGAACTGGAACACGAACAGGAACAGGACGAGCAGGAGCCAGAACCAGAGCCAGAGCTGGAAGTGGAGCGTGAGCCACAGCAGATGGCGATGCCCACCATTGCTCAGAGTCTACTGCACGACTGGGAGGACAGTGGAGCCACGCAGCTGCCTGAAGAGTTGGAGGACGATGAAGAACAGGAGGAAGAGCAGCAGCAGCAGGAGGAGAATGAGAACCACCAGCAGCAGCCTGACAATCTGGCTGCGGTGATTGAGGATGTTGTGGTGCGACCAGCTGCCCAGCAGTCCCAACGGCCAATAACGCCCACGTCCACGCCCTGCTTTGATGGCCTGCTGCTCGATGGCGAGGAGACAAACGCCTCCACGAAGGCAACCAAAACCAACACGCCCACATATCAGAGTTCCACGCCCTCGCCAATGGAACTGCAGCTGTGCCCCAAAACGGGGCTGTTCCTGCCACAGGGCCAACTGGCGGCCATGGCCTCGGCCCCAGCTTCGTCCAGCGAGGCGGACAAGCCCTTGGCAGATAACGGAGTAGCTGGAGGAGGTGGAGGTGCCGATACCGTCGAGAGCCTCGATTGCAATACAAAGAATCTGAAAGATCTGCTAGACGATGCCGATGATCTGCTGCAGAACTGCAGCAGCGACAATGGCAGCAGCGGAGCCGATCTGCTCGACTCCCTGGTGAAGCGGAGCTGCGAGGATAACCTGGTGCAGGCGACTGGCCCGGGCAATGGTGGCTCCACAGCCGTGGAGGGCGACGTTTCAACAGCCGGCGATGGTTTGGGCTCGTTCTGCGTGGCCGATTTGGGCAAGGATCTGCCCAGCATGCTGCACATGGACAATGATGATGATGATGCACCCAAGTGCCTGTCCTTCAACGAGGCCGGGGAGATCGAGGGACTAAACGGTGAACTCTTCCTCGGCATTGCGGCCTTTGAGAAGCAGCAGGAGGAGATGGCACGCCAGGAGCAGCCGCAGCCGGCAACGCCCGCCACCGTGGAGCTGACACAGACACCGACGCCCACACCAACACCAACACCCACGCCGACGCCACCGATGCCGGATATGGAAAAACAAACGTCGGCAGCCGTCTCCGCCGATGAGGCGCCCAAGGATCTGAGCTACAAGAAGCGCGAGGAGGTGTGTCCGCCCTCGGAGTCGCGCAGTCAGTGTGCGGTGACCTCCAGCTCGGATATACTCAAGTCGCCTGAGCGGGAGCTGCAGCTGCCGGTCAATTCCATACCAGCGGAGGTGGAGACCACCTCGGAGACGATCAAAAATCTCATTCTGGAGCAATTCCTCAAGCTGAACGGCAACCAGCAGCAGCAGGCACAGCAGGCGGAACCGATGGATCTGGGCAAGGCTGGTCGGGAGGGCAAGCTGGAGACAGTCGTTGTCATCCACGACGACGACGAGGAGGATGGGGAGTCCAATCAGCCGCTGAAGAAGCGACCCAAGGCCAGCATAAAGATGGACAAGGACCCGGATGCACTTACGCAGCTGAAGATGCTGATCAGCAATCCGCAGTGGAAGGTGCCCGATCCGATACTTGTGCCAAAGGATCGACTTGGTGCCGTGCTGGCCTCCCCCGCACGAGAGATTCCCCTGCTGCTGACCACCCGGCCAGAGCTACGGCTGCCAGAGGCGTTTGCCTATCCAGAGATCATCCAGAACCCCAACATTCTAGTGGTGACCATGGAGCAGCTAGAGGCAATACTGAAGACCGAGGCGGAACAGGCCAAGGCCGCTAAGGGTACCGATCCAGTGCAGATGCTCGCCGAGCATCATCCGCCGTTGAGCAAGGCCAGAAGTCCGAGTCCGCGGCCGAGCCCCAAGCACACGCAGACACACAAGGTAGCGGCACAGGCGCCTCCTTCTCAGCCAAAGCCACCGGTGGTGGCAGCACCTGTGGCACCCACTCCACCCTCGCCCGCCGACTCCAGCCTTTCGACATCCACATCTGCGGACCTGAATGCCACCACCTTGGCGCTGCTGCAACAGATGCTGTGGCTGCCCTACTTCGGACAGCTGTCGCAGGAGCTCTTCAAGACCATCAAGGATCCCCTGGGCATGCAGAGGAAGTTCATGAGCAACCTGCTGCCGCTGTACAATAACCAGTTTGGGCTGCAGCATCTCGACGAGCTCTACAAGCATTGTCTCAAGCAGAAGGCAGCCGGGGAGCAGCCTACAGTGTCCAGGGTGTCCACACCAGCGGCGGCAACCTTAGCGGTCCCTCATCCACCGCTTCCACATCCGCCTGTAGCTTTAGCACCGCCGGTTCCGCCCGCAACTGCAGCCACGAATGCCTTTGGGGTCAATGGCTTTGCGAATCCCATGGAGCTGGCCATCATGCAGAAGTTGCTGCAGCCGCAGATGCCAAATTTTCTCAACTGGGAGGCCCCAAAGGATGCTGCGGTTGGCTCTGGCTCGGCCTCATCTTCCTCGCATCACCATCATCACCAGGAGCACAAGCGGCCCCGCCGGGATCCCGAGTCTAAGCCAAGTGCAGCTGCTGTCGCTCCACCTGCCGCTGTGCCTGCTCCAGCAGTTCCTTCTCCAGCGCCTGCCCCTGCTCCAGCTGAGCACAAGCCGCGACTGACGTGCAAATCCCTGTCGAATCTGCTGGAGCCCGAGCCCATTGTACCGCTGCTCAATGTACCCTTCGACAGCCTGCGTCGCACAGCAGTGGCAGGGCATGGGCCAAAGACGGGGCCGGAGCAGCAGCATCAGCAGGCCAAGGAGGCGAATCCTGGACGCTTGCTGCGCTCCAGCAAGGCATGCGTCACGTACAATCCCCTAGAGCATGTCAAGCAGCAGATTCAGCAGCAGCAACAGCACTCGCAGCAGCGGAAGCGTGCCACGAGCAACATGCTTGGCCAGGATGCCCACCAGCAGCAGCAACAGCTGGCTGCCAGTGCGGCGGGCATGGATGCCAACTCGGCACTCTGGCATCCACTATTCGGAAGGTAAATATCTGTCTGGCATCCACTAGTGTGGATTCACCCCTTAATTTGAATTCCTTCTTCGTTGCAGCAATCCCAAGCAGGGCTACAACAGCCCCTGGCAGTGGACGACGGTGACGGCAACTGGCGAATGACAGTCAAGCCGGGCTCCCAAGGAGCCAGCACCTGCATCGGTCGCACGGACAGCCAGCTACGAGGAGCAACAGCCGGACTACAGCAACTACCATGCGAAACTTCAGCAATTGCAACAGCAGCAGCAGCAGCATCAACATCCACCAGCCAATAATCAAAATCACAGCAATAGCAACAATAGTAGCAACAAATTTTGTTATCCCACGGCATCGGCGGCGGCCATGGAGAATATGTTCCAGAACAATCAGATGGCGGCAGCGTATCTCTATCAGAAGGAGAGCGGAGCAGAGGCAGCCGCCAACTATATGTCGGAACAGGGCTACTGGCAGCAGCATGCGCAACAGCAGCAACAACAGCAGCAACAACAGCAACAACAACAGCAGCAGCAGCAGCAACAGCAGCAGCAGCAACATGCACAGCAGCAGCAACTGCAACAGCAGCAGCAACAATGGACCAGCAATGGCAGCAGCAGCAGCAGCAACAGCCAGCGAAGCAACAACTATGCCAACAATTATGCAGCGGCGGCAGCGGCATCCATGTACATGCAACACTTCAATCCCTACATGCATCAAAAGGCGGCACTGCTGGCAGAGAAGGCTGCCCAGGCGGCGGCCCAAGCAGCAGCAGCCTCATCGGCGTCACAGGGCGGCAGTGGCAACAATAAGCACGGACGCTTTGGTGGGGACTACGGTTAGACGGCTTTATAGATGGACAGATGGAGGTGCTCGATCGGAACTCTTGCATATTAAACATAAACATATAGGCAGATACTATCTATATACATTAACTATATATATAGAGACAAGGCGTTACTGCCAGGAATTGCTAAAGGATAAAACCCATGACGATATGATGATTTTTCCTTTAATTTCATAAAACAGGAACAAGCAACAGCAACAACAACCACAACAAGGTAACCGGAAAGCAACAACAATAATTTATAACACAAAACAAAATGGCAAAACAAAACAAAAACAAAAAACTTAAATTGAATTAGTAAAAATTTGTTATTGGTAGTTTGTTAAAAAAATCCAAAGTGAAAAAGATGAAAAAAAAACAACATAAAAAAACATAAACAAAAAATATTGTAGAGACAAAAGAGGAAGGCAAAAAATGGATGAAAAAAAAAACCTAATTATTGTATTATTGTTAACCAAAATCTATTATTATTATTATTATTATCTCAAGCTGCGTTATATTATTATTATTATTATGAACTCGTGTATGGTCTGTACATAGCGTTTTTATCTAGATGTATTAATTACACTTAGTGGAGTCCAACCCCCCCGTGCCCCTATCCACAAACCAAACCTCAATCTTGCAAACATCTCCTCCTTCCCCAATCGCAGCGCTAAAAGGCAAAACAGCAATTTTTGTATTCATTCCGAAATGTTCTACTACTTCTACTTATATTTTTATTTTTTATTTTTGTGTGTTTAAACTAGTTATTATTATGCTTATTATTTATGAAAAAACGATGGAATGGAATGGAAAAAACAAACCCCTTAAAATGTGCAATCTAACATTTATGTTTTAGGCAAAAACGGAAACAATACAATACAAAAAGAAACAAAAAACCAAAACCAAAACGCATAAATCACAACAAATTAAATGGCATGAGAAATGTGAGGAAGGTGGAAAATAAAGAGAACCCTTTTAGAGAATTTCGCTGATAAAGGCAACAGAATAGCAAAAAATAAATTTAAATGAGACTTTTTCATGGGCAATCAACGGCAAATCGCTTTCACTTTCAACACCCCAAACAGATCGAAACAGAGTGTTCTTTTGCATTTGTATAAATATATATATATATTTGTATGTATATTTGCATTTGTATTTCAATTAATCGGAGGTGTATAATAGGGTTAGGTTACTCGTATAAACTTTAACTTCTCTGTGTGTGTGTGTGTGTGTGTGAGTGTATAAATACGCAACTTTTTACTTACAAACAACACCTACTTGAATATCTCATTATTGTTTATCGTTTATCGTTTAAACCGCGTTTAATTTAGAATCTATCCTTAAAGCATTTCAAATGCAGCGCGTGCGAATGTTATCGGAATTTTGTGCTCTCCGTGCATTTATTGGTTTCATTTGTTGTTGTTTCCTGATCCACGCTACGTGGCTGTGGACTATTCAATCTGTCGATTGGCTTCCTGCAGACGCGCCACCACTCCCTGATAGAACTTGATCTGCTCCGCAATGAAGTTCTTGAGTGTTTGCTTCAAGTGGGTGTCGCGTTCGGCTTTGAAGTGCGTCAGTTCGGCCAGCACCGTATATGAGACGACATCAGTGCGTCTGTTCACGTCCTGCAGCTGGGCATTGCTCATCTTGCCCTCGGCCGTCGAACGCTCGCAGTCCTTGCGCTTCTGTATAGCTCCCTTGTGCGTGGAGAAGATGTCCGGAAAGCAGCTCAGAACGCCCCTGTAAATGGGAAGCAATTGGAATTTAGGAATCATCCAAAATCAAAGGGAAACCCGAACCCACCTGTAGATGTGCAAACGATCGGATAGTGGAATCCAATCGTGCTTGGGCTGATCACCGAACGCCTGGCCAACGCCTATGAAGATGCCGCCAATGCGTCCCACGCTCTCGGACAGCGGGATAGCATTGCGGGTGGGTGCTCGTCGCTCATCGATCGCCAGGGCCTTGGCCAGCTCGGAGAGACCATCGCCAATGCGCTGAAATTCCTTTTTACTCTGCGACATGGATCGCTTGGCCATGTCGTTGGATATGTTGTTGAGGTTGCGCACAGCCGCATCCATGTTGTGTATAAACTGCGTTCCACTCTCCAGCTGGGCGTCCACCTTCGAGTGCAGCAGATTCTTATCCGGTGGCGATATGGCCAGGCAGTAATTAACGCCCCCATAGGGATCCCGCTCGGCCTTACGCTTGCCCGACTTCCAGATCTTCTCGTCCCGGCAGGTGAGAAAATGATACCAAACCTCACACTTTGAGATGACCGGATGGCGGCACACCCAGTCAACGAATTCCTGCAGCTGGACGCGTCGATGCTCCACGAATTGCTCCTCATAGCGGCCAGAGATCTGCTTGTCCGGTAGCGGTGGCACTGGGATTAAACAGAACTTATCCACCAGTCGTTCGTGCAGCCAATCAAAGTGCTTGTAGCGACGCGACACCTAAATAAAGAAAGGGAAACCCAGATTAGATACAAACAATCAAATGTAACAGAGTAACGCGGGACGGGGTGCTGAGTGGAGCGGAATGCGCACTGCGCTGCGCTGAGTCATGAAACAATCATTGAGTTGGCTACCAGTTGGTCAGTCAGAAATTACCCCACAAAAAGAAATTGCCTCAGCAGTGGACTGGCATGGAATTCCTTCCATGCACACCGATGACGGAATACTCTAACGCTCAATCAATCAATGAATTGCTGTTGATTGTCAATAAAGAAAGGTGTCTACCCATTTCCCCCTTGCAAGTGTTATCCTCCATTTTCCACTGGCTTTATCACATGACCCAACCTTAATTACCCTCAAACAAAGGGAGGGTACAGCAGTCAAGAAGCAAAATTATCATTCGCCAAGAGACAGCCACACATTCTCTCACCCCTGCCCCACACCACACTCCACCCAACACGCAATGGGCGCTGCTTTATCGTATTGTTGTTAATCATGGCGATAGCAGAGCGTCGAGCTCTGGATACGAGCGACCACTTACGGATATGTTATTGAAGCTAGGCGTCAGCTGGTAGGCAATAAACGTTTTCATTCCCTTGAATTTGGACTCTTTCTTGGGGCTGGCCACAATCACGGAGTAGGGTGTACCGCTGTGCGTCCACTGATAGATGGAGTCCTCCAGCTGTGTGATGTACGCCATTTCGCAGTCGGGAATCTTCTCTTTGTTGCTGGAGAGGCCGAGTATGTACGAGTCGGAGCTCTTGGCGAACATGCCCTTCTTCATGGTGGCCGTGCTGGCAGCGGTTGACGCCAGCGACATGGTGTCGTCACTGGGCGCAACAGGTAGGTGCTTGTTGTCGTAGTCGCTGGTGGAGTGCGAAAGGCCGCCAGAGCGAGCTGATTGGCCAGCGGCTCGGCCACTGGGTCCAATCTCTGAGTAGGTATCGTTGTCATCGCTCCAGTCATCCTCATCGTCCCAATTGCTGCCATCGTCGTCGGCCGTCTGGTCGTAGCGCGGCGGCGCTGGCGCTGTAAAGGGATCCGCCACCGAGGGCACCGGCGTGGCAGCGGCTGCATTCAGCTTTTGTGCCTCCGCTGCCGACAGCACCTCCACGTAGGCCGCTGGAAACAGCCCCACTTGGCCGCGACTGTTTTTGCCCTCCCACCAGCCTTCACCCACATCACTGCGCGTCACAGACAACACTTCGCCCGTGTTGATCGAGAGCTCCGACGAGCCAGGCTCGCCACTGAAGTCGTACATGGCGCGCACGTACGAGGTCATCTCTTCTTATTGCACTGTTTCCTTAACACAAGTTTTTATCTTAAATCCACGGGGTCCATAAAGAGATGGAAAATTTAGTTTTTAGTTTCGTGGGGCTGAGTAATATAGGTATGAGCAGTGTGACCGCGGAGATATCTATAAAAATACTGACTCTTGGAAATACAAGGAAACACACCTTTCCATTTTCAGAACATACCGTAAATATACCGATGAAAACCATGACTTTGATTTTCTGTTATTACATTTTTTCAAGCTAAGACTCTCAGTCTATAAAGTATAGTTGTATGATATTGAAAAATCAATTGCCCACAAGACTGGCCAGTTTTCAGGAAGTCTCCTTTTTTAACGGGTTTCATTTTGTAAACAAACGAACAACAGTGTACCCAGAGCATGCACGTTGCCCACGTTGGGCACACTGGGCACAAAGCGAAATTCATGGCAAGAAATGCAATAAACATGTGCTTATAAATTTATAAAATCAGTACCGAGTATAAAATTAATAGATTTAATGTCCATATAATCAGTTTTCGTTCGACTGCTTTAATAAGTTTAAAATCGTATGCTGTCGAACAAAAAACAGGGTTGATTTCCCATCGTTTGTATGGGAATATCACCCTATATAAGTTACCCACCTTGCACCGTAATGTAGAAATGCCAGAAATGTCATGTAAATAAGTTCACTGCCGCTTCCACTAGCCTTGTACGAAAAAATTACGGCGAAACTTGTCAATAATTACATAAATATGTAATTAATGTGAGGCAAATGTGTAGTTAGCATGTAGTTACCAAGTAAAACATGAACTTTGTTCAATGTTTATGGACGTTTCTTTATTAAATCTTATTTTATAGATAATAAAATGAATACGCGCAACTTTAAAATAGATAGTCTTGTAGAATATTGATCTGTTGCTGAGATAAAATGATATAGTCAGCCCTTAGAGCTTCAGCCAGCAAGTAATCCTAAGCCGAATATCAAAATCGAAGAATTTAAACGAAATCACGGAGAGCAGCGCTGCCTGCGTCGCTGCTTTGCTTGAATACATTTTAAAGAAGAAAGAAATTCTTCAATTGCGCGTTGCATTTCATTTGTTGGTGAGGAATCGGCTCTTCAGAAGTTGTGCAATAGTCATATTTAAGTGCTGTGTACACCCGTATCCTACTGGGTACACTAATTTCCAATTGCAGTCAATAGCAATCGTTAGCTCTAGAAGTTACTTCGGTGGGAAGGAACAAACAAGTCGGACGTGCAGTTTTCACGACAAAGCCACAGCACAGCAAAATGAATCGGCAGGCGAAATTCCTTATCTTGTGCCTATTTGTTGGCCTCTTCTCCTCGAACTTGTGCGATGATGGTAAGAAATAAGGAAATCCCATTTAATTATGTATATTTAATGTGCGTGCGTGTACATATGTGAGTTTTGCATGTTGGTGTGGGTGTATGCGTGTGGTAAACTTTCATGCATGTGTGTACAATACATACAACACATATGGAGGGGAATATGCGTATTTATTTGCATTTTAAATGTCAAGATTGTGGGCGATGACGAATGGGGGAAGAAAGGGCCCTGGAGCACAAGAATCGCATTGATATTCGGAGAAAACTTTCTACCCAAAAAATGTGATGAAATATTTATGCGTATTCGTTTCGCAGCTACAGCTGGATCTGTGGGCACAACCACCGCCACGCCGGGGGATGTTACTACTGTTCCTGTTCCAGATGATAAGAATACGACCACAGCTCCTACAACAACAACAACATCGACAACCGAGAAGACAACGGTGCCAACAACCACTACAGAGAAAACTACAACGAGCACCACTCCGGCAACAACTACAACTACAACTACAACCGCAGCGCCCAACACCACCACATCCACGTCCAGTACAACTTCTTCAACAACGCCAGCAACGACAACAAGCACCACTACTACGACTCCGTCACCAAACTCCACAACAACTGCAGCCCCAAATACATCGACCACGCCAGCTCCGACGCCAACGCCATCTCCGTGTCATGGCTTCAATGGATCCTCTTTTATTGGTGGAATCGTGCTGACCCTGGGACTGCTGGCCATCGGCTTGGTGGCCTACAAGTTCTACAAGGCCCGCAACGAGCGTAATTACCACACTCTTTGAGCCGCCACAGCGTTTACGTCGGCATTCAATGCGGCCGGAGCCGGAGCGGCGGCAGGCAGCAACAACACCGCCACGGATGCCGAACGTGTGCGCTTTGTTCAGCCATCAATACCATTGCGATCGCCACCGGCACAGCCGCCACCTCCTCCACCAACCGGAGTCATTGGCGGTGCGGCAGCAGCCACGCATTCAACTCCCCAAAATTGCTCGCCTTCAGCCAGAGATCGACTGCTGCATACGTAATTTACTCTCGGGGTATATATAATATATATTATACAATATTATTGCTATCCAAAGAGCCCCCCAACGCCCCATTTCACCTACTCCCAAACAGTCGTATCGTATCTATCACACAATCCACACAGTCGCAGCCCTTGTCCTTTGACATTCAGCTTTATTGGTTCTCAATGTGAATTCTTACCTTATCAGCTATACCAGAATATTATAAATACAATATTTGTCTTGAATGATTCATAAAAAGTTTTTGCAAAACTCAGTTTATCAGCAAACTGAGCGGATGTTCCAACGCCTTATTGAAGAGCCTTGGGAGCTGGGGCTGCACAGCTCCCCTGGTTGACCGAGACGAAGAAAGCGGAGAGAAGATAGAACAGAAAACAGAGAGACGAAAGAACAAATATAAAACAGCAAATATGTGAGACTGCTTGATAGAGCTCGAGACAGGATGATGATGAAGTGAACAGAAATCGATAGGAGACGGCTTTGGTTTCTGCAATTCATAACTAGAGCTACGCTACGAAAAGGGAGAATATAAATTTTGATTATATTTACACACAACTTTTGAAAAACTAAAACAATTCATTCTAGCAACTAAGAATATTTACTATCTTAACGAGCTACATATATACAACAAAAAGGAAACGCGTGTCTATTCTCCTCCTGCATTAATGTGCATTTTTATATTTGTATCGAATGTAATCCTTACCGTTGAGTTGCCCCCATTTTTATCATCCCCTCCCCCCATAAACGGGTATATACATTTAGTGCTCACACTCTTTAGATTTTGAAATATTGCTAAAAATCAATAAAGCGTCACACGATTACGATGCACAGAGGGGGGCCCAGTGACAGGAACAGGACAGGGACGATGGCAATGCAGCTGTGCCTGTGACCGCTGTCAATGATATAATACATACGTTTATATGCAATATCAATATGTATATCAGAGAGCAGGTCTATTGGAACCAAAACATTATGTTAAATACATACATACATATGAGTATATGCGAATGTTGAATATTTTGTATTAGGATTGAAACTACACATATGAATTACCATTTTACCTTTACCTCTATCTCTACCTACTAACCCGCTTATTGTTGGAAACACCTTCGAAACTACAAACAGTCGTCAAGTTTATGCAAGCAAACACGAGAACACTATTCTCTGTTCACATGGAAATCAAATCTCATAATTATATAAGCTAAAAAGTAACCAATCTATGTATATCCAGTAATTCACTCAGCCGGCTTACAACAAATATATGTATGTATACATATACATAAAAATTATATATCTATACAATATGTATGTCTGTATATCGTGTACGATAATAAATATTTTAAATTTAAATGTTATTCCTTCGAAAGGGAGCTAAAATTCGCATTCAATTCGGGTCAAAACATTTTATTTACTCGTATTCTTAGATTATTTTACATTATCTGCTAGTTTGCCTCAAGTTTCTTCAACTTTTTCGGAGTTTTCGGTACTTCTCCGTTTCCTGCTTTGCGCTTGAGCTTATCCTTCGGCTTGCGCTTCTGCTCTTTGGTGTTGAAGCGTAGCTGCAGCTTGGTGCCGGCCAGACTGAGGTCCTGTTTGATGGCCTTGCGTGCATCGAATGTGGTGGGCAGTGTTACGGTCGCTGCACTGAACTCCCGGAACTTTCCCTTGCCCGGCTTGATTTGAATGTCAACCGCATTCTCGAACAACTGGCGCACCTGCGCCACGGAGCTTGTCTTGGGCAGGTTCGTGATGACGACGGACGATGTGAAGTTGCCCTTGCGTAGGCCCTTTTTCGCTTCACGCTTCATTAGGGACTTGGTTCTCTTGTTCTCCACGGAAAGCTGCTGTTTGGTCACCAGTGCATTCACAAACTCATCCGAATCGGTCTTCGGTAGAGAGACGAAGATCCCCTTGAACGCCGTATCAGTTTCTATAGATGTTTTGATATCTCCGAGAGCTTTATCGCGATCTTCCTGTGATTTGAAGTCAACCAGGCAAAAACGAGCGTGCTTTTGGCGCGGCTTTGTCGATTTGGATACCAGAGGGTGGAGGGACTTGACCTTCGCCTGGAACTCCTGCTCGTCTTCTGGTATCTTCTGGGGAAAGCGAACATAAAGGCGCGTGCCCTTAAGTTTATCATACTTGGTCTGGATCTTTTCTTCAATAATCTCTGCTCGGCTCTTGGTTGGTGTGGCTGTCTCCTCATCGTCGGAAGATTGTTCCGCGTCGTCGTCGTCTTCATCGGATTCTGTGGAGCTGGCTGCCAAATCTGGTTCGCTTTCGTCTTCAGACTCCTCAGAGTTCTCGGCAACGAGCTCGTCCGATTCTGAAGAACTTTCTTCCACCGTTTTCTTCATATTTTTAAAATAATTTGTTAATGTTTTCGATCGCACGTGTTTCGCAGCAACAACAAGAGCTCGATGGTATCGATGGGCGAAAACCTCATCATCGATAGCCCTATCGCATCTACAGACGACGGCTATCGAGCACTACACATCTCTAAGCCATTGTTGTCATATCTCGACCGAGTGTAAAATAAAAAAAATTGTTTTAATTACGTTCCAAGTACAATAATGGGCGTGTTAGAGAATGTCAAGGATTGGTTCACATCAGACACCTCCAGGAATAAGAATTCCTCGCTTATAGCTGGCCTATTGGTACATGTAACATCCACCCCAAAAACTAGACTTTTGTAACAGTGCAAATTTTGTTCAGTTTTTTGCAGGATGGTGGATCCTAATCGATGCCATGTCTTCCGACGGCGGTCACCAAATTACCACAGGATATGTCTTCATAGGCATATTCGGCACCATCAGCTTCTGTATGGTGAATGCGGTCAAAGGGGAGCATGTAAGATGAGTGCAGTCCAGTGCATGTCCATAGTGTATATAGAAAATGACTCACTATTTTTACGGTTCGCTCTGGTTAGATTTCCGAAGATAACTCCTCGGAGTCCGGGGCCAGGATTGCCAGGATTTGGCTACTGGTTGGCTTTGTGATGGGCTTCGCCTCCATAATAGCTGCCATTTGGGTAATGATTGACGATTTCATCAACAATGGTGAGTGCAAAACGTGTGTCAAGGGAGAGCAATAGAATTTATCAGTAAATGTAACCCATTAGATAAGAAAGAGGCCTGGCTAGGCGTCGCCCTGCTTCTACAGAATGTCTTCATATTGTTCGCCAGTTTGGTCTACAAGTTCGGGCGCAACGAGGAGGAGTGGAACGAATAGAGTCATCCATCGTTTGCTGCATATAGGAAATCGCTGCTTTTAGTATTTAAATCCATACGTACAACATATTCAAACAGTCCACAAGAATTATGTCGGCGGCAGAGGCCATCTCCCACCGCCTCATCCCTGTTTTAATACATAATGACACACGTATAATCTCATTTATAGAATACTAAATAATCGACAAGTCACTTGCGTAAGGTCACTTTCTGGGCTGCAGTTTATTTCAGACAATTAAAACTACGACGAGCAGCAAGCCGAGATGACTGCCGCTCACCCGATGCCCACTGCACTGGCTATTGCTATAAGAACATGGACTGTAATCAAAGAATATTTTATCGCTAATCAAGCTTGTGCATCATACGCGTCAACGGGGCATTCGCGCTCATTCTGCAGACACCACTGGGGCTGCAGAGCCTCGGCTCCCAGGCCGTTCTCCACCAACCGCTCGCGGTGCAGCAGCAGACGTGACTCCGCCTGTTTCCAGCTCTCGTTGGGATTCGACCAGAGACGCTCGGCCAGGGCACTGCCACGCGGCCAGAAGCGGTTGTCCAGCGTATGCTCATCGATTTGCTCCGACCAAATGGCTGCTTCGGCGCCCAGCACATGATGCTCATAGTCGCCGGCAATCTCCGACATGGTGTTGTCGTACACCTTCTGCCAGCCAATGTAGGGGGAGCACCAGTTGTTGCCGTCGCTCACCCAACCAGCTCCGCCACAGTCAAAGTAGAGGGCGTCGTAGTTGGAGACAATTGTCTTGAAGCCACGCTTCAGTATCTTCTTCACCTTTGGATCGCCGCCGGTTGTCCAGATCTGGATAATATAACGCTCCGGATTCAAGTACTCATCGATAAAGGGCTCCTCCGTGAGGTGACTGGTCCACAGAATGATGGGCGTTTGTGTTCCATTGGCCACAGTGTCCACACGCTTGAGCGCCTCGGTCTGGAAGTGTCCCCACAGGCGCATAAAATCGGCAGTCTCGAGGCCCCAGCCTTGAGCCTTCATCCATTGACGGATTGGCAGACTGCAGTTCCAGCAGCTGGTGGACACTTCGTCGCCGCCCATGTGGAAAACATCTGGGCTGAAGAGCTCCCACATCTCGCTATAAATGTCCTCTAGCACATCATAGAGGCCATCCACAGTGGGATCCAGCTGTCCGCAAGGCGGCTCCACGCAGAAATCCTTCCAGGGCTGAGCATTGAAGCAGGCCGTCATATTCTTGTGCTGCCATCCCTCGCCGACGTGCGCCGGGGCGTCGAACTCTGGCATCACGCGGATACCACGCACGCGACCGTACTCCACGACCTCGGCCACAGTGCGCTGGGTGTACACCTGGCGGGGCGAATAGGCACCCAGCTTGTAGAGCTCTGGCCGCTTACGCACCTCCAGGGGGAAGCTGTGAGAGTCCGTGATGTGCCAGTGGAAAGTGTTTAGCTTAACCAAGGCCATGCCGTCTGCAAAAAAGTGAACCATTAAGTGGATTTCAGTGGGAAACAGTTACCCAAGACGTACCCAGAGTTCGCTTGATTGCCTTCACGGAGTAGTAATTGCGAGAGGTATCCAGCAGCAGGCCGCGCCACTTGAACGCGGGAGCATCGCTGATGGAAGCGTTGGCCGTCACTTGCACCTCGCGCCTTAGGTCATCGTAGACAATCAGTTGGGAGAGTGTCTCCAGGCCATGCCGGGCACCAAAAAAGTTGCTCGCAGCTATGCTGGCCACCACATGGCCGGACGGATCGGTGTCTACGTCTAGACGATAGCTTTCATCCGTGTCCAGGGTAAGTTTGGCCGGCGCCACATCGTCAGGCGTGTTGACGTTGACGGTGAGGCGATAGCCGCCCCTTGTGAGAATCTTGCGATCGGGAATTTTGGCATCAATCATATCCATCCAACGATTTTCGGCTGCCTTCCATAGCTTTTCCTTGCGTGCGATGCCTGTGATATTGAAGTCAATGAACGAAATGTCCACTTGCCGCATTAGTGTGTCCAGCCGAACCGCTCCCGTGGGCTTGGGCCACAGCGTGCCAATTGAACTGCCGCAGAAGAGCCGGCAGACGGGCAGCGAGATTGCCTTGGAGAAGTTCTCCTCGCTCAGCTCCACCTTCCGGCACAGTCCAGCGCGGCATTCATAGCCATACACAAGGTCTCTGCAGGAAAAACAAAATCCAAACAAAGGGAAAGTTCGTACATTGCCCCCAATCACACACATACCAACACATTTTTCTGTATGTATGTATGTATGTGTATGTTTTGCTCCAACTTACTCAGATGTGTGTGCCGTTGTGGGTGCAATAATGGCCGCCAGGAGCAGCAGCAGGGCCACTGGAAGTGCAGTCCCCTTCATATTGTCAACGTTCAAAGGCGAGAAACGCTGAAAGTCAACTGGCGTAAGCTAGAGGAATACCAAACGAACATGCACATAATAATTGATTATTTCAAAACAAGTTTTGGCCGCTGGCGGAGGCCAAAGAACGTGGCAGAGCTCTTTACAGCACGTCGAATTTCGTATACCCTTTCTCTAATATTTATTAACTCCTATGGCAAAATTGTTGAGGCTGATAAACAAGAGGTAAAATGCCATAGATATAATTTATGTTGTATCCTGAGATTTAAAAGTCCAAATTTTGAACAAAAATGCTAAAAATATGATACATTTTGGATTTTGAAAGCTGAATACTTCCCATTGAATAAAACTCTTTACATCCAGAAGAAAAGTATTCTTTAAACAATTCCAGAACAAACAAACCATAAAAAAAGGTCTTGGGTAGTGTAATTATTGAATTCCTCTGCACTCACTTTCTAAGTATTCCAACTGGCTATGCAGGCACTTCACTGTAGACTGAATCTATTTGCCTTTCGTTGTTGCCAATTTATTCGCACGGCATCAGCATCGATTGCCAACACACATGGGCCTGTGAAGCACTCAAAAATACAACAGCAGAAGGGAAGAAGAAGGGGTCGCGCTGGTATGTCAAGACAAGATTACACGCCTTTGCTTTTTAACTATCTTTCGCTGCTCTTGATGTCGTATTTCTAAGTTCAAAGCCATTGGTACTGGAAGATAGCAATCGGGTTTGGTTTGGTTCCTCGTAAATCATTCGGGGAAACAGTCACACTGAGAACTGGAGCACCCCGCGAAAGTTCTCAATGAGATTGTGCATAGGCAAATAAATTTATAATGCTTGCTTTTAAAGCTATTTTTGTGTCGGTAGAGTACTCTACCTAGGACGAACTCTAAGAGTTAATATTTCATAACAAGTCATAAGGTGTGCTGAGGTTCGAAGTCCTGTTGAAAGAGCTACTATAATATAAAAGATCTTTCATGGTAATAAGATTCGGTGTTTTCATTATGTACTCTTGTTTTGAATGGCCTTATCTTCTAGTATATAACCTAATTTCTATGTAGGATTAACGCCCTTAAGTGTTAGGGTATTATCCTCGTATATTTCCAGCACATCAGCCAAATGCTCGTTGTCTCTGGGCTTCTTGAATTGTCGCTTCTTGTTGGCAGCCTTCTTGCGTTTTGGAACAGGTTTCTTGAGGCCATGATCTTGCATGGAACGTATACCTGTGGGGACACCAATGTTACGATAAAATCAGACGAATCTTTACGTATTTGTTCGGTTTTACCTTGCTTCTCGAGATACTCGTCGATTTTGGCATCGTCCATGGCATCAACAGTGGCCGAACGCCAGAGTTTTTGGAATTCATCATCCACCTGTGGGCCCAATTTCATTGCATAGATAATTAATTGAAGCTTAAGCACACGTAGCTCAAAGCTCACCGAAAAATTGGCCGTTCGATCGTTGTAAAATAATATTTTCTTCTTGTCAATGGGTCTGATGATAAAAAGTATTTCTGCTGCACGATTTTTCAAGACTTTCTCGCAATGCGGCAGGGACTCCTGCACATCCTCCATCAGTATGCCGCCCAGGCCTTTCAAATCATGCTGCTTCAGCAGTCGCATCAGAGTTTTGCCATCCTTGATTTTGTAGACGGGCTTGAAGCTAAACTTTGTGCCACACGGGCTGACTTCAATCTTTGGGTTGTTGTTTAGCGCTTCGCCAGACAGCCACTGCAATGGATGGTGAGTTATCATACTGCCAGCGTGGAAGGAGTTATCATACTGCTTACATTTTTAACAGATTGGCCAATATCCAGTTGGTTGGTCTCGTCAAGAATTTCCTCAATCTGCAGCGGATGATCATCACCGTCCTGGTGACGGGTGCGCATAAACTTCACTATCTTGGCCAACACTCCAAAGCGGTACTGCGAGCTGCCAGACATGGTTTTGTACCTAAAAGTGGATCATTTCCCCATGGAACGTACTCTGAGTGTGGACACGTCAATGAGGATTTTCAACTTACGAAGATGAGTCCAGCTTTGGAGCTGTTGGCGGACGCATTTTCCTTTTGGCGTCATCACTGGGCGGCGGTGGCTGAGGTCTATCTGGCTTTGCTTTCTTCTCAACGCTGTGGAGACAGGATGGAAGAGGTTCAGTCTCATTTACAAAGGACCATCAGGGAAATAGGAAGGGGTAGCTTACGTGGGCGTGGCCATTGCCCGTTTTTTGAAGGCCTCGCGTTCGCGAAGCAGCGCTGGATCCATTTTGCTTGATTTGTGGGTCTTCGCTGATAAATTTAACTTGTTTTTGCTAAAATTGTAATAATTTACAGAAAGAAAACAAAAAACCAACACAGCTGGTAGTGTGCCGGGCTGCCAACTTGTTTAGATTTGCAACGCCAGGGCTGCATTGTTTTTTGTCGTGCCAGTTGGCAGCACCACATAAATACATGTTTGTATACCCTGCCTATACAACAAAGCCCATTGTTTTTAGCATCAAATTAAAACAAATGCGAGTTTGTGTGGTTTTTCCATTTATTAATATCTTTTTAATGGCTTACACAATAAAATATTGATTAAAATATGTCATATATATATACTTGTAAATATATGTATGTAATTTATGCATGATTAATTTCGCGGTTTCGCGAAGATGAATTGAGACTTGCACGCGTTTTGAATTGCATTTTCTTGTTTCTTTATCATGTCGTAATACGTTAGTATGTAAATAGTACATGGTAGACAGAGTTCGTATATGTTTTGTAGCTTGCTTCGTAACGGTATTGCGGATAGATCCGATAGTCCCCTAGCACTGTTGGTGTTGGTGTTGTTGTTGGTTGGTTGGTTGGTTTCGTTGGCTCCGTTTACGGTCTGGGTCTTGCTACGAGTACTCTGTATGAGAGCCCACTTGAGTTGTTAGTCAATTGTACGGGTACGGGTGGATTCGTGTTGCCTGTTTGTCCTCCGTTCTCCGTTCTCCTGTCAGCGTTCGACGTTCGGCGTTCTCCGAGTCTGTATCGCTTTTTCACTGTGTTCTTGGTTCTGCGTTCTTGTTGCATTCCGTTTTGAGTGTTTTGGTTGTTTGGTTGTTGGTTGAGTCAGTTGAACTGTGTTTGATTGGACTGTTTTTTTTCTCAAGTTAGTAAAGTACTCGTACATATAGTTCTCTGTAAGTTCATTTTGTTGTCAGTGGGTCTGTGGAAATAGAAAGATAAAAATGTGTTGTTCTTATTATGTTCACAGTCAGAGGCACCGCATCGTCAATGGCCCCAATTGCGTGCTGGGAGGTAGGTACGAATACCAATACGAATCAGTAGACTGTCTGAACAAAAGCGTTAGGCATATGCATAATTTCAAATGTGTAAATCGAGTCTTATATCAAGATTATATACTAAAGACTTACCTCATACCATGGCACCACCACACTCATTCCAACTATGGCTAAATTAATACATCGAGGCGAAATCTGAGTATCTTAAAGCTCATACTTACACTTAGTTTCGTCTCAAACGTTTCCTTCCGCCATCACCATCGTCAGATCCACTTCGCTCTTCAGCTTCCATAACCTGACAGACAGTATTCTCTTTTAGACATGTTTCGTTTCAATATTAAACCATTTTGTACCTTAATTTTAGTGCCGCATATTTCAGCACCGTTCAGTACATGAATGGCCCTTTGGGCACTTTCACACTCTGCGTACTTTACGTAGCCACAGTTCTTGTTGGGCAGCAAATAAACATCGATGAGCCCTTTCCAGCACGAGAAAATGTTCTTCAAAATGGAATGCGGTAGATTCTGTCAAAGGATAATTATTTACTGTACGCTCCTCAGATATATGTAGCTGTCCACCTACCGCTGAGAGCACAATGAAAAGTCGTTGGGCAACTTGTGCATCGGGTGATGCTAAAGGCTGGGCAGGTGGCAGGGGCACATTGCATATGGCATCCTTTTTGGTGCGTTCTGAAATTCGGTAAATATTAGAACATGACAAAAGGTAAAAGCTTCCTACAAGCAGTAGCAATTAAACTAAAAGCAAATGGTGAACTTAAGTGGTAATTAATTTAGTGTTAGTATCGGCATCTACCCCTAGAAGCTTTTTTCGTACTGTCAATAAATGATGTATCCATCCGTGCAGAGCTCATGCCGTTCACTTTGACAATGATTCGCTCGCCCATGGGGTACTCCAGTCCGTGTAGTTTGTCCCTGCAAGTACGAAAGATGCAATTAATGGTATGAAAAGCTCTTTCCAGATGTATATAGATGCACATACTTTGCATAGATAGCAGCTTCGGGATTGTCGTACACAACCATCGCTTCATTGGTACGTGGTCCATCTGAAATGCATTTCAGAGTTAGTTAGATGAAGATTTGTATTGATAGATTTTGGGTTCTTACGTTCGCGCATTATTTGACAGTAGTCTAAGCCGGGTATGATGTCAAAGAGTCGCCAAAGCTGATCCTGATTTACACAGTTGCTGACGGTTACCTCTAGGCACGATGGCTGAGCGACCGGCACATTTTGCATGCGCAAGAAGGCGGACATGTCATTGTTCGTGGAAGTATTCCAATCGTTGTTGAAGCTGCCGGCCCCACTGCTGGCGCCATTGTTGTTATAACTGGAGCCTCCACGTCCAGGATTGCTGTACACGGGATTATCCTCGGCCGGACGACCGTATTGGTCGCGTTGTGACCGCGTTGAGCCCTTGGGCTCGGCAAACACAGCCTTGTACTTGGGCGAACAGTTCTCAAAGGCCACAGCAGCGTAGTAGAATCTGATGGAAATATAATAAATACATTAGCGATCAGTGACTCCTTGGTCGTGCTATTTTCACACGCACTTTGTGAAGCGAACGTAGCCAAATCCTTTGGGATTGCCATTGTTCTTCTCCCTGACAATGGTGACGGATTCCACCTCTCCCCATTGAGCAAACTCGTCCCGTATGTCATCTTCTGTCGCAGTCTTCGGTATCACAATAAACAGTCTCACGTATTTTTCCTGCTCGTTTTCCGACTTATTTGAGCCTTGGTTACGACTGAAATTGCATTAACATAATCAAATTAGAAATCTATAATCCCCAATTATCACTTACTTTGCGGCAACCAGAACCTTCAAGGTTCTGTCCATTTTTCCAATAGTCTTGCCATTCATTTCCTCTTGGGCCTTTGCCGCATCAGAGGTTTTTGAGAACTTTACGTAGGCAATGCCTTTGTTCTCTTGGGTGTGCTTGTCCTTAACCACCCATATATCTTCGATGTCGCCATAGGCGGAGAACGCTTCACGGAAGTCATCCTCTGTATGCGCCTTATTGCATATGATGAAGAGCCTGGACATGGGCGGATCATCGTCGTTTGAATAGTCCTGGCCGCCGCGTCCTCCGCCTCGAGATTGGGAACGATAATCAGACATATTAATTATTTTCTCAACTTAGAAAATTTTCGCGCTAGCCGCTGTTTTTGCTGGCGTATACATAAAATCAGGGTTATCGATAAAGTATTCCGGAATATACCACAATATACCTTATAATTTTAAAAATATATCGAATATCATAAATCGTTTTACTCGATTTTGATGTTCTATTTAATATTAGCAGCTAGTTAGGACTTTCAGTGCAAAAACTATAGTTTCATGTGATTGATGAATCAATTGTCTGTGGGCTGATATTCTCAGTGACTCAATTTCGTAGTTAAAAGTATATAATATACCATAAATGGTCACTGTCCGATTGCAACGAGCGAATTTTGGGTCCAGCGTCCAACACTGATCATTTGAACATCTTGAAAAAAAAGGTAGGCTTGCGAGATAGAGGCAACAATTTAATCTCTTGGTGACAGATGTTTATCTTATTCCTACCTGCCGAATAGTACTTTCTACCTGGCATTGTGGAATTGTATTTATAAGACAGGCCTACCAAGCATCTAAACGACTTAGTTGCAATTAGTTATTCAGCATGAAAACATTCATAGACCTGCTTATAAAAACCCTATTTGCGTTTTCCTATTTACAGTCTGTTATGGCGGACTTGGCGCAATTGCAGAGAAAATCACACGCTGAGGAATTTGAGGGAGCACCCGCCTTATTCAGAGCCATGGCATCCTCTCCAAACGATGGCTACACCTACAATTGGAGCGTCGTATCATTTCCGACAGATGATTATGACAGTTACGATCCATCCGAGTCCCAGGTCAACTGTACGGTTCTTTATTTGGATCAGTGCACATCCTGGAACAAGTGCCGCCAAACATGTTTAAAGACTGGAGCCACCAGTTACAGATGGTTCCACGATGGCTGTTGCGAATGTGTGGGCGAACATTGTGTAAATTACGGTATAAATGAAAGCAGGTGTCGCATGTGTCCTGAGCCGGGATCCGATGACGAAGACGAGGATTAAAAACATACATTTCCGAATAGTTTTAAGCTGGAAGAAAATAAATCTAAAAATATTAAATTAAAATGATCAGTGTTGGAAAATGCAGTTTGCATTTAGAATACAAATAGAACGTGCTGTTTGTCCACCCCTGGTTGACCTTTTTAGGTTTAACTTTATTTAGCAATCAATCCAATAAAGATAAATTATGAAAATCAGCCAATCTTGTGGAGAATTCAATGATGATTCAAGTAAAATTACAGTTTTAAAGCTGAGAGTCCTAACCAGCTGGTTATATTACACAGAAGACAAAGTCGAGGAACATTATTTTATATTTACGGTATATTTACAGTATATTTTGAAAATGAAATGATATATTTTGGTATATTTCCGAGGGTCTGTCGGTATATTTTGTCATTAATTCCGCGGTCACACTCAAACTCCACGTTGTTTTGGAGCGCCTTTTATTTTAAATCACGAAATCATTAAAATAAAGTGAAATGGGTCGCAAATTCCAAAAGAAACAGAAGGTCGATCAGCTAGAGATTGTGCCGGTTGATGAAAATCCACCGCTGCCTCCACAGAGGAAATCCGACGATGTTATTCCCAAAAGAGTAAGCCGCTTATAAAAATTCAATCTCATGGCACTGCTAAAATGTAGGCACTTGATCTTGCAGGAAAAGTGGGTGAACAAACAGCGTGTGCTGGTCTTCGCAGCTCGTGGCATTAGCCACAGAGACAGACATTTAATGCGGGACATCAAGACCCTAATGCCGCATCATCGGGCCGAGTCAAAAATGGAGCGTGCCAAGACGCTCTCGGTGGTGAACGAAATGTGCGAAATGAAGCACTGCAACAAGGCCATGCTCTTTGAGGGGCGCCGTAAGCGGGACCTGTACATGTGGGTGTCCAACACGGCCGGCTCCGAAGGTCCATCAGCCAAATTCCTTATCGAGAACATCCACACAATGGCCGAGCTGAAGATGACCGGAAATTGTCTGAAAGGCTCGCGTCCACTGCTCTCGTTCGACTCCAAGTTCGATGAATTGCCGCACCTGAAGCTGCTCAAAGAGCTCTTTGTGCAGACCTACTCAGTGCCCCACCATCATCCCAAGAGCCAGCCGTTTGTGGACCATGTTTTCACCTTCACCTACCTGGACAATCGCATCTGGTTCAGGAATTTCCAGATACTTTCCGAAGACGGTGGCCTTTCGGAGGTGGGACCACGCTACGTGATGAATCCCGTCAAGATATTTGACGGTTCCTTCACCGGCAAAACCCTATGGGAGAATCCCGACTATGTCAGCCCCTCCAAGCAGCGACAGATCCTGAAGAAGTCGGCCAAGGATAAGTACGTGAACCGTGTGGAGCAGAAGGTGCAGCATGAGGCGACGCGACCAATCAACGCATACGACGGCATCGACAACGAGGAACTGTTCGACGATGAAGATCCCATAGCGACAGCCAAGATCCTGGCTGCGATAGCCAAAAAGAAGCAGCAGGAAAAGGAGCAGAAAACGCCAAAGTCAGCGCTGACCAAGAAGATCAAGGAGAAACAGCTGAAGGCCGTTAAAAAGGTAATTGACCAGAAGAAAGCAAAGGTACACAAACGTGCAAAAAAAATCTAAATATCTGATGTTAGAAAATACATTTAATTACAAAACTTTTAAACTTTATAAACACCTTCATACACATACAAATTGTGGGTACTTATTTTGAATATCAATAGACAAGATTACGTGTTACTATTCGCTGTCACTGTTTGGGCTTTGTACGTCGCGACGGAGATAGTCCTTAGACTGGGGCTATAACATAAGTATCTATATATATAAATATTAATATATTAACATCCTAGTGAGATGTGCGTTGAGTTGCGGAGAGGCTTGGAATAAATATAAACGAAAGAAAGCATCTTTGTGGCGCCTGGAGCGTTACTCTTCCGACATGGGAGCAACCTCTGGGTCAGATGGAGGGAGTCGTGTAATACTGAATGGCTGCTTGTTGATCGGCATCATCTCTACCACCTGTATGGGCGGCTCCTCGCCGGGCTGCAGCGGCTCCTCGCCAACCAATTTGGCCAAATTGCTTTGAGCCCAACGACCAGCGCGGCCATTGATTTGTTTATCCTCGCAAACGCACAGGAACAACGTGTCCACCACCATCTATTGGGGGAGAGAATCATTATTGGTGATAATACATTCCAGCATGGATAACTCACCTCAAAGAGCGACAGAATAATGTGAGCGATGAAGAATGAAAATATTATAATGAGTATTACGGGGGCCATGTAGAAGTTCAGACCCGGCTTGTCCTTTAGCATGAAAATGCCAATCAGGCCGGAGAGAGCGGCCACCACAACCTTGCCCAAAAAGAGAATAAAGTCGCCAACGCTGTTGATTGTGGCCACTTGCAGGACATTGGTGGCCATGGCATTCCAAGCCTACAAAAGGAGAGATTTTAGATACCTCTCGTAGGATTGTCTCCAGCTCAAACTTACGATTCCAGCAGCTGGACAAAAGTTAATCGACTCGATGGCCACAACGGTGTATGCATTGTGATTGAGAAAGCGAATGAACTTCTCCAGCAGCCAGAAGCCACAGATGCAACACTTTAAGCAGCAGGCAGCACACTCCGAGCCCTTGTCTTCGCCCTTCTTCAGCCTGGAATAGGAATATCAAACGTGAATAGTTGCTATAAATGTTCTAGATGCTGTGCAACTTACTTGGCATACAAATAGGTGAGTATAAGGCGAGGAATCTTGAAGATAGTGATCACAAATGAACCTTTGGCCACTGTACCCAAATGATATTTAATCAATTTGCCAATGGCATACCATGTGGGCGTTGTGGTGGGCTTGCCAAAGTACCAAAAGGCGACAGCGGCGGCCAGTGCAAACTGCTGACAGGCAAAAATAAACTCCACCGTCCAAATGAGACCCACAACATAGATCCAGAACATGCTGCGCAGGGCACCAGCATCGGCATACTCTACGCGGGCAATGGCTGTGACAAACGGGGATTAAAATTAATCAAACTGAGGCATGGGGTACAGTCATTCAAGGGAATTGATTATTGTATGTACACAGTAGATCCGAAAGTGATTTAGAAAAGAGAAAACACTCAAAAATATGTACAGAGTTTGAAGATGGAACTCGGTTGTGCCTTTAGCGAAAATCACTTACTTCCATTCAACCCATAAATCACACACACAAACAACAATACAAAAGAAATATATGTTAGATGTGTTTTGGTTAAGATTCAATTAGCACTGCTCCAAAGCCAATTATCAATAGCACCTGGCCAAGAAATGAGTTCATCTCGACGCCTCTCTTCGTCTCTACTTACTTCTCTGATCGTTGAGGCTGGTATTGTTGCTCACAAACAACGCATTGGGAGGCAGCGGCTGCTGATGTGCGGCCGTGTTGTCAAACGGCGCAATGGGACTCTGACCCGGAGAGCTGGCTGTGGCCAGGCAGATGACAACCGCAACCCAGAAGCTGAGGAAGGCAATCAGCACAACGAAAGCCAAAAGCGGAGCAATCAAAAGACCCGGCAGATTCATCATGCATTGGCCAGCTTCCTCAAAGAGAGCCGACAAGCCAGCCAGTTTGTTCTTTAGAAAATAGATGACAACCAAGAGGATAATCTATAAAAGAGAGAAACACATGAGTAACCATCCATTGAGGCAGTTTATGGGTATAGCAAACCATTGTTATGGTGGCCAGGATGGCCAACGTTAGCACAGCCTGCTGATTGCGCACAAACTCCTCTAGCAGGGAGTACTGTGTGTTCACTTGTCCCGACTTGTACTTGATGTTGTAGTAGGCGTACCACAGGGCAACCGTCAGGCCAATGCTAGCCACAATAACCAGCACACAAATGACCCAGGAGACGATGCGCGAAAGCCAATGCATCATGGTCACCAGAGCAATGGAAATGACTAAAGAAAAATATAATTTATAAAATATTCCAAGCACGCAGTGATTCCCGGGTACATACGCAGGGCTATGCCACAGACCATGGCAATGATGTGCCAGCTGGAGTAAATGTCGCTGAGGAACTGTGCTGCCACATCCCAGTTATTGAGCATCTTGTAAAATTCCTGCACCTTGTCTCCAGTGCCCTTTGGCACACAGCGATGCAGCACAGGCGAACTAAGAGGAAAGCAAACGTTGGAGTATTCAACTGGAATATAAAATAGATAGCAAACTGCACCTCTCGTAGACCGGGAAACTGGGACATGGGCCGAGGAAGTTGAAGGTTTTGCCATCATTGCCCACCGCGTTGAGTTGATCCATGTTGTAGTCATATTTGCACAGATGGCTGCCCGTTTCAGTGTAGTACTGGAGCAGCTCACTGGGCTTGGTCAGCGTTTTGGCGGGGCAACTCTTTACGCATATCTTCAATGACTTCTTCAGCTCCTTCACATCAAAGTAGAAGAGCTCGGGCTTGTCGACGGTGTTCATGCCGGACAGAGGGAACCCTTGGAAACGCTCATTGTGCTTAACTCCACAGGTGTTGCCAAAGGAGTCGTAGCCATTGATGATTCGCAGAGGGTTGCCATAGACAAACGAAAATATCGCAATCACAATCTGAAAAGAAAATCCCTCGGATCAATAGCAATGGAAAGACGGCAGCGCAGAGATAGCCAGCAAATATGTACTGTCCGCCAACGCCCATGAACATGGCATGACTAGGGCCATTATTATAATAATCGGTTTAATGGACGTACCCCATGGATATATGCATATCACATGGAAATGCTTTCATGTCAAGGGAGTGGCGTTTCCAGCAGGACACTGGACACTGGCCTACATTGATTCAGCTCAAAGAGCCAGTGTTAAATCATCGCATTCATTAACAGAATTAACAATTCCATGCTCATATGATGGCAATGGCGATGACGACATGACTCGCTCGCCTAAGTAACAAGTAGTCTGAGTCTGTCGCCTCCACCTCCTCACAGACAGCGCGCCAAGCGTTTGCGCACTCACACAGACACAAAGGAAAGCATTCGCATTCGCATTAAAGTAGATTGATCTCTCACCGCTCGCTTTCACTTTTTTGTATGCACTCTCACGCATATATATCCGCTATAATGCGACAGGCGATCGGAATGTTTGCGTATATTTACCAGAAATAGCCAAAATATAATATAAAGCGCCAGCCAGAACACATCCGTACAGGACCGGTACTTAGGCCTATTGTTTTGTGTCTCGCCCTCCCCATCCTTGCTCTCTGCACAGCCCATCTTAAGCTGAATTCACTGAAATACGATTCTGCCGGCACAAGGCTCCTTATCACAAGACGGTTTGTATATAAAGTTGTAGAATGCCACTTGTTTGTTCTTATTTTGATTTTTGATTCCAACAACAACAACCTAGCGTAGGTGTGTTTCAGTGTAACCGCGAAAAACCACTAAAAAATATACCAAAATATACCTTCTGACTTTAAATACATACCGTAAATATGCGGTAGTCTTAAATCAGATTCCTCGATTTTGAGGTTCTATTTGATATTACTAGCTTGCAAAGACTATTAGCACTGAAACAATAATTTAATCCGATTGAAAAATCAATTTTGATTATTGCAAATACTCTTTTTTTTGGCTTGTATACCTTATGACCTCGTCCTTTACAAATTTGTATTTGATTTTTTCATTCAAATAACCCCTTTTGGAAGCAAGGGATCGATTATTGTATATATATACGATTACATTATCATCGACCGTCGCCTCAATCGAATGTCCGGAAAGTTCCTAAAAAAACAAAGTGCTAAAGTGTTTTAGATCATGTACTACCGGGCAGTAAAGTTATTAATTCTTGGAGCACCGATTTTCCAACTGATTTGAACGATTTGGATCGGAATTCGCTGCCATTGAAATTATTTGAGGCACACATTGTCGTCCACTTGAGTCGTCCATCTTTACAGTAATAACTGTAAACTGAAGACTTTGAGTGCCATACGCGGGAAATACTACGAAAATTGATCAAAATAAAGCAAATTCGCAATAAATCCGTGTGTTTGTGAGTGTGTAATCCATTTTATTCAATTATGATTTCAATATTCATTAATCCATAAGTTAGTTATTAAGGAAACATCGCTTTTATTATTGTACTACTTTCCCATGAATGGCTGGAAAGTGGAATTATTTTGTAGTTTATCTTCTGTCCGTGCTTACGGCTTGCATGTCATTCCCATTAAGCGCGATCGTTCATTTGGCGTTCATCTAGTCAAGAAAAGAAATATCAAACCCAATTGAAACCCAAACGTTAAATAATAAATTATTCACATTTAATAAATGGGGGAAAACTTATGCTACCGACTTACACAATCAGAAATCTAACATTAACATAAGAATCGCATTGAACTGAAAAATTAATATTTCTATTTAAATCGTAGCTTCGTATACAAACTAAATTATATTGATTCCACACTTAAACAAGGAATTTAATATAATAAATCTTAAATACTGAGGACTGGCAGACACGCACACACACAGAGATATCGCGTCGCCGAAGTATAACAGGAATTGTCATTCCAAAATTGTTCCAGCAGTCGAACAATTTTCGAACAAGATGTTGTTATTTTGCACGTTCCGCAATTAAAGAGATACACTTATGTTATATTCCCTACTTAGAGCTACAAATCGTGTGCAAAGACCCTACATATGTAAATTCTGCAAACCCTAATCGTAGGGCTTCCTTCTTGTAATCTCATCTTGAAGTTATTTGGCCGACTCTGTCCTTGCTCTCGATGATCATTTCTTGACTGTGACCTTGATGCCACCCTTGACGACCGCCTCTGCCGGCGGCTGCCCGAACCTACGGCTCTGGTTGAGGTGGATCTTGCGCCGTATATTGGCTGCTCCACTGCCCTCCCTCAATGCGGGGGAAGTCTCGCTCTGCCTGCTGCGCTGCGTTTCGAAGTCTTCGGTGGGTGGTTTGTAGGTGCGAATGCCCGAATTGGAGCGCACGGGCAGCAGGGTGACCAGCCGATGCACGCTCGGCTCTGCGGTGGTGGATGTGGGCTCCGCAAACTGTGAGATCTTCAGCAGTTCCTCGTACTTCAGCGGATCCACCACTTCCACCTCCGCCTCGCCGACCACTGGAATGGCAGCTCCCAGCACCTCCGAGGATCCATCGTCCATAAAACTGGACATTGGCTTAATGAATGGTTCTCGTTGTTCTATAAAGCTCACGCTCGATTCTTGGACTGGCAGTTCCGTAGTCGTTGTCCTCACTCTGGTCTCCTCCTTCGGTGGATGCTTCAGTTTGTTCTGCGAGAAGGGAGGAAACTTGTTGGGAACACTCGGCGTGATGCCCAGCTTGGAGGCCAGCGTGTCAAAGATCAGCGAAATGTCCTGTATGTTGCTGGCATTGTTGATGCGCGTCTTGATGTCGTTCAGTGTTAGGTTCTCCGACTTGTCAATGTCCTCCGATACCCATGCCTGCAGCGTCTTGTTGAAAATCTTTCGCATATTCGAATTGTGTCCGTAGTTCTGCGCCGAAGAGCTGTTGACAAACTGCCACTTGGAGTGCGAGGGAAATAGGTTCGAATCGTCCATCATTGTGGGTCGCTCGCTGGTCGTACGGATGCGATTTCTGTTGGAAATGCTAGTGACAGTTCTTGGCTCCTCTGTGGTTGTGGTGGCACTTGTTGTGGTGTCTATGGTGTCATTGGCCAGAATCTGGGATGGAGTATTGCGCTGCAGAATGTGCTCCTTCAGTTTTAAAAAGTTTGGCTTGGAGTGGTTCGCCGGCGGCTTTGGTGTCTCGATTTCATCTGGCTCTATTCTTGACTCTACGGTATCTATGTCCACCTGCTGCTCTGGCTCTGGTGTGGTGCTCCTGTTGGTTGCATTCCCCTCCTTGGGCAGGTTCAGCAGCTCCATGAAAAACTCTCCAATAGTGTCGGCCAGCACCGAATTGTCTGTCGGCTTCAGCGAGGGCAGAGCTGGCGCACTCGTGGGCCTGGGTGAGCTGCTGACCACGAACTTTACTGGAGCTGGTGTGCTGGTGTGATTGATCCTGTGCGTGGTTAGCTCAATGGGTGCCTGCTTTGTGGAGGTTTCCTGCTTCTGTGGCTTCTCCTGCTTGTCCGGTTTCTCCTGCTTCTTGGCTATGACACCGCCGCCCAAGTGCTCGAACCGCTCGTTGCTGGCATCGATGTTGAAGGGCAGCTTGTCGCCCGTTCCCAGCGTGGGATCGATCGGCTTGAATGGTGGAATAATCACGTCATCAATCAGCGGCACGGGCAGGGGATGCGGCTCGACCAGAGCTCCGCCCAGGCGCTCTATATTCTCAGTGCCTGGCATGAAGATCGGACTGCCAAAGTTGTGGTAGAAGAGCATATCCTGATCCTGCTGCTCCTGCCCTGCGCCCGGCAACTCCGGCATCTTTGGCTCGTTCATGCGCACTCCCTGATTCAGGAATCCCGCAATGGACATCGGTCCATACGGATCATCGATGTTCGATGGCGCCACAGCGGCTGTCGGCGGCGTGGGATTGTCACCTATAAATGGCAGCTCCAGCTCATCGATTCGCCTTTGCGGTATGTGATTCACAGTGGGCGTGGTTCCAGCACCACCAGGCAGCGTTTTTGTGGGAAAAGCGGGCGGCGGTCCAGCCATGAGCTCCGGCACTTCGCGGTGCATCGGTCGCCAGGGTTGCGTGTCCAGAATGGGGAATGTGGTGAAGAGATTCGCATCCAGCTTGGGCAGGGACATGCTGTGGGTGGGAGTGGGCGCTGTCACGGTGGGATAAGTGAATGTCGTGGTGCTGGGCAGTGTGGTGCTCGGTGGGGAAGGAGTTGTTGCGGGCGCCTTGGTGGTGGTGCTTCTTGTTGTTGTTGTTGTGGGTTTGGGTGTTGTGGTTGTTGTACTTGTTGTCGTGGTGCTCGTACTGCTACTAGTGCTCGTGCTCGTGGTTCGCTTCGTGCTCGTTGTTGTGGTTGTGGTTGGGGTTGTGGTTGTTGTTGGCCTCTTGGTCGCCTTGGTTGTGGTTGCTCTGGTGGAAGGCTGCTGCTGCTGCGGCACAATCGTTGTTAGCTTCTCAATGCCCGGCTTCTTGGGCTTCACCCGGAGGGAGTAAGGCGTAACTGCTATCGACTTGGGTGGCTGAGCGCTGCTGCTGATCTGATAGGCCCGTGTGGGCGGCAACTTCTTGCGCGCAATGTCCGCATCCGTTTTGGTTATCTCGAAGGAGCCCTCGAAGGAGCCCTGTATGACGGGCGCATTCTCCACATCGATTTCCGGCTCCTCATCCGCTGAGTGATTGCGAACGAGTGGATTGCGCGGCTTGGGTGTGGTGTTTCCCAGTGGCTTTGGATGCTGTGCCGGTGCAGGCGTTCCCTTCTTCATGAGCCGCTTCTCCAGCTGCGTCTGACTAGTGGGCACCGTTTGCTGCAAGTAATTAGCTGAGGATTAGTGGAGAACAGCGAAAGATCGGGGGGGGGGGGGTGTGTGCTTACAGCCTCCTTTAGGATTGCCGCTGCACGCATCACTTGCTCGTCCATGATCCGCTTGATCTCCACAGACTCCGTGTCCAGGCGCAGCGAGCGATAGAGTGACTTAGTGGCCGCTGTCTCCAAGAACAGAGACTCCTTGATGTACTCCTCCACGCTCAAAATATTCCTGCAGAGATCAAAAGGGGCTACAACCACAAAAAGTTAAGAATGGAGCATGATATACGTACTGCGGAAGTTTACGGACATCGAGGAACAGACGAAAGGAGACCTTGATCAGAGGACCATCGCCGAAGCCCCAGACATCGGTGCGCAGCGGCTGCAGGCCATTGTCCGTGAGAGATCGTTCCACAAAGCGCTTGTAAAAGTCAATCTTCTGCTTGTACGTGGTGGTGTGGTTGTACTTCAGACCCGTGGAGTACAGATCCCCCTTGGCAATGCGGAAGGAGCCCTCAAAGCCCAAGATAGCTGTGAGAAAGAAGCTCAATAAGGGGTTTCCCGGGGGGGGGGCATCTTCAATGCTTACGATCTTCCAGGGTGGCCTTGATGGAGCTAAAGTAGAATGCCAGACCCGCAATGGAGATCACCGCCAGCAGAACTATAAAAGCGGCCGTCGTGAGGATGATGGAGAATGATCGATTCTTTGGATACTGCGTCTGTGTCTTGGCCGAGAACGTGGATGGTGCTATGTTCCGGCCATCGCGCCAGATGCCCCACGTGTTGTATCCGTACTGGCTGTTGATGCTATGATCGTTCGTGTACGAGGGCTGCTTGTTCATGTGATAGTAGGCGCCCAGCTGCGATCTGCGCCCCAGCGTGTTCTGGTAGGTGTAGTCCGTGCTCTGGAGAAGATTGTTGGAGAAGATTGGCTGGCGTAAGTGTGTTTCGAAAGCATGTCAAAGCCATCGGCATTGCCAACCCAGACAGCCCATTGCCAATTGATCTCGATAGCTGCTAATTAGTTAATCATCCAGCGACGAGACAACTTTCTCAGCCCTTTGGCGACTTTCTTTCTTGGCTGCCAATCTGCCAGTCGCCAGTCTGAGAACTCATTCTCGGAAGTGAATCCGCGCATCTTTAAGCACTTCTAACGGTGCTCCCCACCTGACGCTCGGGCAGAAGACCGACCAAACACGACACTTGTCATGATTTGTTAATGTCCATGGCCACGATCTCGGGTGCATTTAATTAGCCTGGCCTGGGAGCACAAGTCATTGCACCTGGGGAGCTGCAACACCCAGCCCCTCTAGGGTAGAGTCTGATTGTTTCTTGATTACCATTTAACATTCATTAGCTGCAGGGCACTTCCTGAGTGGCCTCCCCTTCCACCTGTGCCCAGAACGCAACGCGTTCTCTTTTGGCCAAATTCTCCACTTGCCTCGGGGCCTCTTCTTCATTCTCTCTCTCTCTCCCCGCTCTCTCTGTGTGTGTGTGTGTGTGTGTGTGTCTCTTCTTTCGTGGCTGCTTCTGGCAGAGAAAGTCATTCACCTTTAGAACGTTGTTCCTCTGTCGCCGTTGCTGTTGCTATCTCTGTCGTGTTTGGCTCGCTGGCTGCCTATGCGGCTGGGCCAGGTTAGTCGCTGGTCTAGCAGCTGTTGGAGCGACTGTGGACTCTGGACTGGAGGAATGCAAACAGCCCGAGCCACAGCCAGATCCCAAACAAACAGTAAAGATGCACTCTGCGCTCCTAAGTATGTTGACTTTTGGAGCCCCCAAGTTGATGTAACATTTCTATTTACCAAAGAGATTCTAATTGCGACAAATTCCCCCTGGCATATGTTAATTATATTCCCAACCCCTAACAGTAATCCCTTTTGTGTTGCGTGTGATAAACGACTCACCATTTGCCGACATGTCTGCCCTCTGTATATATCACTCGCACCCGATAGGCTCTGGAAGTATTTCTTTGTTCCATAGACCGTGTCCATGGCTCCGGCTGTTATGTTGCTTCTGTGAGCTAATCTGAAAGATAATAATCAAAGTAAATCGGAATTTTTTTTTTTTGTATGGGTTTGTTTGCTGCTGCTTCACTTTCGTTGGACTTTGGGGGATTTGGATTTGCTTTCTTTTGAGCCCACTCTGGCTGGTGTGCTTCTCTCTCTCTCTCTCTCTCTCTCTCTCTCTCTGTCTTTCCGTGAAAATACTCGCCAATGGGCCAGCATGCCTAGGAACCGGCTAATCCTGTTTGGCCATGCCATTAGCCAAGCCAAAATTCTCACTTTTCGCAAAAGGAAAAGAACTAAACGAAACGAAACACTCCAACCGGTTTCCATTTGCATTTCCCGAACTCAAAGTCAAAGTCCTCGCCAGCACACGACTCCACATTGAAATCCCTTAATGAAGGAATGTCGCATGATATAAATTCCATAACTAATTGTGATGCCAGTCTGGGAACAGCGAACACCACTCAGGTGACCTGACCGACCAGCAGTCATAAAAAGCGAAAGCGCTATCCCACCACAAAAATCAGATTTAATTAGAGAATTCCCTGACACTTTGATACGCTTGCCGGCTGAGCCCTACAAATTCGGAATTTTCACTTCATATTTCCACCTTGCTTGCACTCTCCACAATAACAACAACTCGAAGAACAGCCCGCACCACAGCGAAGAAACCAGTTCTTCGGTTCAGCGGGAATGGCAATGAAGATGGTTAGGTTGATGCCTGACTCTGGAGCTGGAACTGAAGCTGGAGCTGGGGTACGCATGTACGATACACGCGTATTAATGCTCGTAATGCCACAATGTAGTACATGCGCAATCAAAGCAGAGTTCAGAGGAGAAACGTTGCGGTCAAAAAATAGTTTTCGGTGCGGCAAGTCATCGTTAGCGTTGAGAGACTCTCAAAGCGAAAAGTAAAATTTCTGTTTTATTTTTGGAATTTCCTAATGATGCTCGGGGTCGGGGTCGCAGAGAGAAATTAATAATCAATATATTAAATGTGGGCTTTGGGTTTGGTTTCCGCAACAAGTGTATGCCCGAATTAATTCCCAGTGGCACACTAAACTCCATTTATCGCTTGTAATATCTTGTGTACGGCTCTCCCATAGGCATAGCCCCATTAGAACCATTCTCTCGTATCTGCTGCCAGTCATTTCCCATTCAAATGGAACGGAAACACATTTGCCTAATAAAAATACCGCCAAAAGCGGGCTCCAAGTACCAGAAAAAGACGCCAAATTGCAGAACAGAACAGGCACAATTAGAGACCAAGCCAAAAAGGGAGGCACGGCGCACACACGTGTGCTGGTAGAGAGAGGGGAGATGTTCCAGTACGTTGTACATACGTACCCTACTGCTCCCATGACAGTTAGAACGCTTGGGGAGCCATGGCCATCGGCATCGCCACAGCAACAGCCACAGCCACAGCCATAGGCATCCCATCAGCGCTTGACCTAGATGCGCATGCGCGCAGCCGCTATGGGGAGCGGAGAGAGAGACAGAGCCAAAAGCCAAAACCAAAACCAAAACTGGTAACTGGTACGAGTACTCCACCCCTCTCTCTCCTTTGTCTGTGTGTTTGTGTATTCGAATGGAGAAAGAAAGAATAAATTGACTTACGTCTGAGCAGCGTGAAAAAAAATATAAAAAAAAACAACTTCACAAAAATAATAAAATAAAAGACAAAAATAACTGGCAGAGTGCCTTTTTCAACGTTAAGCATTAAGACGTCGTCTGTCCACGCATAAGTTGATTAAATTTCTCGCATTAGCCGATTTTCTCTATCGGTGAAATTGTTCAAGACATTGCAACGAAACGAGAGACAGGCAGAGGCAGACACACGGACCAAAAAAAAGTCAAAGAATGATTGATGAGAATTTGATCTGAACAGTGGCTGCAAAAACTGTCTGTCTGTCTAACGGAAGTCGGTCGACTGGCCGGGCCGGCCATTAACCCGTTTTGTGATCCAAAAATATACCCAAAATGTACAGATATCCATGTCCATTGTGTCCGAATGTTCGTTGGAATTTACCTCGAACGCATGTGAGCGATTTTCGGACAGATTAAGAAGAGTCGGCTGCACATCCACGACCACGACCACTTTCAATAATAATAGACGCCGACAAAGTGTCGAGGCCACGAAGAAAGTGAAAAGTGACAGGTGTGTGAGAGAGAGGCAGTGGCGGATGGGGCAGCAGAGGCATCGATGTCAATGGGATGCTTATCAGAAAGCACCGAAATGGAAAGTTCATTTCAAACTAGAAAATCGAAAATTGAATCATCCAAACAATGCAGGCCCCCCATCAAAAGGGCAACCCGTACGAATTCGTGTTTATTTATTTGTGTATTTTGTTGATTTATTTTTGAAAGTGATTGCAAATTGTCAGACCAGATCTGTTTTTATTGGTAGCTTCATTATTCAACATTTCGGATACCGCTAGCTCTTTCTTTGCTGCTGGATGTCATAAGTGTCATAAGGAACACAATGTGGAATGTTGCAAATTTATGCAATCTTCTTTTTGCCGGAAGAGAAAACTGATTAACGATAGACAATACCGATACCGATAGCGATAGCGATATCGATACTCCAAGCGAACAGGTGGGTGCCAATTGCAATTGCACAATGGATGAAGGAAGCATTTAATAAGTAACGTTCCACCAATTGTGTAATGAATTAATTGTTTAATAGCCACTAGAGGATGAATATGTATGCGTGGAGTGCTCTGCTCTCCATCTGTGCAACATTTGCAGTTTCATAACAGCTCTAACGGCGCCGCGCAGGCATATTACTGGAGCAGAACAACATTGTTGGCAAGAAGATACATACAAGAAGCAGAAGAACAATACGGAATACAAATGTACATGGAGTAATAAATTGCGTCACTCCTCTCTCCCAGCTCACCCTTTCCATTACGATTTGTGCGGAACCAAAAGTGCATTTCATTTTTTACGACAAAAGTAGGAGAAAAGTTGACAAGAAAAGAACCCACAGGCATAACATTAACAATAACACAGAACTGAAGGTGGCCCGGGGGGAAAGAGAGAGAGAGAGAGAGAGAGTATGGAGGCTCATCAGGCGTAGGGAGAGTGGATAGCAAAGAGCGCGGAGCGGCAGAGTCATTAAAAGCATTCACCGTTACTCTTTAACCGACGACCAAACTAATTAAAAACCAACAAATCTGCGGATGATTCTCCACCGCTCTTTCCCACACACGCTCCTCTCCGAAACCCTTTACGAGTATGTGTGTGTCTGTGCTCTCTGGAGCATAATTCGGGAACTTGATTACTCATTGTGGTAGTGCCTTCCCATACCCCCCTCATGGCAAGGTGTGCGGGCAGCAAAACAGGTTGACATATTGAACAGGGCGCTCTGCCCCTGCCCCCGCCCCTGCCTCCTTCGAGAATAGAATGACATGCAACTGAAAAGTCTGTGTGTAAAGTGTAAAGTCAGGGAGTGAAAACCGTTAGGCTGAGGTAACAGTATTAACAACAGTGCTAAATGCTTGGCGGGTGACTTGTCAGCGAAGCTGAGAATAAATTTCTGTAAGATACACCATAATTGATGGGAAACGTTTTTACGTGATAAAAAGAACTTCTTTAATAGGAAAGACTTGAAGAATCTAATTTTCTTTGGCCCTTAGTAACATATTCCTGCTAAACCAATTTTAAAGTCGATAATTACAAGATTATTTTAATTGAAATTTAAACTTTTGATTACCCCAATTTAATGGGGAAACCCCACAACCAGTTGCAGATAACTCTATTTAGTTTGAGTCCATGTCTAATGCAAATTGTCGCCGTGGCTGTGTCCGCTTCCTCTTAGTATGCATCGACGCACTCAACAGATAAGAACCCGAAATGCAATTAGTGCCGCGATTCCGCATGCGCGGCACGCACATCCCCCATACCCACTCCCATTCCCATTCCATTCTCCTGCATTGGACGTCTGTATTTCATGTTGCTGTGACTGTGTTGGGGGGGGGGGGGGGGGGGGGGGGGTTTTTATCCCGCACACTCTCCACTGCAATATCTATTCTCAAAAACTGTCCNTTACCGCAACGAACTCTTGCATTTGAGGTCGCTTTCCTCCACACTCTTCAGTCGACTCCGAGTGGTGGCTCGGCTCGACAGGCGAAACAAAAGATCAGCCCATTAGAGGCGATTTTACATCATTTGAATGCAATTTAATCGCAGCTTAGCGTTATGTTCTATTTCGCCGCGGCACCGAGACCAAGCCAGCTGCAGAGATCAATCTGATCGCTCAGCCAGCGTCTCCGACTCCGACTCTGTCTCTGTCTGTGATTCTCTCTACTTGTCTGTGTCTCTGTCATTTGGTGCTGTTTTGCCGCCGTCCAAGAATCGTGCGGCACAGATGATCAGTCAGCAAAGATGCCAATTTGGGCCAGGCCAGCACATCTTCATGATGATGAGGCTCGGATGAGGTTCTCTTGACCAATTTGCGATTCTCAACAGTTTCCCAGAGTCCCGCCAACGCTGACGGGGGATCAAAGTCGGCCCAGAAGTGGGCTCGGCCTGGGATTCAGATTCAGATTTAGATACAGGTTTGGGGTTGATACCGGGGCAGCCTCTTAACGAGCGAAAGTGTTTCATTAACTCGTAAATGAATAATTTGTGACAAGACAACGAAAACGAAATCAAAATAAACGCACACCAAAGCAATGCTCGTAAAAATGTACATAATTTTTCAATCTGAATCTGGTTTTTCGCATTTCTATTTCTCCGGTCTCTCGGGCCGTGCCGGGCCTCTGCTCTGCTCTGTCTTTGATCCACTTCCGACACACGAAAAATGAAAATTTTCATTGCCTCCTCAGTGAAATGAAGTGCAGGTGAAAATTACCCAAACACAAATACGAAAGAGAGAAAAATGTGCTTTGGTGACAGATGGACAGACAGGCGAGACACACAGATATGGGTGTGTTTTCGGTGTCTAGGATTTGGCAACCTGTCTTGGCCTTGTGCTGTGTCGCTCTCCAATCTGTCTGAGTCATTTGGCTCAGCTTCGGAGTGTTTTCGGGACTTTCACCGGCCAACTGCAGCAGTTATCAATGAGTCAGGAGGAGAAAGAGGTGGAGGGAGTGAATTTGCGTAAATTGTCGGTTATTATGAAGCAACCGCCCCGCCTATAAATTGGGTCAAACAAAGCAGCTTCTTCCTGTCAGCGAACAGAACACGAACACGAACACGAACATGTAAACGTTAGCACAAAAATCAATTTCCGGAGGCAAAACGCTTAGATCTTTAGATACTACGAGTACAACAATCTTCCGTCATTATGGGAGACGACATCGCCGCTTGTGGGATCACATAATGATGGTGTTCTCTGCCTCTGGCTGGCTCTGTGGCCAACGGCTCCGAACTGTCAATTGGCCCAGTTCATAAACGTGGTAATTGCGCGGTTAGCGACATATAAAGCACCAGCAGCAGACCAAAGCGGACAACAAAACGTTCTCCGGCTTTTGTTTCTGTTCTCTGGACATTCACCTGTACAGTGTACACTCTTTTGTTTCATTGTTCTTTACCCTTTTATTGGGTTGTATTTTATTTTCTGGTGCCAGTGGCCAACGTCGTAGGTGCTCTTTGCCTCTTTTGCTTTTTGCCGCCCTTTTTTTCGGGTGGAATCTTAATTTCTAATTTCTTTTATTGTCTGTCTGCATTGTGTTAAATGGAATTTCAACTGGTTTTGGCTCCCTGCCTTACCCTTACCCTGGATCCCAGCTCTGTGGCTGTGTCTGGGGCCCCTTTTATTGCCATTTTCATTTTAACATCCATAATTTTTGAGCTTCGCCAGCTCGTTTGTGCGCGATTATTGTGCTCTTGCCCGTGGGCCTTTGTACATTTCATCGTTTTCTACTTCTTACACTCTTTGGTCTTTGGTCTTTGGTTTTGGTTTGGCAGCAGCGGGGAAGCGTCTTCGTTTTGAGTAATGTAACCAGTTTTGTACCTTCAACTACTTTTTCTGGTTTAGTGCATGTGTCTAACTAGTTTATGAACCTCCACCTCGCTTGCAAGAGCGTAGGGAGAGCCTGCAGTGTGGGAACTCTGATAGTCCTGAGTGCAATCTTTCTCTCAATTAAGCTGCAAATACTTACAAAGATTTAATATCGTCCAAGGCAGCTGTGGAAGTGTGGTTCCATTTGATGGGTGCGCTGGTAGTAATTCCTGCAAGCTTTTTGTATTCAAAACTCAATCACAAATGTTGCACAGATTCCCTTGGGCCCTCGGCTATAGAATTGTGGTACTAATTTAACATTTATCGCTTGAGATATTCACGGTATTCTGGTCACAGCAACAGAACAAGCATTTCACGACAAACTGATCGCGCCCGTGACTGAAAGAAAACTAAAGATAGTCGCCCCAAAATCTCAGTCTTGCGGCCCCCAGAGTCAGTTGCGTCTGCGCAACAGGCAGCACTGCTTGCTCTCGCTCTCTCTCTCTCTCTTTCTTCACTCTCTCTTGTACATGGCAATGCTGCAGTGAGCGCGATAACAACGTATTTGAATTGTTATCGATATCAGATACAGATTTATTTTCAACATAATTTAAATACACTTTTTTAACATGACTGGGGTTTACTTTAGATAGGATTGCACTTTAAATACTGCTGATAGACTGGAGGATACACATTTTAGCCTTCTACGATTTTCATGTCCCACGACCTGCCAATCATGGCGACGACATCCCGCTTCAGCTTGGGTCCAATCAGTGGATTCATTTGAGCCATGTAGCAGCACAGCCAGAAGAGCCAGCAGCAGGAGGCCGTCAGCATAAGGATGCAGCGTATCAAATTCTGGTGCGGACCCTTTGGGGTCATAATGGGCATTCCAATACCCACAGCTCCCCAAAGCGCAGTGAAGAAGAGCACAGGAAAAAATGCTGCACCCATTGCTAAACACTAAAAGAATCCTTTTAATGCTCGGAAGATGAAGATTTCCTGGATTTACACGAGTTTTCTGTTTATATCCGTTTTATTTTCCAACTTGTGAAGGCGCTCGGCGAAAAATCAATAAACTGTCGATAGCCGATGAGCGAATATCGATACGTTTTCGTAGTACCGACACTCGATACATCGCACTTAGTAGGAACTCGCATCTCTATTTAAATTATTTACAATTTTTCTACTATATTAAGTAAAAATAAATAACTGCACCATGACGATGCGACCTGATGACCACCGCAGAAAATGGGACAAAAACGAATACGAGAAGCTTGCAGCCGAGCGCCTGCTGAACCAGGTGGCTCCCAAGGAAGAAGGTTAGTTGCGGTCTGGTCCTCACGAACAGAAACTCCTAAACAAAACTTTCCCCCTGGTGTAGAGCCTGTGCAGCGGGAGAACCTGAAACGTCGCGACTATAAGGTGGATCTGGACAGTAAATTGGGCAAGAGCGTTGTGATAAACAAGAATACACCGACCTCGCAATCTGGTGGCTACTACTGCAATGTGTGCGACTGCGTTGTTAAAGACTCGATCAACTTCCTGGATCACATCAATGGAAAGAAGCACCAGCGCAATCTGGGCATGTCCATGAAGGTGGAGCGCAGCACCGTTGACCAGGTGAAGGAGCGCTTCCAGCAGAACAAAAAGAAAATGGAGGAAAAGCAAAAAGACTACGAGCTGGACAAGAGATTGCGCGAGGCCAAGGAGGAGGAGGAACGCTACAAGGAGCACAGAAAGGAGAAGAGGAAAGAACGCAAGCGCAAGGCCGATGACAGCGGTGACCTGGCCTCCGGTGGAATACCTGATGATATGGCTGCCATTATGGGCTTCTCCGGCTTCGGTGGCTCGAAGAAGAACTCGTAGGCTTTATCAAATATTTTTTGTTTTAGGTGCATAAGTGAAATAGAAAGAACGCTCACCAACGAACGAGATCCGTGTTTAGCTTGTGACATTTATTTCGTTTATATAGTACGTATAAGACGGGACAGTTTAACACCATTTCTATGTTTTTTGTGTGTATTAATGTTGCATGTTCTGTTGTACAACAGCTTCCCGGCTGTTCCCCAGTTATGAATAATTTATTAAGCAGTCGCAAATGCAAAAAGAGCTAAAACCATTTCACTATATCTAAGCATACTGCCACACCACAATCGAATACATTTTAAGTTAGAGAGAGACTGTGATTATGATGGGCCTAGGTGAATACGAATCCCTGCTCGGTGGGTATGTCCCACGGCATGGTGAAGAATTCCCCCGGCAACTGTGTGCAGTGTGTGGAGTTGTAATCACGTAAATGTTTGCGCAGCTAAAATGGAAAGAATATTATTATACCCACTCGTAGATAAGGGAAGGGCAGACAAGGAGAAACATACCAAAAATACAGCCATGTTGTTGCGCACCTCCTCGGAGTACTCGGCTCCAATCAGCATGGGGAATGACTTGCCCTCATCTGAGGCATAAGTAATAAGGCGCGACATGCTCAGCTTTTCCTCGGATGCCGGGATGCTGTACGGCTCTAGGGGCTTCGACAGCAGACCCTGGAGACGAGTAAGCTGTGGTTCGCCAAAGATCTTTGGATAGCGATGCTTCAGCACAGACAAAACCAGGAAGTTGCCGCGATTCGTTTCAATGCGGTTGTCCCTAGACAAGCGTGAAAGTGTTATAAATATAAATAGAATACAAATGCACCCATCTTACTCGGCGATAATTTCATCCTCAGTGCGTCGAATGAACGAAATGGGTCCGTTGAACTGATCGGCCAACTCGGCGTTGTTTAGATTGCAATAATTGCGTATGGCCGTCTTGACAATGCCGGCCACCTGGGAGGGCATGCGAGGTACAGCCAAATAGAGGACATCATCGAATGTGGCGTCCAGGACAACTCCCTTGGCATCTGGATAAATCGATGCGGCATACAATGCGCTAAAGCCTCCGATGCTCCAGCCATAAAATATAATATCCTCCACAGCGAATCCCAAGTGATGAATAGCAAATTGCACCACGGAATCGATGGCATTCTTGTCCTGATGCGGGTATGGCGTGCCCGAGCTGCCAGCAAATCCAGGATGGTTCCAGCCCAGAACCGAGTATTTGAGGGCCACCGGAGTGCCCATTATGCCGACTTCGTAGAATCCCGCATTTCCCTCGGAGCAAATGATCAGAGTCTTGCCATTGCCCACGTTGTCAATGCGATTATCGATGAACAGAGTGTCCAGTTCATTCGAGTCGATTGTCTTAATCTTATAGCGGATGCCATTGTCGTCTTCGACAAGTTTGGCGCGTCCTGAGATCAGCATTGGTCCTGCAATACACCCAAAGTTATAAACAGTCGGACATTAAGACAGTATTACATACGCATAAACTTCTGCAACAGCTTGACTGAGCCCGGATAGATCATGGGCAGTCCGAAGGTGTTGATGGCCAGGTAGGCAATCAGCTCACACGGCAGTGTGGCGAAGCGTAGCGGCTCCCGTCGGCTGGCAGTAACCACGGGCTTCTTGGTATCCCTAAATGGGGAAAGTTACGCTGCGAATCATTTGTAAGGATCTGGTCTCCTCACCCTATCAGGGACTTCACATCGAAGTCCACAGGCCACGAGCTGAACTCAATGTCGAAGCGGCGCAGCTCACCGCTGGTCTTGTTAGCCCGCGCCTCCTCCAAGGCTTTCATCATGTTCGAGTAGACCCGCGACTGTTTGCGGCCCATGCCCCGCATGACCAGCGATATAATCACAATCAGGCCCACGCTGGTTGTGATCTTGGCCAGCGTCGGCATCGAATCGGCAACAAAGTACCCGCGACGGTACAGGAATGTGACAATCAATGGCGACGTGTAGTAGCCCACCGACCACATAACCGATAGCTGGAATGAGTTAACATCTAGACCCCATATGCTGCATTCGTTTTGGTTGGTACACTCACCGTGGAGAGAATTTGTTCACCGAACTTTTCAACAGCTCCAGCCTCGTACACCTTGCGCTGTGGCTCGGGCACTCCCCTGTACTCCATGTACAGGGTGGGCCCGAATATGTAGCTGAGGAACGTCATTTTGTGGCTTGCTATATATTTTCTTGTCGCGTCTGCAAATAATGTTTTACTTTACTTTATTTTTTTTTTATTTTAATTAATGTGAAAGCTATTCCAGGGTTTCGCACTTTTAAGTCATCAGATGTTACGACGTTGAAAACCAGGGCAGGGTAGTCTCAAACAGGTGCTGGAACCAATTTAGTGTGTCATCTTGAAAACTAGTAAGAAATACATCGACAGACTCCACAACCACGAAAATAATTTAGCCTTAAGTCTATTAGACAATAGCCTAACAGTAAGAAGACTGAAAAGATACCACATTCTCGATATCCCTGATAGATAAATTTAACAAACTAAAAAGATGTTATATATAATAGCAGGGCTCATTGGAAAACTGCTATTTCTGTTAATTGAATATTAATTATACAATTTACTTATTGTTTAAAAACAGATTGTAAATATAAAGAGAGAGAAAAAAAAAAAAAAAAAAAAAAAAAAAAAAATCTTGCTGTTCATAAATTTCTGGCGCGCTCCAGCGTTGGAACCAGCTCCTATCACCAGCCACTATCAACGTCGTTAGTTTCGTCGGCAAAATTGAGCTTATTGCGGGAATGTATATATGCGATATGATGATCAAATCGTCAATACCATCAAACACACAAACAGTGTTCCAGTGGTCGATAGTTTGCATTTATGCAGGCTGCACTTATCGATGTTTAGTTGCTCGAATGTTAACTCATTTTTTTAATAAACTTTTTAATTTGCGGATAAAATACTAGTCGTGTGGCAAGTATTCGATTCGTAACTTACAAAAATTGTATAATCTATTCTATAAAATGCACCACGCAGTGCGAACAGTGATATAAATATCCGTTGTAGCATCTGAAGCTGCGCGAGTGCTCGACCAAGATAAAAATAATCTTCTACAGGCGCAACAAATGTAATCGGCAAGACGATAGCGGAACCGACCCGGTTGAATTGATCCAGTTCGGCCCTGAACTAAACAACCCTACGTGTCAGTCTCATGCGTCGGTGTAAATAGTTTTTTTTAAATTTCGAAATATAAATCGTGATTTTCTTACAACAAAACAGCCAATGTTTTTCATTCCCGCTCGCTAACAATAAGTTTAATTAATAATTGAAGAGAAAGTGCCCTGGCCCGGGACCGACTGCCAGCGTGCACAACCATCAGCTGGAGCTGCAGTCGCTGCCGCCACCGCCTGCCGCCGCCACAGCGAAGAAAAGTTGAAAAAGGCCACACAGCACACCAGACTCAAGACTCAAGACTGCTGGCAGCGAATTGAAGCTAAGGAAAGGCTGCTCGCTGATAATCTTTGTATATAGCCAGACCAGACTACCCACACATATAGGCGGTAGCAGCAGCATCGATGGCGGGTCAAAAGTTCCAATATGATGAGAGCGGCGGAACGTTCTACTACTTTGTGCTATCGTTCTTGGCCCTAATATTGATACCAACAACGATTTACTATTGGCCACGTAAAAAGAAAGAAGGTTAGTGCTGCCTTCGCTTCTGCCTGATTATAATCGCTCTCCACCTGCAGCGCGACATTGTGTGTTTGTGTTTGGGTGTGTGTGTGTGTTCCTGCGTCTGTCTTAATAAGTATGAGTGTGCTTATCCCCCCGCCCAACAACAAGGTACATGTGTTTTCCGCTCACAATTGCAAATGGACACGTTCCAATAATTTATTCTAACAACGTCACCGCAGCAGCGTCTTCGTATTGGTGAAAGCTGCGCTTACACGAATTTCAAGTCGGGCTCACTTCACAATTGGGACACCAAACACAAAACACACCATGTGTTCACACGTCGCTGTCATATCGCGATGTCGCGATGTTCCCGAGTGCGCTGCTCTGGATCTGGAGTGATCCAGCATAAATTGCACATGCGTGTGTGAGTGTGTGTGGACTTGGCCCACTTAGCGTGATGCGCCATCGTATAAACGAGGCACACCTCCGGGGCAGCAACTCTTTCTCTTTAATCCAAATCCAGTTATTCTATCTGAAAGAGCGAGAAGAGAGTACGGTTGCATTGCCGACACTCCTGTGCGTTCAGTGAAAGTTCTCTTCTCAGAATGCCCAGAACTCTCTCTTAGCGAACAGCATACTCTCTTACATGTGCCTCTCTCTTAAGTTTCATAAAAGAAGCTAAAACTTATATGCCAAGGAAATGTGAAGATCCATCCATAGCATTATTTAATGGCCAAATTCTTTTCAGATCCCGGTAAGCGCAATGAGGAATGCCAGTGCGACGATTGCAGGAAAAAGAAGACAATTCTGGCCAATGCCGAGCCGTACAGAGCCCTCAGGTCGTGGACCATCAAGCTCGTCATAGTGCTGGGCTGGGCCCTGCTGCTATTCCTCACATATCGTGTCTCGCAGTTTGACTATGAGATGGCCAGCTTCGATCCCTTCGAGATACTCAATGTGCCGCCAACATCCTCGCAGGCTGAGATCAAGAAGGCCTACTACAGGCTGTCCAAGATCCTGCATCCGGACAAGGAGACGGGTGACGAGAAGTCGTTCATGATGCTCAGCAAGGCCTACCAGGCCCTCACCGACGACGTGGCCAAGGAAAATTACGAAAAGTACGGCAATCCAGATGGACCCGGTGCCATGTCCTTTGGCATTGCCCTGCCCTCGTGGATTGTGGAGAAGGAGAACAGCGTTTGGGTGCTCGGCCTGTACGGTCTCGTCTTCATGGTGGCCATGCCCTCGGCCGTGGGCGTCTGGTGGTACCGTTCCATACGCTTTAGCGGCGACAAGGTGCTCCTTGACACCACCCAAATGTACTTCTACTTCATCCACAAAACCCCGCACATGCTGCTCAAGCGCGCCCTCATGGTGCTGGCTGCCAGCTTGGAGTTTGACAAGCGACACAACTCCCAGGTGACGGAGCGACAATCGGACAACGACGAAGTTCCAGCGGTAAGTTGAAGCTGCCTGTATTCCTGTCCACACCTTACTTATCCCTTGATTTCTGGGTACATTCAGCTCATCCGGCAGCTGCCCAATCTGAATGAGAAGTGCAAGGAGCATCCACTCTGCCGCATGTACTCAATCAAGGCACGCGCCATTCTGCATGCCCATCTCTCACGGATTACCCTCAACGCGGACACACTGGAGCGCGATCGGCAGTTTATTGTGAAGAAGTGCCCGTATCTGGTGCAGGAGATGGTCTCCTGTGTGCACCAGCTCGTGATGATGGCCTATGCCAGGCGTGTGCCTCGTCTGCCCAGCATCGAGACCATCGAGAACTGCATGAAGATGTCGCCGATGATCATCCAGGGCCTGTGGGAGTTCAAGTCGCCGCTGCTGCAGCTGCCGCACCTGACCGAGGACCATTTGTACTTCATGAACAAGAAGCGGCACGTGAAGAATCTGCAGCAGTTCGCGCAGCTGAAGCCGGAGGAGGGCCGCACGCTGCTCAAGAATCTGTCGGACTTTGAGTACGAGAACACCATGAAAGTGCTGGGCAAAATGCCACTGATCGACTTCTCCATACGCTGCGAGGTCATTGACGACGAGAACACCAATGTAGTCACTGCCGGGGCCATTGTCACTGTCACAGTGACGCTCGAGCGCAAGGACATGAAGACTCTGTTCGGAGACACCAAGGCACCCGAGAAGCAGGGCATCAACGACGAGGCCAACGAGGAGGCTGCTGGGGATGACGATGAGGCTGCAGCCGCTGCTGTTCCCGTGAAGAAGGCTTCGGCCTGGGCCAAGCCACGCAAGGGTGGCAAGGGCAAGGGCGGCAAGAAGCCGGCCAACAACCAAAAGAAGAAGCTGCCACCCAAGGCGACCAACGTGGCTGCGACCACTGCGTCAGCATCGGCCACAGGATCCGAAGAGCAGGGTGTCAACTCAGAGGCAGAATCGGATGGCGGGGACCACAGCGATGTGGAATCGGTAGCCGGCAGCGTCAGCGAGGACGACGAGAAGCAGAACAAGAACAACTCTTCGCTCGACGACGACGATGACGAGGAGTGGGAGCGCCTGCAGCAGAAGTTGAACAAACGCGAGCGCCTCGAGGGCAAGTCGCGCCTATCGCACACCGTCCACTGTCCCTTCTTTCCCGAGGAGAAGCAAGAGTACTGGTGGACTTACATCTGCGACCGCAAGTCGCGCACACTCCTCACGGCCCCCTACCACGTCACGAATCTGGTCGAGAAGGAGGAGATCCAGCTGAAGTTCACTGCGCCGCGTTGGCCGGGCGTCTACACGTTCACAGTGTGCCTCCGTTCGGGTGCGTAAACTTGCAGAAAATGTTTGCCGACTGCAGTTACTAATACAATTTATATTGCAGACTCTTATCTGGGCATGGATCAGCAACAAGAGCTTAAGCTGGACGTGCAGAAGGCGCCAGCACCACCGACAGATCATCCCCAGTGGGATTTGAGCGAGTCCGAGCCGGAGCACAACGATCAGCAAGAGAATCTGAGTGACTACACGACAGACACGTCCGACGAAGAGGACAGCGACTAGAGAGAACGTGAGCCCAGCATGACAGTAGACGAATCTCAGCTGCAAATGCGGCTGATTGATTCCCCTGCGAGTGAATATATCCCTCCTTTCCGCAGAGACAGAGAGATGTGCAGCAGATGTGCAAAACCAGCAAACAAAGCAAAACCTTTTCCTTTCCTTTCCCCATGTTTTCATCCTTTTAGTAAATGATTTTCGCGTGGCGAGAGCCCCTCGCATTTTGACTAGTTTTATAATGGAAAAGACCCCGAACTAGAGCGTAAATAATTATAAACTTCATTTTACCGTGTACTGTACTAAACATAATTATAATGTACTGTATATTTAGTTATTTGGATACAACTAAAATGAGAAACGTAATTCATCAGTACTGTGTTCGTTTACTGAATATTTTTGTGGTCGCTGAAAAACAAAGTAAATAATAATTTCCAAAATAAATTCGAAGTGCAAGCGCTGCCTGCCCCTCTGCTGACGGTCGTCTACTGCGCAGTCGCTGCACGCTCGCTTTCCAATAGCCGGTCAGAGTTTGTTGTGGGCTGATCGACTGCTGTGGCTGGAGCTACCGTTGTCGTTGCAGAAACTTGGCGCTGTGTGGTGTGCATGGGAGCGCGTTAAGGAAGAAAAATGTTTTAAAAAGTCGCTAGAGCTTGGGGTAAGTGTGTATCAAGCATTACTCTAAGGTTCGTTACCCGCCACCTGAATTTGTGTGATTAGTGAGTTTTCTATTTACAAAATATTGCGGCATTATATGCTTAATGTGTGCGTGTGCGTGTGTTTCATGTGGGTGTGCCGTGTGGTTGCTACGCTCATTCGTTCCAAGGTGTACAATTGCAAGGTGCCTTTCGATCTTTCTTTGCTCGCAGTCATAGCAACTGTAATTCGCTCTCTGGAAATGCCTAACCTTGCATTCGGACACTTGGGATACAGGTTACAGTGAATGATGGTTGTTGTTTTTGCTTGGACTTTTCCTTTTTTTTTGCGGTAGTTTACAGTTATTGCACCGTTTTGCTCTCTTCCTCCCCGGAGGAGGACGCCTCTGCCTTCTCTTCACCTTCCGCAGCCTTTGGTTTACTGCTGCCATCTTCTGATTCCTCTTTGGCCTCTGGATCAGCGCTCTCCTTCTTCTCAGTCTCCTTTTCAGAGACTTCGCCCGATACGGGAGCGGCTTCTTCTTGAGTTTCCTCTTTTTTCTCCGTCTCCTTTTCAACATCTTCGGTTGCGACTGTTTCAGAGGCGGATTCTTCTTGAGTTTCCTCTTTTTTCTCCGTCTCCTTTTCAACATCTTCGGTTGCGGCTGTTTCAGAGGCGGATTCTTCTTGATTTTCCTGTGCTTTCTCAGTCTCCTTTTCAGCATCTTCGGTCGTGACTGTTTCGGTGGCGGCTTCTTCTTCTGTTTCATCTGCTTTCTCCGTCTCCTTTTCAGCATCGTCGGTCTCAACCGTTTCAGAGGTGGCTGCTTCTGGTGTCTCTTCTGCTTTGCTGGTTTCCGTTTCAGCCACTTCTTCCTCCTTCTTTGCATCTTCTCCCTCACCATCTGCTTCGGCCTCTTTTTCCGTCTCTGCTACTCTTTCATTAGTTTCTTCGTCATCCTTGTTACCGTCTTCTTTCTCAAACTCCTTCGACTCTGCTTCGTCCTGTTTTTTTATTTCTTCCTGAGTCTCCTTTTCCGCCACAACTGCTTTCTCCTCTTCTCCGTCATTCTCCTTTTCGGCTTCTTTGTCAGTTTCTGCTTTTACTTTGTCCCCACCAGCCTCTTCAACTATCTCCTTCGCATCCTCTTCTTCCGAAGGCTTTTCTTCTGTATCAGCCTCGTCATCTGCCTTGGTCTTCTCATCGGCGTCCTCATTTGGCTTTTCGATGTCCTTTTCACCTTCTTGTTCTCCCACCGGTTTCTCAGTTTCACCCTGATCTTCCTTTGATTCATTACCTGTCGAGTCCTCCTTCGCTGACGCTTCCTCAGCTTCGGTTTCAGTCTGATATATGTTGGGGTGGTTTGTGGGAGTGGTGCGTGTTTTTGTGTATGGTTTTAGGGGGAGGAGTGGAAATGAATATAGTACAAGATACGATCAGAAATCGGGCGTCTACGGTGCCATAACATGCCTTGGTTAGCTCCTAAAGCACCTACTTCTCCTATGTTAGCTCGATTTCATGCAACTCTCTTATGGATCTATTACCTTTTCCTCGCCATTCTCTTCCTTGGCGTCTGCACCTTCGCCCTCGTCCTTCTCCTTATCCTCGCTCGTCGTCTCTGCTTCTTCTTCGTCTTTCTTCTTTGGAAGAATCACACGCACACATTAGATAAATCAAAGAAGAATCATCGGGCTTGCATTTTTACTACCACTGTTAAGTGCTGGCATTCTACAGTCGCGACTTTCGCTGTTAAGTGCTGGAATTCATTATAGTGTCGCGCTGCTACGACCACTGTTAAGCTCTAGCGTTCTACAGTTGCGCCTTTGCAAAGTGTACAAGTTTGGATTATTGCAGTGTTAGACGAGTGTGTTAGAAAAACAAGCCTTGCAGATGGTTACATTTTTTTTAGTTCATACAAATATATTTCCTTTTCATTATATAGGCAGCGCTTTTTATGTTTTCGCATTAACATAACTGCTGCACAAACGGTACAGCTTTCTTCTACACTCTCATTCAAGATGATGGAACTTAAGCTTATGAGAACCTAAAGTGTGCTGCTGAAACACATACATACAGACGGATGTAGCGTAGTGGTTAATGATTATAAATATTTTTGATTAAAATTGTCTTTTTTCTCAGTGTGTTGACACAATTAAATTAAGAGCGTGTGCAGTGTCTAAAATTTTGAAACTTATAACTTAAAGATTTGCAGTCGTCGGGGAGGGTTAATACAATTTTTAAAAGAACACAAATACAAGCGCCTTTACTTTAGAGAGACAGATATAGGTAGATGGGTGGTAATGTGGCAGTGTTACCATTTAAATTTGCTATGCCATTAAACTGGTTAAATTGTTAGAATGCAATTTATCCAGTTTTGTATGACAGCAAAAATAATTATGAACGGTAACCGTGGAAGTGCTGATACGCTGTTAGATAAAATGAGGGGTTATTGCTGCTGTTAGCATTATGCTGGCCACCAGGGTGGCCTTAGCTGTTAGAGTTGATGTTAATTCTATTGCTGTTATTGTTACTGGTACTTTTGCGTTTTCTGTTTTGTGTCGCTTCATAACAATTAACGGAAATACGGTAAATGGCCTAAGCTCAAACCTCTGCCTTCTCCCCCGCCTCGCCATTGGCTTCAGTAGCAGCCTCCTCCGCGGGTGCCACCTCATCCTTTTCTGTCGTCTTCTCCTTTTCGCCATCCTCATCTTTCTTGGCATCGCCGTTCTCCTGCTTAAGCTCGATCTGGGCACTGCTCACGGCCGTGGTGTCGGCGGGAGCCAGCTTAAGGAACACCTCCAGGGTGTCGATCTCGTTGGCCATGTCGAAGGCGTCGTAGTCGCCGCAGTAGTCCGCATCGTTGAAGATCTGCGGAGGGAGCGGGTGCCGGGGATCGGGATCGGAGACTGTGCCGCCATTGCTGGTCGATTTGTTCTGCATCATCTCCTTCTCTCCCTCTTTTCCTGGCTCTGTGATGTCCACGGTGTCCTGGAGACGATGAAATTATCAAACTTATATGTCCAATATCCCTTTTGACAGAACTTTCAGGTATCTAACTTACATACTGGATGTTCTTGCTGTCGAGTATCATCAGGACACGCTGTTGGCGCTTCTTAACCTGCAAATTAAAAGGATTTGGATATTAGTACAAGCGGATGCCAAGACATTGTCCCCAAAGGTCTGCCAGTCCCTGGTTGCTATTGTGAATGAATTTCTACCGACAAGCCTGTTTGTGTTTACACGCACACACCTACATTCACACACTTGAAAGCCCGATAAGGAAATCCAATTGGAACTGTTTGTTTCGTGTAATTATCACACGATAAGGTGCTGCTACAGTTTTACTTTGACTTCACGCACCTATTTAGAGGCTGACGCACCCGCTCTCTCCACAAGAGTAGTTCCAACTATCACACACCCTCTGCGAGAACTCTGCATATGAGTAATGAATATTTTAAGTTGGAGAACTTTCCATGAGTCTCTCCGGGCATAACCCAAACAATTTTAATATAGTGTATTGATTAGGACGGCTTATATCCTGCCTTGCACTACAACTCCACTAAAATTGATATACCTTTCTGCTCTGCGGGTAAGTGGTATCATAACAGGAACAACAAACAATGGCAGCAAAGTCGTGCTCTCTCTTGCGCCCTCATTGTTGTTGTCAAAGTTGATGCTGTTCATCTTCTTTATGTTGTTGCTGTCGATGGCCTGCACAATGCCCGTTATGTTATTGTTCCTATTCGATATTTGCAAATGGAACAAAGGAGAAGAGCGAAAAAGTGAATCATGCCAACACACACACACAGCTGCGCACATACAAGCAACTGTGATCAATGAATGTGCTCTCTTTTACAGTTCAACAGATCTAAAGTTGACATACACAAAAAAAAGCTTCTACCTATGATACTATATATGGGCAATGAAATGTTTGCGGTCATTGTGCTGCTTCTTGCCACCACCACACACGCACACAAACACAGCCAAACAGAAAATACCCACTTGCTAGCATGACGTTTCGACTGTACACCACACACTATACCATCATCATCACACGCACACCAGCTAACAAAAAGCAGAAGAACGGCCGAGGAATTAAATAGAATTTGCAGTGCATATCGTCACCCGTCTTGTATCTAAGTTTGTTGGCTGCTAATGACAGGGCCCAAACATTCCATTAACATGACACCAGAGCCAGCCACCGCACTGCAGCTCAGTTCTAGTTCTATGCAGGCTTTGCCTCGCCTCGCCCCACGCCACCCCACCCACGATACACTTACCTCCTTGTTGCCGGACATGCCGCTGACGTAGACTTTTAATACCATTTTAGCGTTTAATAATGCGTTGTTTTGTCAATGTAAAGTTCTGTCTATTCGCGTTTCGCGAAATGAAAATATTCGAGTAAGACGATTAAAATATTTTTAGATCTTTCTTTTTCGTTGCTTCTGCTCTTGGCCCCTACGATGCTGCTGATACGTAATTGTTGTTAGTTCCGTGCACGCACTGGGCAAAAGTCAACTACTGCGGCTCGACGATTGCTGCGAAGACGCGGAAGTGCTGTAGTGGCTAGTAAAAATTTTAAAAATTTAAAATCTTAAATTTTTTCCTACTTTTTTAGTTTAACTGGACAGTGGGACCGCGTATTTATTGATAAAATATACAGAAAGACCCTCGGAAATATACCGAAATATACCCTTGCATTTTCTAAATATACTGTAAATATACCGTAAATCTAAATCATATTCTCGACTTTGATCTTCTGTGTAATATTAGCAGCCAGTAAGGACACTCAGCATAAAATCTCTAATTTTACTCGAATCATCATTTAATTCTCCACAAGATCGGCTGATTTTCATGACCAATGTTTATTGGAGTGGTTGCAAAACAAGGTAAAAATTAAAAAGGTCAACCAACAATGTTAGCATAACACGGTACATGAGTGGTAATTGATTGCTACTTATTTGATAATTTGTTGCCAGTCGGTAGGTTTTTATAGGATGACCATTTGTATACCCTATTTCCATAAATTAATATTAAAATTTAATATTTAAAACTGCTCTCAATCATTAATAATGATTATTAAACCTTTTAATATGCTTTCTATGTATATACATATGTTTATATCGATCTTGATGCATTCTCGATATCTAAAATCTGCTCAAATTTGTTGGAATCTCCAACACAGATTAACTTCCAAAAATATCTTAATTCCAGGATATCATTCCCACTAGGGGTACCAAATGTTGCCTATTCCGTGCCAAATGTTGGGGAACAATGCTGCTCACTCTTCGAAGCTTGTTTTATGCGATAGCTGTGCTATATCGATGTTTTGGGCTACTGTGTAGTTCATATATACAATCTAATATAATGGAGCAATTCCAATAAGCTTAATTGTAAAGAATTGCATAGTCATTCGCATTCAATTTTAGTTTCAGTGCTGAGAGTCCTAGCCAGTATTTAATATTGATTGGAATATACAAATCAAAACAAAATTCATAAATATTGCTTGCATCGGTATATTTTTAGAGTGAGAACGTATATTTAGGTATATTTTTGATGGTAATGCCGTATTCTATCGATAACTCCGCGGTCACACTGCACTGCACGCATCGTCGTCCATTTTTGTTAAGAATCTGACCGAAAAATTGTTAACTTAAGAGAAATTTCACAATAAACCAAACATTTAACGACAGTGCATTTCAGTGGCCTTTGAAATACTGCTCAAATAACTAGCAAGCAATAACTAAAACATATAAATTACTTATACGACTTAACAGCAATCTGAATCATTTGTGCGTGCGTATGCGCCAGCGGAGTATTAGTACAATACAATAAAAAAGTAAATAAAGCGCGTGTGAAGTGGTGCAGAAACTCGACGGAAATCCATAGTGCAACGCAGAAAAGCCAACTAAAGTAAGTGCAATGGTGGTGTGAAAAGCGTGTGGCCACACATTTCTTGCCAGATTTCCACTACGGTTACTGGGCGGCGCTAGTAATGATATACGATTCGACCATTTTTAAAATTTCATGAAATCAACATTCCAACTCACACTTGCAGCTGTGCTGTGGTGAGCGAGTGTGCGTGCCCAAGCGAGTGTGTGTGCCAGAGCGAGACAACCATTGTGATCGCTGGCATTAGTTGCCGTCATTTTGGGCTTCTTCTGAAAGCAAATCTCCTCGGGTCTGGCATTTGTCACGTAAAACGCTAAACGTTAATGGTAATTAAAAACGAACGGTGCAAATTGTACGTCGATGTACCAGCTCGAAAAAGTCATTTCCGCACGTGTTGCAAATTGATTGAACCCTGCCTGTGAACCACTGCTGTGCGAGAGACAGTGTGAGTGTGAAAAACAGCTGGCGCAGGCTAGGCCGCTGGCCGCTGGGGCTCCGTGTTTAAAAGACTACGCATTATCCTGGTAGTGGTGGTGGTGTGGTGTGGTGGTTGTTCTGGCATTGGGTTACACCTTTCTTTCTTTCCTCTGCATTGCTATGCATTTATAGTTGTGTTGGTAATTGCGCTGCGCCTTTTGGTGTCGTTTCTCTTTCTCTTTGGAATCGCCCTTTTTTCCTGCGGCGATAGCATAGCAGCTGCTTGCAGGGCATCAGTGTTGCCCGCTAAGCGGTTTCTGCTTGCCTCAGAACATCAAAAACAAGCCATATAGAGTCTTTCTTTGACTCAATCATCATAGAGCCCTTGGAACGAGTCATCTTTTTACATTAAAATTCTTCTCTGGAATTTGATTAAACCGAAAATCACAGTCAAATTGTGATTAGATAAAGGCCACATCAAAAATCAAGCTAAATTGTGCGGGAAAGAAGCCAAGCGGACAGCGCTGCCTGACAGGCCATAAATCGCTGCACCATTTTCTTTTATTGTTTGTGCTCTGCATGTGTGAGTGCGTGCGTGTGTGTGTGTGTGGCAAGTGAATCCTGTTTTTCCTTGAAACCAGTTATTCGCTCCATTCCCAGCAAGGTGCGAGAAGCGAAACGAACCGAACCCCTCCTAATCCATTGAATATTATTTTCTCCTCCGACTCTTTGCAGAGAACAACAATACACGACGCTTGCAACACAGCAGCTGTGCAACACCTGTGGCAATAATCAGAAACAAATTTACCCAGCTACAAATTTATCAACTTTTCACCGAGAACCTTAACAATAGCGATGGCCTGTGCAACACTGAAGCGCGCCTTAGACTGGGAGTCGATGAACCAGCGTCCCCCCAAGCGTAGGCGTTGCAATCCCTTCGGCCAGTCGGGCAGCAGCAGCTCCCCATCGCGTATGGACCGTGATGGACCCACCATTGCTTCGGGCATAACGCACACGCCCAGCAATCGCTATGCCAAAGACAGCACCGAGCCGAGCCCATTCTCGGAGGCAGCTCTGGCCAAGATGTCGCCTGGTAAGGAACACTTTTGTTGCCGTTTCTCCTACACCTACTTACTATACTTTTGTTCATCTGCAGACAAAATGGCCGAGAATTTGTGCAACGAAATCAAAAGACTGCACAAGCGCAAGCAATTGCCGATCACAGCGGCTGCCATTGAGCGCATGCAGGACTCTGAGTCGAGCGGCTCCGAAATGGGTCCGGAGAGCCCCCGCCGTCCGGACAGCCCACCGAATCTGATGCGTCACGGCGAGAAGGCGCTGTTCACATTCAAACAGGTGCAGCTCATATGCGAGAGCATGATCAAGGAGCGCGAGAATCAACTGCAGGAACGCTACGAGTCAGTGCTGACCACCAAACTGGCCGAGCAGTACGATGCCTTTGTGAAATTTACTTACGATCAGATACAGCGTCGTTACGAGGCAGCGCCTAGCTGTGAGTACACCCCTTTGTTTCTGCCCTTGCATCAAACTAATCATTATTTTCCTTTCAGACTTGTCGTAAGGCTTTTAAGCCACACAAACAAAACAAAACAAAAAGAGAAGAAAAAGAAATTAATAATTGCACTACGATCTTATGTGGACGGTAGATCTACCGCGACAACAACAACAGCCCTCATTTAAACTAAAGCAACAAATAAGGAAAACAAAAACTAAACAAAACAACAAACAAGAAAGAAAGAAACAAAAAACTACCATAAAAAGATTTTGTTTATTGATATATATTTTGAAATATAGAGAGAAGCAGAGTTATAGTTTACGACTAGAATTACATTTAAATATTGTAATACCAACCACAAAACAAAACAAAAAACACAAATTATCTGTTGTTACATTTATGTTTTGACAAGAAGAAGAATATCTAGTGCGAAGGACTATACAAAATAGACACATGCAGACGGAAGAGAAGAGAAGAGAAGAAGGAGAACGATGAAATGAAACCTCAAGTAGCTTCGTGCATAACAGACAGAATTGGTAAAGCTAGCATGTAAGGTATTATGATTATGAACGTATATCGGAACTATATTGTTTGCGGAGCAAGAATGAAACTACAACGGCATGGAGGGAGACTCATGTAATACACACACACAAGAAACACGAAAAACCATTCATAGTTTATTTTTGCATATTAGTTGTACTATAATATAGTGAAGGATACAAAATGAGTGCTCGGGTCTATCGTTTGTTAATTGTTTCCTCCAAAAAACCAACTGAAATGTTTCGATTTGCTTTATACTATAAATACAACAAAATAAAAGAGAAGAAACCCAAGCCGGAAATGGAAAACCGAGAGAGAAAAAACCAATAAAAATCACAACAAAAAAATAAAACAAACAATGAAAAAACAAATATGTTATTTTTTAAGCCAAAACTTGAACGCTTTCATAGTATATTATTAATTGTACGCTTGAGAGAGTGCAAGAAGAAGTTTCATGTTTCACTCAACAAACATATTTTTTTCACACAAAACACACAACTTGAAGAATATAAAAACACACGCAAACAAGCAAGCAAGAATATATATATAGACAATATATATACATATATCTGTATACATATGTATATATATACAAATGATATATATATTTTTCAAATTACCGCAATCATACATACTTTAAATTAGTAATTTAAAACTTACAATTAGTAAAGAAATGCCATTTTTATATTAAAAACAAAAGAAAAACAACAACCAACAAAAAATAAAACAATGAATTGTATAATTGCTGCCCCCCTTTGGTTTGGTCTTTCATTTTGGCTTAAACTCTTCCATTCGATTTCATTATTTTCAAATTAATTATAATTTAATATCAAAAACTTGTACCACAAATGGCCTAAAACATAAATCAATAACTGAATAAACTCGACAAATGACAACATTTTAGATTATTTTCAGAGAACAGAACTACTGACTCTGTGCTGCCATCAATCATTCTTTATCTTTAAATCCATTTCATCATTTGAAACAGAGCTCGGCACGCATACACTCATCCGCGCGCAAAACGGAACATTGCAATGCATTGGTATTGGTACGAATTACTGTGAAAACGCGCGTACGTGAGCGGCAGCGCCTCGGCAGTGCCTTTTTCTATGCACCGCGCGGAGACCTGATTTAAAGTGGTTCTATTTTACTGTTGTGAATTTTTGTGAATATTTCCTAATTTAAATACTTGCTCCTGTGTTGTGGAATAAAGCGTGGAGAGGAATTATGTTATGGAATTTGCATGCACAACATGCAGCGAATATTTTATGTACCTTAATCAAGGTAATCCTAAAGTAAAAGAAAAGCTCAACAATGCCTAAATGACATTAATACAATTATTATTTATAGGGTTAGATGAATGCAGCAGAATTTGTTAGCTCTCTCTGGCCTTCAGCTTAAAACTTGATCTGAATGATTGTCCTTTTCTGAGAATATTTAGTAATGATTTATTGATTTTTCTGTTTTGTTTTGTTTTTTGTGCATTCAACAGAAACTTTTTTCAGCTTAACACTAAATAACTAAATTATACACTTGATTCACATGCTTATAATTACAAAAATAATGCCTTAACGAAAAGTCTTCAATAATAAATACATTTAGTTCAAGGCTCAAGATTGAACGGAATGAGTAGGGACTATCCATTAATAGCTGCTAGATTTGATTTTAGTTTCTCAAAATAATACGTTAACTAGGGACCGATTGGGTAAGGCTAGGAAGTGAGTCGAGTAATGGTTAGCTCTGACATCCTGGGAAGGCACTACGAATGGTAGAATGAAGAGAGATTAAGGGGAAAACTGAGCTGAGCTGCAGGAGGGGCATAGAAGGGGAAGGTGTTTAATGTAGTTTTCGAAATAAAAATATCAGTCGGTGTGTTTTGTATTTCAGCATTTTGTTTGCTTTACGAAGAACGGCATCGATAAATGGATTTTTGAGAGTGTGTCGGGCCAAGCCCCATGGAAGAGCCAAGTGGCTGTGAATCATAGCGCCTTCTTCTCACGCAGCAGCGGCACTTGGGCGAGCGTCTGTGCCGAGGTCTCACTCGCACTAGAGGAGTACGGGTCCAAGCTGATATCTCTGACACCGCCATTCCGGTTCTGTGGCGGGGGCTGAGCTGTGGGCGGCGTGGCCATGCCGCTCGTGCTGCTCGCCGTCTGTCGCAAATTGTAGACGCGCGACTGCAAAAATCTGTCGGACTCAGCGGCAAACAGGTGCATCGACGATTTCGAGGACAATTGTCGCTCCATCCAGTAGCGATATGCGCCACCCATCATTAGGTCCTTGGCTTTGAATAGCTGATCTATCAGGCCATCGATCAGGCTGCCGGGCGTGTCAAATTCGTTGGGCACAATGCCCTGTACACTGCTCTCGAAGTAGCTGAACATGGGGAACCAAATGCGCGTTCGATTTGAGTCGCTTTGCATGAGAGCCTGCGGGAGATACAGATGAGAATGGATGTGCAAATGGCATGTGCATGGTTTACCCTACCCTGTTGTTCGCCAGCGTGTGATAGTAGAGGAACAGACGCGAGGTAATGTAGAAGGCCACAAACACATCGATGGAGTAGTGCTCATGGGCGGCCAAAATGAAGAAGATTCCAAACATGTTCAGCAGCCAGGTGAGTGTGTGCAGGAAGTATAGATTGCGTGGCGTATCTACAATTAATACAGCAGGAAAGTCAGTAAATCAAACACACAATTCTGCTCTCACTCACATTCTGTGATGAAAAAGTTGAGCAGCGTCAGGGCCACGGTGTGGCCGCTGAACATGTAGTCGCCACACGTTCGCACGCCCTGAATTGACATGCCCAAACCGCTCCAGATGCGATAAGCGCGAGTCATGCGCATGACCAGGGCACCGAACATATCCACGTTGGCGTCATCGATGGCAAAGTCCTTCTGATTGCACTGCAAATGTGTGCCCGGCACACTCAGCGACGTGATCAGCATGGTCACGCAACGCAGCAGGAAGACGGTGCCGGCCAGTGCAAAGAAGCGTCTCAGCAGCACCATTCTGTACTTGTGGAAGATGAGGACAAACAGCCAAATGGTGAACAGCAGCGAACCCGTGATCTCGCACATGTTGAAGGCCCAGGGAATGTGCGGCACGTTGTCAAGGAAGATGTCCGGCAATGGGGGGTAGCGCTTCATATCCGGCACGCGCTCGTGCACAATCACCATAACGAACGACGTTATCCAGGTCACGACAAAAGAGTAACCTGCAATGGAAGATCGGTTAATAAGCTGCACAAATAATTTAACCAAAGAGAGAATATTAAGTTTTGCCATCTCTAACAAGGAATCAACGGTGTAGTTCTCTGTAAGACAGAGCGAGCACACTAGCTTTGCAAATAAAAGGAGAGCAGAAGAAGTGTCATCCCTAGCCAGGAGCAAATTTTAAAATTCCAACTGGAATATGCTGGAATTGGCCGTTACTATGAGCGTTTACTGTCTCCGATTTAAGCAGCCAGCACTTGAAGGGTGTACATGTGTACACATACTTGTGAGTAAAACAAACAAAAATAAAGTATAAAACAAAGCGACATTTGAAATTAAATGCACGCAAAGTTACACAAAGGCTGTGCTGGCTGAAAATTCCCCTGCATCGATATATGTACGACGCTGCGAGTGGTTTGGGGGAGGGGGCCAGAACGAGAGGAGAGCGTGTTCGAGCGTTTCCACATAACCTCCAAAGCAGACAGAAATAGCAGTAACGTGCGTTACCCGAGCTACTACAAACTATAATTAACATAATAATTCAAGTGACGTACATATTTTTATGGGGAAAAAAAGAGTGTGGCATTGAACTATTGATAGCAGCCCACAAACTCATGACTGAAAACAGCTGATAACGGGAATTTGGCAGATGTATGGATGTATGGGAAATGCGTGCTCTCTCTCCCTCTCTCTGTTTCAAGCTGCATAAACAAATTCCACACGACCGATAAGGTGGAAGAAACAATCAATGAACAATTGACCTTCACAATTGACTAGAAACCTGACTAGCTGCATGCCAAGTGGCCAAGTGGCCTACTCACCTAAGCTCATAGCGGTCTTAAAGTATTCCGGGGCTACGGAGCCTCTGCCCATGCGCAAATACGTCTCGCAGTCGGACACATAGCTGGGGCAGTCCAATGGCTGCGTTGGCGGGCAGGCGCATGACGAGGACGCACCACCAGAGCCGACCAGCGGCTGAGAATTGGATTTCTGGGACAGATCGTTCAACACGGCATCGTCCGTGGGGCCGCCGCTGAGCTTCACCAGCCTCTGGAGGCGGGAGAGCGACACCCAGAACTTTTTGAGTTCGCCAAATGAGAATCTGTAGTCCAATTTGTAGCGCAAGGCCCGGACATCGTCCTCGGTGAGGATCAGCAGCACCTCGCCGTCAATATGCTCATATCGCAAGCAACGAATGAGCGTGTCGGAGAAGTTCTCCATGGTGGCCCAGTTTTGCACTTCGTCCAGCCCCCATTGCGCCACTTCACAAGGCTCCACAGGGTCCTCGGTCACTCGCGAAGATTGCTTCGGAGGCGTCGACTGATCCTGTGGCATTTCCTCTTCACCGCCATTCATGCGCTGCGGCACGGCCTGCCCTGTTTGCTGCTGACTCACTAGCTCACAAATTTCACCGTCGCACATTGTGGAAGCTTTCTTTTTTTTTCGTTCCCTTATTGCTGCCACTTTTGAATTAGCTTTTGTTCTTAGATCATCATTTGGTGCATCATTTCAAAGTTTGGCACGCACTTGCTACGACGGCTAACTGCAGTACATAACGCGATTTTTATTTATTTCACATGCATCATTTGTTGATGTAAAACATTTAATTTGGCAACTTAAAAAATTCCAGCGCCTACTTCGTGTTTTCGTTGTTTTCAAGAGGTGCGAAGGGGGCTAGGGGCGCCGTCAGCTGTTTGAGCAGTCGAGTGAATACATCGGTAAGTGGTTTCCACCAGCAGCAATCAAAATCGATAGATATTAAAATAAGTAATTAAAATTATAATAAACTACAAGAGCAGAGGCTAAGCTAAACTAATACCTAAAGGTTTTGGTTTGCAAAAAAACTATAAACAGCATTTAAACTTGCTTTCGTAGCCATTTGTATAAAATTAAGAGCAATAGTAAAGAATATCGATATCTATCTCAAAAACAAAAAGCAACACAGTGGAAACAGCGATATTACCCGCCGATATCGACGGCGTCGCTTGCATTTGCGGTAAAGTAAATTTGTTCTCGTGTGTGGAATTTTTGATAAATTTCAGATGTCAGATTTCAGAATATGAAGAAATCCAAGCCTCTGCTACACGACCATTTGATTACG